CAATAGTTAATCTTTGCAATAGTTAATCTTTACAATAGTTAATCTTTGCAATAGATAATATTTCCATATTTAATTATAATACACATTGATGAAGAGAATTGAAGACCCATTAAATACATAACCTATAATTCTTGAGAACCTTTGGTGGCTTTACCTGATTTCTTAGGTAATAAGTTTTGGTGGATGTTTGGTAAAACACCCCCTTGAGCAATGGTGACATGACCCAATAACTTATTTAATTCTTCATCATTTCTAATAGCCAATTGTAAGTGTCTTGGAATGATTCTGGACTTCTTGTTATCTCTGGCAGCGTTACCGGCCAATTCCAAGATTTCTGCAGCTAAATATTCCAAAACCGAAGTCATGTATACTGGAGCACCAGAACCAACCCTTTGAGCATAGTTCCCTTTTCTTAATAACCTGTGAACTCTACCAACTGGGAAAGTCAAACCAGCTTTGGCTGATCTGGAAGTTGATGCTTTTTCTGAAGTTCCTGCTTTTCCTTTACCACCGGACATTGTATCTTGTTTGTTGTGGTAGTCAAAGCACTGGAAAACCAGCGAATCGTCCCAGTTATAAACCCACCGGTGAATTGGCGGTTGTTGTTGTTGTTGCTGATGGCAGCTAGTGCTCCTGTTTACACAGTTACCCCCTGCCTGTGTAACTGTGAGTCCGTGCCCCCGACCGCGCGCGGGCCTTGGTAAATTGGAGCACGCCGCGCGTACACCGGGGCACGGCCGGGCGCGCGCCCGTGCACCGCTACATCACGCAGTGTTAATTCAAGGGGGCGGCGGCAATGGTTTTGTTTTGATTAAACAACAAACAAAAAACACAACTTTTAAATATAAAAACTTGGATATCCCCGTTCTTTTATCGAATAACAACTACTTTTCTTTTTCATCCGTATAATCAATTGAAAATGGCCCCAAAAGCTGAAAAGAAACCTGCCTCCAAAGCTCCAGCTGAAAAGAAACCAGCTGCTAAAAAGACTGCTTCTTCTTCTGAACCAAAAAAGAGATCTAAGACCAGAAAGGAAACTTACTCTTCTTATATCTATAAAGTTTTAAAGCAAACTCATCCAGATACTGGTATTTCTCAAAAGGCCATGTCTATCATGAACTCTTTTGTTAACGACATTTTTGAAAGAATTGCTGGGGAAGCTTCTAAATTAGCCGCTTACAATAAGAAATCCACCATTTCTGCTAGAGAAATCCAAACTGCTGTTAGATTGATTTTACCAGGGGAATTGGCTAAACACGCTGTTTCGGAAGGTACTAGAGCTGTTACCAAATACTCTTCTGCTGCTAATTAATTTCTTTCTAATTCTTGTCCTGTTTTTTCCTTGTGTATTATATAGTTTCTAGTTTAAACTATGACTGTGTCAGTCTTGTATATTAGTCAAGAAACCTTGTTATGATTTAAATACGTTATTGTAGTTCTATTAATCACTCTAACTCTGAGCAATAATACCCCTGGCTGCAAAATAAACCAATACTCTTAAAGTATTACACTGTATAAAATAAAAGTATTACACTGTATAATAAAAGTATTACACTGTATAAAATAAAAGTATTACTTTGTATAAAATAAAAGTATTACTTTGTATAAAATAAAAGTATTACTTTGTANTGTATAAAATAAAAGTATTACTTTGTATAAAATAAAAGTATTACTTTGTATAAAATAAAAGTATTACTTTGTAAAGGTAATACCTTAGTCTTCGACCAAACGCATCTCTGATTCCCAATGGCTCTTGAATCCTTTCACTTCTTTAGAAACTTCATATCTCTGCTCTTGATTCTTAGTATATGAAAAATTTAAATATATAAAATTATCATTAATAACCTTGCAAAGTTTCATACCAACGTCGTCTATACCCCCCATCATTTCTATTTGTCTGCATCCCTTTTCAATCACGGCTTCTGAAAGCTCGGTTTCTGATCCTTCAACGTACGATAACAATAAATAGTACCCTTCAATGGGTTTCTGTTCCTTGACCGCCATACGAAACCCTCCATATAATACATCGTAGGCGTGTGCATCTTATCCTGCTCGTCAACAACTTCTGAATTGTGTTTGGCAATCAGCTCATAACAATTGGCTTCTCTAAGAAAACTCTGTATACAAATAACTTCCAGGTCAATTAATGCTTCTCCCAAACCTTACGCCTTCGAAACAACTTCCGGAATATAAAGCTTCATCACAACCAGATCGCCTGGTCTCTTGTCGCTGAGTACTTGCTTGAAAAATGGGAAGAATTGACAAAGTAACTCAACCCTAAACTTGTACACCTTTCTCAAGAATCCGTCTCCTGAAAAGTTCCATCCACGTAAAACTTCAAACCCACTCCACGATTCACATTGGCCAGTGACTTGGAAAATACTCTTGCGGCTGTCAATGTTAGCTCTAGCATTGGTTTCTTCGACAAGTACGTCCTTAATTGCAGCACGACGAAAATCAGCCTCTTCTTCAGGCTTCACCACTAAGGCTTCTTTAAAAACACAAATAGTCTCCTTCTGTCTTTCCTTACGAAGCTCTTCTTCTGGAGATCCTTCGGAATATAACCATGATAGAAAGGCGGCCTGAACGGTTATACACATATCCTTAAATGGTTATTCGAAATGAAACTTCTACTTCAGTGTCATTACACTTTGCCATTTTATCCAAATCGCCTTCATCAATCTCTAAGAAAAGAGTATGGTGGAAATTAGTTATAATACCACGAGTTACTTTGCAAACAATAAAGTTTGGACAAAAATTTCTCATGATTAACTTGAAATCATTATTCCATGTCTGGATTCCATCCTTAACCAAATTACTAAAGTCAGGTCCTAACGAATCGAGAAAAAATAAAGGTTCTCCATTCTCCAAATAAACCACATCTGGTCTACCTACGATTTTAACCTGACTAGTTTCGTCTTTAATTCTTACAAAATGGTCAACTCTTATTTGACGTCCTGCTACTTCGAGAAACCAAATTGTAGGATATTGAATGTATTCTTCGAAATCGCTAAAGCAATTACCCTCAGTAACAGGAACACAACTAACAATCTCATTAGATAATAAAAAAGCTTGAAGTATTCTCATCCACTTATCTTCGTAGTCGTTTGGATCTAAGTTTGAAATTTTCTCTCTATATTCTTGTTGAAAAAAATTCAAATTGCCAAAACATTCATTAGTAATTTCAGTTTCAATTCTTGGTTATATTCTAAATAACCTATTGCCAAGTTTAGAAATACCGATAATCAGACTGTAAACGTGTTCTAGTATCCATCCATCTGTATCAAAGTCAACCTCCAAAGGTATTGTGAAAAATGGAATAGCAGTATTTGCAAATAATTGTAAATCAAAGTTATCCCGAGAGTGAACTCGATATGTCAACTTAGATTTTATATGATACCGTTCAGAAGGACTCATTATTGCTAATAATTCAGGTATGACTATGTTGATGTATACTAACCTCTCACTTGGAAATCTTTTGGCCAAAGATTTAGCGGTGGCATTCTTAACATATTCTATTCGTTCATGTCCAGAAGTAGGTATTTCGGTTAATGGGGTAGGATTAACATACACTAATCGAAAGTTTTCTTCAAATATATCACGTCTTCCGCGGATGCCCTTGAAGTAATCATCCTGCTGACAATCATACCTTTCTAACAAGTCTTCTGGTGGAATGGAGTTAACATACACTATATTGTCAGTTGGAAAGATCTCCGCCAATGTTTCAGGTGTAAGGCAGTTGTAAACACTGTAAGTCCTGAAGTTTGAGTTTTTAGAATTTCACTGTAGCTACCTCGTAAATGTTACTTCATGGTGTTATGGTTTGAGTGAAAAGGTTAATCAATGTGAAATAATCAAATGTATTTATATTTATTAGCTTATTATAATGAGTTAAGTATTGCAACCGAATAAAAAATTTCTCTGCTTCGGCTGCAAAATCACAATATGTACGGATGTTCTGGTGTAGTAAAGAAATGGTGATACGCTATTCTAAAGTTCTTGATTGCAAGATACTTTTTGATGAACCAAAGTCAATGGTTAAACTATGTATGGAGTTTAGATATCTTAACTCAACCAAGCAATTTTGTATTCTGTTTTGTAATTTTATGTTTTTTCAAAGAACTGGAATTTTTTTCATAATTTTCACAACTTTCGTACAAAATTATATAAAGGTAATAAAGTAGACATCACCCAAAATCTTCATCTATTCCCTCCAATAATTGGCTGAAACCATCAACTTCACAAAATAAGCTTCTAAAATTATTAAATCACATCCTAAAAGAATTACCTTAAGAAAACTTAGCTTACCTTAAGAAAACTTAGCTTACCTTAAGAAAACTTAGCATAGATCTCCTATTAGCCATCTATGCAAATAGCCCATATAGACAATTTAAATAAATCATTTCGATAAGATGAAACTCCGTTTTCATTAGCAAATACACCTCACAGATAGTATTTTCAGCAGCAAAAAATTCATAATTATGCTTCATCAACCTATACTTTAAGCTAAAGCAAAAATACTTCAAATATATGATTGATCAAAACGAAGCTTCTCTCTCAGGCCAATCGATTTTCTACCATTTATTGGAAGTTCGTCAGTGTGGTCAATCTCAAAGCCAGGTGATATAATTTCTATGACATATTTAGTGAATAGTGAATATCATTTGATAAACGCTCAACGCCTCTATAACATTTTCACTAACATACTATTTTGCAATCTTCAATCTAACTCAACGGATTTTAAATTATTCATTGAATTTAAATAAACAAATACTTAGGATTATATAAATAGAGAATCAATACACTGTTTTCAAATAGCTAACATTGTCTTTCGATTTTAATTCTCAAGGTAATGTTTTACAACTAACATATAATATTCTGGTCCCGTATCAAGATAACTACTATATTATTTATCCGGTTTTTCGCCATACCACATTGAATTGCCATTATTTGTATTCATCAATAAATCAAGTTCTTTATCAGTATAATATTTCTTTCCATTAGTCTCAATTAACTTGATGCATTCATTTACTTCAATCTTTGATCTCCATGTATTTTCAATTATATCAGTTTGAAATAATTTGATAATGGAATTTAATGCTAATGCTTGTAAGCCTCCATTGAAGTTTGAATTGTAGTTTGAATTGTAGTAAAGAGATTTTCAATGAATGGTAATCTCTCTTCTTCAACCTTAAGGTTATACGTATTTAGTTTTTGTTTCTTAATTTCTGAAAAACCATCAAATTTCACCAGAGATTATTCAGGTAAATCTTTTCCTCATATCGTTATATATTTTCCATTGAATTTTAGATGGGTGCATATTCATGTATAATAAAAAAAGTAATTATTATCCTTAAAACTAGATTTTTGGTTTCATAATACAAGAAATAAAGAACTGGAGCATGATCAACAAGATTATAAAGAAAATTGTGTTCGAGTTTACAACATGTGTTAACGTTACTTCAAGACCGTTCTCTACAAACTAAGATAAAAGTGATAAAAATATATTCAATTGTAAATAGCTCTTACAAAGAACGGAATACGAGGTATCATCATTAAGTGTGGTATCTCCTGAGCAATATATATATAAATTTTAAACAGCCTATAAACCCTATAATTAAAATGCAACAAAAAAAAAAAACATCAAATAAACCGATGCATTGATTTATCTTTAAAAAATACTTATAGATGCATAACTTGCAAGCCTGATCGCATTTTCTCAATTAGCCTCGCCGGCTTACAATTACAGATTTTATTAACATAATTCATAGTTGACCTTAACTGTAGGAAATGTACATCATATCATAGTACTGATGAAATCATTTCGTCGGTAACGCTTCGTCAACCTAGCATAACTACCGTAAGTATCGAAGATAAAAACGTTAATGAACTACATCTAAAAGAGAAAAAACCTAAATATCTTGAACACCTCAGCTATACAATTTCGGATGGATGTAAAAAAAACCCTAATCAAAATAAACAAAAAATCCGAAAACATCTTCAGCAATTCCTTATTGCTATCATCAATACCTATGAAACAGAGCTCTATTCATCTGATTGAGGAAAATCAATCGCGCCAATACAAGTTTTTAAAATTCAGGTTCAATACTCACATTAAAAACCTATAATTGTATCTCTTTCAATTCTGAGCAATATATCCCAAGACGAGCAACACGATTGATGAGGGACCCATATCAATTGTTATTAAATTAGTTTCTTACTTAGACCAACCTTCACGTCATTTTTTAAGGAGAGGACGTGTTAATACGGTTGAAGAAAAGATTTACAAGGAAAAAGGAGATCATATAATAAAGCATACATAGCTAAAAAATTGATTTATACTAAATGAATATTTATTTAATTCAAGGCTGTATTTATTAAAGAATTGTTATTTATACATAATAATAAGCGCAATTTCCTACTTGATATGAGATCGGCAAATCATAATATAATGTGAATACTTGCATTAACTTTACAACCTCAAAATCTCAATAAGAAGTTTCAAAGAATAAATCAAACCAGTATTGAAAGGAAGAAAAAAAAATTCAAGAGTCTTGGAGTTAATACTGAACTTGAATGAAGTTCAACTAATTAATACTTTCACACAAAAAACCAGTCGATTAATTCAATTCCGAAGAAAAGCAAATAGTACCTATGATAGTGTGATATTAATTCCAATTATCTTCACCGCAATCTCGTGAGGGCATTACTCATTATGTTTCTTGCAATTATCATATATATTTTTATTTCTTAGTCATTGGTAAAAATAGATTATTTACTTTTCTTACAGCTTATTGATTTCTATCTACTTTTTATCTATACAGTTATTTTTCAGTTCAAACTTATAAATACATGTCAAGTAAAGAAAAGTAACAGCTAAAAGTTATCGTACAGAAATCTTAACCTTTTTTTTTTTTCACGTACATTTTTATATATTTGATCTAAATATTAACTATATAGAGATAGAGGTGTGCATAGTGGAAAATTTGAAAAAAACCACTTTAGTTGATTAAGAAAAGGATGGAATTAATTTATCGAGTTTATGATGATGAGAAAAAAGATACCTTTGTTTTAATGAGCCGACGAGTGAGGACCTTAGAAGGGACTGATGAAGATCGTCGAAAATTAACCATTTGACATTTAGTATTGACTATACATAAAAACAAAAAGCCCTTTTATGAATGCTTAGCTATGAATTTTAAAGTTATGTGATATTAGGGATATGTGTAGTTCAGAACTATAGTTTGAACGGCTGTGCTGTCGACTCAAGAGAGGCTACTTAATATATGTAATGGGCGATTTTGTTGATTTTATTTATTCGAAACACAGTTGAGGAAATGAATATACATCATAGGTATTGGCATGATGATTAATCAGAATTATATGGAAAAGAAGTTGAATTGTGTTTATCGGCTTAGTCACCCCAGCTAAAACTACTTCAGGTTTTGGTATTCGATAACGACTTTCTGATATTTTACAATCATTATATCAACTGATAATGTGCAGTGTATATTTGCGTAGTTGTATAAGTCATTGCTTATGCTGCCGTTCATCGTTTGAACTCACTATATTTACGTATCGATGGTTATTAAGAAAAGTGTTTTAGCCAGTAGGATCTCGTTGAATCAGAGATAAATTTAACTCTCAGCTTATTTCTCAAGTTTCAGCTAATGACTTATAGTTACTACTTCTTATTGTTGGAATCATTTTGGTTTTAGAGACTGCCAATCCCCCAAAGGCTTTAACAAATGGCTTCACGCATTCGTATTTGTTGAGATGTATACTTCAATTGCACGATATTTTCAATATAGCTACATTTTAGGGAAGTTTGTTCCCAGATTTGAACTCAAAGGCTCTCTCATTAAAGTGTTGCAGTACTATTAGATTATTATTCAAACATATGAATACGATGAAGTTGACTAATGCCCTTTTTGTATTATACTAGAAGTTTTCCTGACAGAATCGCGAATACTCTGACGATGAAAGATTAATGAATTTCTGATGTTTCGTCGCGAACTGAGTTCGAATTATAACAATCTTTGGAGCTGCAAAATAGTTGCAATTAGAGACTTTTGATCACTTTGAGATTTTACTTCATGCGCCTATTTATTTGAAGTTGAGATGAATTGGCTAGGTATTTCTAATGCTGGATTTTTTTGACAACCTTTGAGTCAGCACTTATATTTTACGGAAGTAGTTTATTTACTTGAGTTTTTAGTCGCTGTTTATTCGCTACTTGTTAGCTTAGCTTACACATTTCGAGTTCACCGTATAGATTAATAACATTTTGAATGTGTGCAAATATGTCTGGAAGTCTCCCATTTTAATTTTTTTTAATTCTTGAAGACTGTTTGGACAGCTTTAGCTTATCAGTTGCGATTAGTGTAATTCTGGAGCTTCCGGCTTTTCGGCAAAATTTTTACTCCCTCTAAAGTAGGATTTGTTTCGCCAACATGCTTACATTTTATTTCTTATTGAATCGTAGTTTTAAGGACACTCTAGGATGATTGTTGTTGAGTTGTTGATTCCCAGAGCTTATATATCCCTGTTGAATGTATTCAGATTTATCCCACGTTTAAGATATTATTACTTTTCTTATGGTTAGTTTGACAGTTCAAACATATTGATGCGTAACCTTATTATCTCAATATAAGTTTTCCATGCTCGGAAAGGGTCAACGAATTTTTATACCCACCTCATAAAATTTATTTTGACGAGATGGAACCCTGTTTTTAGGAAATAGTTCTTTTTGTTTGAGCCTTGTTGGTTTATCGCAAGAACTTAAACTTATCATCTAAAGCGAATTGCAGGATTTTTTTTGCAGCTGAGATTGTATAGCTTTTTTTTACACTTGTTCGAGATCGTAAAATCTGTATTCCTAGGTCTTGAAGATACACAGTTAGCATAACTGAGTTTTAGCGTTGAAATCGATTAGTCCTAATAAGCACTAGCTGACCTATTCACCTTTTTTTAAATCACACCTAATAATTCTTAGCCTGTTAGTGATTTTATGAAAAGAATTACTACCCAATAAACTTTACATTTGCAACTACTCTTAACGTACTGTCTTCGTCAAGAAAGATTCAATTTAATTCTATTGGCTGTGAAATTTTTGTTCATTGGTATAAGATGCTACGCCTAATAGGTAAAAAGTGGTGAAAGGAAGCAGAAAGTTTGTTTGAATATTAACCATATGGTAATAAATGAAAGTCTGTTTACTAAGAAACAAATTACAGAGGCCTTTGAGTGAGTGCATGTTGAATAGCAGGCTCATTTATGGCATTTTTAAGTTGATCAAAAATTTTTTGCAAGAAAGTATAGTCGTTAAGACAATACCGAAAACAGGGTTTTTGACTAGTTTAATTTAGTAAGCATGAAGCCTATACGTAGGATAAGATGGTATAAAGGAATTGGCTAACCTCGAAAAGTGACTTCGTGCTTGTCTTTTAAATTGTTTAAATTTTTGTCTAATATATTTCATCAAGATAGCTTGTTAATAAAAAAATATATAACAAATTTTTTTTTATAATGATAATGAATAATAATTGCCAATAATATTAGAAAGTGCTACGAGATTCTGATATAAATACTTAGTTTTCCAACTTGTTTGATTTTATTAAGTCAAGTCTTAATTTCTTTGACTTTTGATTATTCTGCGTTTAACCTTTGTGGAGGCTTTTCTTGCAACAACTCAGTTGAATTTTATTTAAACAAAAAGGTTTGGCGTTCCTTTCACCGTAACTTAAAAAAAGATGTAAATACTGAGTCTGGTCAAAGGGGAATTAGAACTTAAGATGCTCAGGCATAAAATTTCAAACCCCTTTTGTCTCGAATCCCTTTTCTAGGTATATCCTACTCGAGTAAACATTAGAAAGCTTGAAAGGGTCAAATAATTTATATAGTAAACGCTGTATCACTTAATGTAAGAGGAGTTTGTAATAGGATTTTGAAAAGTATTGATTAATATTTTGTTCAATTTTGCAAAAAAAAGTAGAATAATTTGGTAAAATAAGGTATTAACATTAAAAAAATACATAAAATTCCAATAAACCCAACCAAAACGACTTTTGGCATGTAATACAATAGCTTGAAGATTGATAAAATATATAGAGTCAAGAAAACTTTTATTGGTTGCAAATAGTCGAAGTCTCAGCTCAAATTCTTTTTTTGAGTGTTTTCGCTGCCAAAAATCAACAGTGGAACAAGAACATTGAAATTGACAATCATCAAGCGCAACCCCAAAGGACCCAGTATGATGGTCGAAGAGTTCCATACTGCTATAGCACATGATGGAATTTCTATGGGTTTGGCTGTGGAGAAGATTATTAATAAGTCTGGATTTTTAAACTTACATATCTAGGAATATCATGCTATATGCCAAAATGATATATTTATAATTTAATACATAAGATTTTTGATTAAGAGTACATGTATATACAAGCATTAAGGAAATTAAATTGTATCAAGATTCGAAGTTGAATCCCTATAGTTTTCAGGGGATTTTATACCCAAGAAATAGAAGAGTCTATCCCATTGGCCCTTTTTATGTAGCATTGCTAAGATTAAAATGGCGGGCAATTGCCATACCGAGCACCAAAACAATTTTTTAGCATGGAAACCAGCTGCTTGAAGGCCTTCAGCGGTTGGTTTGGCACCATTTGCGTAATTTTTCTCTTGTTGTTTCCAAAAGTTGAATGCCAAATAAGTTAACCAAATATTGGCAATTACCGAGTCTATTTGGAAAACCCAATCGGTTACACCGAAATAACTTAAACCAAAGCATAAAGGAAACATAAGTATAGAATAACGTAAAGCGACACGAGCATTTAATCTTGGATTTTCAGCAGCCGTCATGAAATATCCAGCACCTTTATATTGATCGGCAACGTTATGAGATAAAGCGTTGAAATGAGGAAATTGCCAGGCATATAATAAACCGGCTAAACACAAACCACCGGGGTGTAATAATGGAGATGAAGCTGCCCAACCCATAAGAGGAGGAATGGCACCAACTATGGCACCAACCCAAGTGTTAATGATTGATTTTCTCTTAAGAGAAGTATAAATCCAAGAATATAAAACAATATTCAAAGCACCCAAAAGAGAAACGGTTGGATTAACCCCCCAATATAACATCAGACAACCTATTGTACCAGTGGCCGCTGCAAACTGATATGATTGCTTCGGGGTGACTATACCACGAACAACGGGTCTTAAGGAGGTTCTAGCCATATGTTTATCAAACTCCGGTTCCCTACCCATATTAATAGCATTTGCAGCTCCCGAACAAAGGGCGGTACCAAGAGTTAAGAACGCTAATTGAGGTAATGAAACAGTTAAAGGAGAAAGTGAATAGGAACAGATACAACTTAAGGTAACTAAAACCGTTAAATTTGGTTTAGTAAGTTTAATGTAAGGATTTATCAAAGCCCGAAGATCCGTTTTGGATGAAGCTGAGGTGGATTTACATTTTGGTTTAACCGCAAAAGGGATATGATTAGATTGGGCATTTGTATCTGGAATGGGGGTTGACGTGCTTTTGACTTGGCCATTGTCCGAAGTAGATATTCTTTGGCCCAGAGGGGCATCCAGATCTTGACAGTTGAGGACTTTAGTGGCAACGTTTTGCAAAATCGTACCATTTTCTGGATTAGAAAGTGATTCATTGGAGGTTTTTGAGGATAATGAAGGATGATTTGGGTTTTGATTTTGATTTTGAAATTGAACAAATGTCGAATCTGAATGATTTTTATGCCTAGCAGGGGTACCTGTTATCAATTTTCTATAAGTTGAAGTCAAATACTGATTTCCAATGAAATTTTGTTGTTTCAGTAAGTTTTTGGTGGTATTTTTAAAGAAGAAATTGAAGTTCGAGGCATAATTAAGCCTGGGTATTATCAATTTCTGGGACATTATTAGAATAGATGGTTAATGATATAGGAATCAAATTTAGGAATGAGACAACGTGCGTCAGCTTTGAATCTTTCCTCTTATAGGGTAACAAGTACTATATATGAGACCAGTGTATCATTAAAAACAACAATCAAAGGCTTTACAAGCAGAACCAGAGGCACTTTAGGAGTAAGGAAGATGAAAGATCAAGATGAACTGATTGAAGGTTTGATCTTTTTTTTTTTTTCATTGAGTTTTTTTTTTCTTTGTTTTTTTTTTCGTTCTTTCCTCAGAAAGTTTTTGTGAATAGCTTTTCCAACCAATAACATGGAGAAAAGGAAGACTACAATGCAGCTACAAGAAGATCAAATGCTTTTCGTTTAGTTATAGCTATGGAGAGAATTACTCTTTAGAGGCCCCGTCACCTAATTCTTCAGTGGAAGTCGAAGCAGCAGCTTCGGGTTTATCAGAATCCAAATCATTTTTTGAATTTTTTTCATTCAATTGTTTATTTTCTAATTTATTTTCAATCAAGTCATGATAAGCAATGATTGCTCTTACCAAGGTACTCAAATAGACCATCATTAATTCGTCATTGGTTTTAATGGTGAAAGCAGTGGCCAAAGGATTTGAAGATTCACTTGGAGATTGACTATTTGAAGTTGAATCTGAGATTGGGTTTGCATGATTGGTTGGGTTAGTTAAGTTGGGTAATAAATTAAAGACATTTTGTAATTTACCCAAGATGGTATGATTTATTGGTAGTTTTTTTGAATAAACTTTATCTAAATAATTAGCAATTTCTCTTAATTTTTGATGTAAACCTAATAAGGATTGATAGCTTTGAGTAACCCTCAAGGATAAGTTACCTGCAGCCTGATCTCTAATGTCGGTTAATAAATGTTCAACCCCGATTTCTTCTGCTTCTTCCGCTTCGATTAATGAGGGAACGTGAACAAAAGTCCGTTCTGCAGCAGAACCATCGTTTTTAATATCGTCCACAGCATAATATGCATCAGTTGGAATACCAACTACTCTTGGTTGAACATCCACAATCAATAATAATGGATTTGTAGTATATTTTCTGAAAACATCATTGATTTTCAAATCGGAAGCTCTTAATTTTGGTCCTGAGTGATACCATCCAATTAATTTTTCTTTAGCATTGATTTTCTTGAACATTTCTCCCATGGACTCTATAAAATTATGATCTAAAAACCATACCGATGGGTTTTTTTCATCTTCTTCAAATGGAATAGCATAAGAATTTGTAACTTTTATAACATCACTGGTATTATCTCCCAATATAACACCAACCACTCTTTTCTTGGAGTCTTTGGCCACTCGATTATAATGGTCCACCACTGATAAAAGTACCAATGGTGATACAGTCACTGTTTTATTCAAAAATACCGATTCATTGGATGTACTCATTTCGCCACTTAAATTTTTCTGATAACTTGACAATTCCCAACAAAAACAACAGGAAATAAAAAAAAAAACAGCAAATAACTCTTCTTATACGAATCAATTGTCTACCAAAAGCCTTGATACTACTGATAATTCTCTTGTTCTATCTAATAATATTGCCTTTCAAGAAGAAACTCGAAACAAGTCAAAAACTCAAAAGAAATCGACAAGGGCAAAAAAACCTCCTCCAAAAAGTCGTGCGCAGCAACACTTTTCACCAAGCACCTTAAAAAATGACTGGCATCGATTGATTTGAAGAGAGAAGAAAATCACGATTAAGATGTTTGGACAGGTTGTTATAGGGCCTCCGGGGTCTGGGAAGTCGACCTACTGCCATGGGATGTACCAGTTTCTTTCTGCCATTGGAAGGAAGCTGTGTATAGTGAATTTGGACCCTGCCAATGACCGATTACCTTATCCAAATTGTGGACTTGATATACGAGATTTTATAACGTTGGAGGAGATTATGGACGAGTTGAACTTGGGGCCCAACGGAGGGTTGATGTACGCCTTGGAGAGTTTGGATGAAAGTGGTATTGAAGTGTTTATGAAGAAGATTGATGATTTGATCAAGGATCAAAATTATCTTATATTTGATTGTCCGGGGCAAGTTGAGTTGTTTACGCATCATAACTCATTATTCAAGATATTCAAGAAGTTGGTCAAGTCCCAAGATACTCGACTTTGTGTTGTTTCATTGGTTGATCTGATTTATTTGACTAGTCCATCCCAATATATATCAATTTTACTATTAAGTTTAAGATCGATGCTTCAATTGGATCTCCCTCACGTGAATGTCATTTCAAAGATAGATAAGTTGAACACGTACGGAGAACTACCTTTTAGATTAGATTATTATACCGAAGTTCAAGACTTAGATTATCTAACTCCTCATTTAGAGAAAGAATCCAATTCGGTATTGGGACAAAATTATGTTCGCTTAACCCAAATGATTGCAGAAATGGTCGAGGACTTCAACTTGGTATCTTTTGAAGTTCTATCGGTTGAAAATAAACAGTCCATGATTAACCTTTTAAGTATTATAGATAAAGCAAATGGTTATAGTTTTGGTAGCAGTGAAGTTGGTGGTGATACCATTTGGAGTGAAGCTACTAGACAAGGAGGGATGTCGGAGTATTTGGACATCGATATCCACGAACGTTGGATCGATCATAAAGAAGAATACGACGAACAAGAAAGAAAAGAACAAGAAGAACTACGTAACTCAGTTATAGATCAACAACAACCAAAATTAACCGAAGACGAAGAATGGGAAATGGCTCTTCAAGATTGGGAAAACAAAAGAGGTGGAGATGCACTTCTTCGTTAATTATAGACCTTGTATATTAAAAAAAATATGTATTTAATTATTGAACTAATTCTTTAGCAGCACTTAAATCTTCTTCTCCCTTGTAAGTTTCTAAAAATTGGCTCAATGCTTCTTTATGATCCTTGATCTTGCGGCTGACTTCTGGAACCATTCTTTGTGATTCTTCTAATACTTGAATCTGTTTTTTCAATTCGTATTCATCAGCGTTATTTGATTTCATTTGATCCACGTATTGTTGTTGTTCGGCAACTTCTTGTTGGTACAAGGTTTCTTCCTTGATAAGACGCTTCAATGCGTTGACTTTGATTTGTAAAGCACTTGGTGGCATGTTATCTTCACTTGTCTATCGGGAGTTGTAAGTATAAATATGATCTACTCGTTGATCTACTCGTTGATTTGGCGTCTGTTTTCATTTTTTTGAATGGGAAAAAAAAAATCAAAACTTAAAAAAAAAAAAAAAAAAAACTCTGAAGATCTGAACATTACTTTGAAGACTAGCACCACACTACTTGCTTAAATTGTTTTTGGTAAGACCTGATATCGTATAGAGGAGCACCGGAGACCAAAGACTTTTGCTGATACACCTGAGAAAACCGCTTATACTAAAAATTTTGAAGAAGCAAAAGTTGATTTCATCTCATCTCGATCTAGGAAAAGGCTTGATTTTGTATAATGACCGACTTTGTTAATCCTGAAAACGAAGCTTTGATTCAGGAGCAATTGGCCAGATCGGTGTCGAACTTAACCTTGAAGAGAAACCTACTTGTAACCCAACTAGATACTTATACTGATTTGAAGAAAACCATTGCAAATAATGATCAACTAGAGTCAATAATGGTAATGCTTGGTGATGGGTGGTTCGTTGATATGGCGATATATGAAGCTCAGGAATTCTTGAGCAAAAGAGTATCCCATATGAGAAGTACAATTGATGAATTCAATGCTAAGATAAAACATGGAGAAAAAACCATTGAAGAATTTAGAAAATTTAAAGAACTTACTAATGAGGGATCCGAGTCAAATGATAAAGTCAATGAAGAAGGCTTGCCTTTTATAGAGATACGAGAAGAAATAGATGACGAAGGTAATATTATTGAAGTTAAATTAAACGATGAAATTCAACCACCGGATGAAAAAAAGTCAGATGAGCAATTGCCTAACATAGACGAGGATCAGATATTTAATATAACAGAAGAGCTTGATGAAGATGGGAACGTTATAAATTCAAGTTTGAAAGAAGAAAATGGAGCACAGAAGGAAGAAGAGAAAGAAGAGCAAGAAGAGAAAAAGATTGAAGAAATCAATGACTCTAACGATGAAATAAATCAAATAAATGAACTATTTGAGGATATGGAAATTATAAATAAAAAGGATATTGACCAAGAAATTGATAAGATGACTCAAAGTCAATTAGTTGATCAAGATGAATTACTTGAAAAAATAGATGCATTAGATATAGATCCTCAAGAGAAATTCAATTTGAAGAAATTTTGTGTTGAAGAGTATGCCAAATTAAAAGAAGAAAAAGCCGAATCCAAAGATCAATTAGATGATGATAAGAAACAAGAAAGAGATGAGATACTTTCCCAAATAATAAAGGAGAACGATCTTGATTTTGAATCGGATAATATTGGAATGACCAGTACACCCAAATCCAATAATCTTGATATTAATGGGAATGATTTAATTGAATTAGAGATTTTGGCCAGTGAATTAAACGAAGAGAATGATTTAGAACAAGACGATGAAGAATGGGATTTTGAATTTGATGACGAAGAAGAAGAAGAAGATTATGCGGATGAATTATTATATGGGAATGCTAAAACCAATTTCATGCCGCTGAGTAGAGACGGATTGAATGATAAACTATGGACTCAAGTATCTGAATTAAGAAAAAAGAAGGAATCGGATGGCAAGCCTACTAAAGAGATATTCAAATCAATTTTAAAACCAATGGAAAGGGTTAAAGAAGAAAAGAAAAAATCGGTTAGGTTTAATGATACTCTTGATATTCAACAAGTGGCTAATATAAGTGAAGAATTGAAACAAATGGCGCAATACAATCAAAGTTTTTCAAGATTTAAACAAGAACGAAATTATCAAAGACAAACCAATGAGCCAATAACCATTGAAAAAGAGGAGGATTTTGAAGAACCACTTAGTGAGTTTATAATTGAGAAGAACGTTGAACCCGAAGAAGAAGACGATCAAGTGGGGGAAGATGAATATTATGATAGCGATTCATTTAGTTTAGAAGTTGAAGAAGCCGCCAATTTTACCAGTTTCGAAGAGACGAGTTCGGAGTTTATTGAGGATGAGATCAGAATAAGCGAGCCCAAGTATGCTAATAAGATACTGGTTAAGGATGAGTACGAGAAGGAAGACGAATTCATCAACCGACAAAAATTGATGGAGGAATCGATCCGAGAGAATGAGGATATGCCTAAGAAGGTATCTAAATTCAAAGCAATGAGAGGGAAAAAGGGTGTTAGTGATGTTGAAAAAGATGACAATGTTGTTAGTGATATTGTTGAAAAAGATGACAGCGTTAGTGATGTTATTGAAAGAGAGTTTAATGATAACGTTGTTAGTGATGTTGTTGAAAAAGACGACAACGTTAGTGATATTGGGGAACCGATCGGAGAGAATGAAGATATGCCTAAGAAGGTATCTAAATTCAAAGCAATGAGAGGGAAAAAGGGTGTTAGTGATATTGTTGAAAAAGATGTTGCTAGTGATATTGTTGAAAAAGATGTTGCTAGTGATATTGTTGCAAAAGATGTTGCTAGTGATATTGTTGAAAAAGATGTTGCTAGTGATATTGTTGAAAAAGATGTTGTTAATGATATTGTTGAAAAAGATATTGTTAATGATATTGTTGAAAAAGATATTGTTAATGATATTGTTGAAAAAGATGTTAATGATATTGTTGATGTTATTGAAAGAGATAATGACAACGTTAATGTTAATGACGTTGGCAATGAAAAGAAAGTTTCTAGATTCAAATCCATGAGACAGGCCAAGCCCAATAAGACAAAGAGTCAACCAAAGAGTCAACCAAAGAGTCAACCAAAGAGTCAACCAAAGAGTCAAGATACAAAGAGTCAAGATACAAAGAGTCAACCAAAGGGTCAAGATCTAAATGAAGTACTGGTGGATTACGGTGGCATCGAAGATATGGATACCATGGCCCGTGCATACGTGCTAGGGGCCTACGACGACGATATCATGACCGAAGGCCCGGTAGTCGACAAAGTGGAAGACTTCGAGGTGCTCAACAAGATGATCAACAGCTTCCAACAAGAAGAAGAAGACGAAGACACCAAGCAAAGAAGAGTGGAACAGCGAAAGAAACAACTCAAGTTGAAAAACATGAATCAATACGACGAGAAATTAGACGTCATTGGCGGAGAATACTCCGAAGAAGAAGAAGAAGGCGATGAAATCATGACGGATGACATCATCGAACGAGAAACCAACCACGTCAACTCGAACATCGAGGACGAGATCCTAGGACAAGAAATCAAAGACAATTATAACAGAATGAGACAAAAGATGATTTTCGAACGCGGAGGCTACTTGCAGAACGAGCAAGAACAGGAATTCGAGTACCACCAGTCGCCGGTGGTGGACGAACAGGGTAATCCTGTTCGAGTAAGTCGTTTCAAAAGCAAACGATTGGGGTTGTAAACAACGAAAACTTGACAGAATTGTGGGGTTGAAAAGTGGGAGCAATTTCCGGGGTTTACCACTAGTACTTTATATACCTTGTAATGCCAGTACCACCACTCCACCAAACCGTAGACCCACTGTAGAGACGCTGTAGAGACTGCAGACACCGGCATAGTCATAGATACATATCCTATACACCATACATCGTACCCACCTTGCACAGACTTCCGTTTGTCCTGCGATCCCCAGACTGCTGAATATTCCTTTAAGACTCCGACGATTAAACTCCGAACGGTTACCAGTTTCGAGGGTACAAACCCTTGTGGTCGTACCACCCTTAGTCTTGGGCCTACGCCTACAGACTCACCGGCTCACCATCCTCCCGTCAAGCTACTGCAACAAGAGACCACTGGCAGGGCCCCGGGAAAGGAGCATCCGTGGACGGTGCCCGTCTGGGGTGACATCGCAGTGGTGTCGGAATGGGCTGCACCGGTTTGTTCCAGGTCGGAGATTTGATCTTTTCCAGTTAGTGTCACCAATCCTCAAGTATCTCTTGCCATTCTTATTGGCTGATCCGGATATTCGATTGTGGATAGACGTGTACCCATTGGTATATATATACCGGGGGATATCTTCTTCTTTCTGGCTCCCGTCTTCTTCATAACTGTCCATCGTTGAATTTTTCAAAAGCAAACATAAAGTAAACCCATACCTCTCTCCCCCAGAGTGTCCCCCCTCCTTTGCTGCTAACTGTTTTTGTTGAGAGACACCCTTTTTTTAAGTTATTCAACATTTTTCAATAATTGGTTTGTGTAAAATCCAACACTAATACTCCACATTTAGCTATATATATATATATCCTTGTGTTTGCCTATACTTATACCTATCATTTTGTACAGACCCTAGACAATGAGTTCCATTCTTAAATCCAGAGTTAGATACGCTCCATACTTGAATAAATTGAGAACTGCTGAACAGTGTGTTGAGTTGTTCAAATCCGGCCAATACTTGGGCTGGTCAGGATTCACTGGGGTTGGTGCTCCAAAAGTTATTCCTTCGGCCTTGGCTGATCACGTTGAAAAAAACAACTTACAAGGTCAGTTGGCCTTTAACTTATTTGTTGGTGCTAGTGCTGGTCCCGAAGAAAGCAGATGGGCTTCCAATTCGATGATTTTACGTAGATCTCCTCATCAGGTTGGTAAGCCAATTGCCCAAGCCATTAACGATGGTAGAACCCAGTTTTTCGATAAGCATTTATCGATGTTCCCGCAGGATTTGACCTATGGTTACTATACCAAAAATAAAGAAAACGATTTATTGGATTATACCATTATTGAAGCAACCGCCATAACTGAAGATGGGGCCATTATCCCGGGTCCGGCCGTTGGTGGTACTCCGGAAATGGTTTCTTGTTCGGATAAAATCATTATTGAAGTTAACACCGCCACTCCTTCGTTTGAAGGGTTACATGATATTGATATGCCAATAAATCCTCCTTTCCGTCCGCCATATCCTCACACTTCTACCGATTATAAAGTCGGGGTCAATGCGGTCCCCGTGGACCCTTCTAAGGTTGTTGCCATTGTGGAATCAACCACCAAGGATAAAGTTCCTCCAAATACTCCTTCGGATGCCGTTTCTCAAGGTATTGCTGATCATTTGATTGAGTTTTTCAAACACGAAGTTAAAATGGGTAGATTACCAGAAAACTTGCATCCATTACAATCGGGTATTGGTAATATTGCTAATGCCGTTGTTGAAGGTTTGGCTAAATCTGAATTCAAAAATTTAACTGTTTGGACTGAAGTCTTACAAGATTCTTTCCTTGATTTCTTTGATTCTGGTTCCTTGGATTATGCTACTGCTACTTCAATTAGATTAACTGAAGCCGGTTTTGATAGATTTTATGAAAATTGGGATAGTTTCTCCAAAAAATTATGTTTAAGGTCTCAAGTTGTTTCCAATTCTCCAGAAATTATTAGAAGATTAGGGGTTATTGCCATGAATACCCCAGTTGAAGTTGATATGTATGCTCATGCCAATTCAACCAATGTCATGGGTTCAAGAATGTTGAATGGTTTAGGTGGTTCGGCTGATTTCTTAAGAAATGCTAAATTATCAGTCATGCATACTCCTTCTGCTAGACCTTCGAAAACTGATCCAACCGGGGTTTCTTGTATTGTTCCAATGGCTACTCACGTTGATCAAACCGAACATGATTTGGATGTCATTGTTACCGAACAAGGTTTGGCTGACTTAAGAGGTTTATCTCCAAAGGAAAGAGCTCAAGAAATCATTAATACCGTTGCCCATCCTGATTATAAAGATCAATTACAAGATTACTTTGATCGTGCAACTTTCTACTGTAAGAAAAATAAAACTTTACACGAACCTCATATTTTGAAAGATGCCTTCAAAATGCATATGAATTTACAAGAAAACGGTTCAATGAAGTTGGATTCCTGGGATAAAAAATTTTAAATAATTTAAATAGTTGTATTTAAAATAAAAGATTATTTATTAGTTATTACTACGTCTTTGTATATACTACTTTGTTTTTTTTTTTTTTTTTTTTTTTTTTGTTTGTCTCTCGAGGGTACGGGTGTTTTCGGATTTTCGAACAACTGGAGTCTTCTAGAAAAATTAGAGAAAAATTTTAATTTCTTTATATATCACCGGTCAAACTTGACAGTATATTCAACAAAGACTTCATCGGCAATGAAACCAAGCTTATTGAAGGCTGCTACAAGATTCACTGGTAACCTTACCAGAAGAAACCTTGGTCCTCGCATAATAACAAGAAATCTACATACCAAGATTGATTGTAAAAGATTATTTCATTCTTCATCCCGTCAATTATTAAACGTTGATCCTTATAAAACTTTGGGAGTCGATAAAAGCGCCGATGCCAAAGAAATCAAAAGGGCTTACTATCAATTGGTTAAAAAATACCATCCCGATGTTAATAAAGAAAAAGACGCTGAGACCAAATTTCATAAGATTCAAGAATCTTATGAGTTATTAAGTGATAAAGATAAAAGAGCTCAGTATGATCAATTTGGCTCGAGTGCTTTCGATGCCAACGGTAATTCCAATCCATTCGCCGGTGGCGGTAATCCATTCGCCGGTGGCGGTAATCCATTTGGTGGTGCCAGTGGGTTTGGTGGTATGGGATTTGATTTTGAAGATTTATTCAAGCAAGCTTTCACTGGTGGTAGAGGTGGTAGAAGTGGTAGAGGAGGAGATGGCTTTGTCACTTCTCATGTTGGTGACGATATTGAAGTTTTAAAGTCAATCAAATTCAAAGAATCAATTTTCGGTACTAAAATTAATATCAATTATAAAGCAGTTTCAAGTTGTGGTACTTGTAAAGGAAGTGGGTTGAAAACCGGTAAGAAAAAATCAACCTGTCCAACTTGTCATGGTACTGGTCAAAGTACTCATATAATCGGCGGGTTCCATATGGCTTCTACTTGTAATACTTGTCAAGGTAGTGGGGTTACTGCTCATAAAAACGATCAATGTAATTCTTGTCATGGTAATGGGGTTGAAGAATCTCCAAAACAAGTCAGTGTCGATATTCCTCCAGGAGTTAGTGATGGTACTAGATTAAGAATTCCCGGTGGAGGTGATGCTCCATTCGTTACAAAAGATCCTTATACTCATATTGAAAATGGGGATTTGATTATTAGGGTTCATGTTGAAAAAGATTCAATCTTTAATAGAGTTGGTAATAAAATTCAAATTAACCACGAAATCCCAATGACAACTGCTTCATTAGGTGGTGAAATTATTGTTCCTACCATTGATGGAGAAAAAATTAAATTGAAAATCAGACCTGGTGTTCAAAACGGCCGTACCTTAACTATTCCTGAAAAGGGGGTTCCATTGAATCGTAATGTAAATAATAGAACTGATATGGATGTGATTTTAAATGTTAAAACTTTAATCCCTGAAACTCCAATTCAAACCGCTTTATTAGAGGCTTTGGCCGATGCTTTCAACGATAAAACTGCTAAGAGAACCGATGCTCACTGGAAATTAGATTTGGAAGATGAACCTTCAAATGATGATAAAATTGATAAAACTTTCGACGAAAAAGATTTACATCCTTCCAAATTGAAGAGAATTGGTAAATTTTTAAATCGTTTTTTCAATTTAAAAGATGACGATAAGAAATAATGATAATGATATTGAAATAGTATCCCTGTACATAGATCTTTGATTTTTTTTTTTCATTTGTATATATCCTACTAATCTTTGTATAAAGGGTTCCAAATATTTATTCAACCTGTGAAAAATACATCACAACCTGTAAAAAAACCAACACAACGTGTAAACAATAATCTGTAAAATTCCCAACACAACCTGCAAAACCCACCGTTAGACACAAAAGCCCAAACACCAACACCAACACGATTTACGAAAAATGAGAATTTCGCGAAAAAACCACTGCAAAAAGACGTGTTTTTGTTGTTTTTCGTTTTTCGTGTTGATCTTTGGCGGCTAAATTTAAACTACTTCTTCTTTATTGATTATTCATTGGAATCACCACGGCCACCTGTTGTGCCGCCTAACACTGGGAATGGGTCTCTCGCTGAGGCCTTCTGGAAGCAAGCCCTGTTTGTAAATGCCACCTGGGAACAGAACATGATGGGAATTGAGAATTTTCAGCTTTGCTCGTCACCAAGATCAAGGCGGTTAGCTCTTTACACGAGAATATGTAATACCTTCTGTAACGTTTCAACGATTGATTCTCGAGTCAGTCAATTTCAACCTGATGTATCCTTACTAACAATTGTCTAGAAGCTTGGGATCTAATAATAACTTGATTGGAGGCATCCTCCTTACAGGTTGTTTATAGGCTTTTTGGTAAATTTAACCCTTTCGGGAATTTGCAATCGATTCAGATATCAAAGCGTGTCATTGTTTTGAAGGTGTCAGCTATTGATATAGCTTTCAATACAAAGATCATAACACCCTTTCGCTTCGTTTGTTCCAATGTTCAGTATCCCACAATCAATGTGATCCATTCTCGTAATAAAGTCTATTCTTTCTACATTTGTCTAGACCTCAACTTACGTTCTTCATATCTTTTATCTTTCGTTTACCGATGAGAATTTGTTCTTTTACATGCCGGTCTGCCCATTGAATAAACAACAACCTTTTGTTATTGTTTACCTTTGACTTAACCTTCCTTTCTTTTTTGTCATTGTTTTGAGTCGGTTTTGTTAATGGATTAGATCCTTTACCTAGCTGTTTCTAACATTTACAAGGTCCCATCTTTGCATTTGTGATTGAATACTTAATTTCATCTTACGGGGTCCCATTTAGGGAGTGCATTAGAAAGGCCTCATGTCTTTTCCGGTAACTTTATTTATTCATTCAGTTGTGCCCTCCACATATATATAGTCTCTTCTACGCCCCGTCTCCAAAGACATTGGTTCATAATACTAAAGTTGATTCCACTCTTTTGATTTTTTTTTTGATTCTTCTCTTCTTTTTCTTTCTTCTTTTCTTCTGCATCAAAGTCTTTCTTTAATCTTCTTGAGTCTTGATTCTTTCTTGACAACTACAATCTACTCAAGTACCCTACTCAATCAGTTCAAACTTTCCTGATATTCATTCGCTTAAAGGGTAATTTTTTTTTTCATTCCAACTTCTTACGTTCATTATACTTTAATTTATCTTTAAGAAGGAAATAAAATAAAATAAAAAAAAAAGACAGGGAAAAGGAAAATGTCACTCTCTATTCCTGAACAAATTCCTAACGTCAATATCGGAAAGGATTCTAATCTAGAAGACATAACCTTGAATACCCCTAAAAGATCAAATACCGTTACTCTTAGAAATTACCCGAAACCAATACCGCATCATAATATCAATCCCAACAATAATAATGCTTACATACCTTCACCCCTCAAGAGTCAGCTCTCTAGATCCCGCTCTGTCCAATCCAATACCTCAACTGGTTCTTCGTCTTCATTGTCGAATCCTGATAATTCACAATATATTGTACACGTCAATAAAACTCCAAATAATTTAACTCCTTCTCAAAGATTAAAATTAAGAAAAGATCAATTAAATGATTCAATTGCAAAATTTAAACATCCTGCTCCAATCAGAAAATCAGAATTACAATATTGTAAAGAAGATAATGATGACGATGAAATTGACGAAGAAGAAATTGATGAAGATATGTCATTTGCATTTTTCAATGTTCCAATTTCGCAACCATTAACTTCTTTAGCAAATAAAGAAAAATTCACTTTTGCTAATAATGATCGTAAATTTTCTTTCACAACTGCTACTGAATCTACTCGTACCTCTTCAATACTAAGTCATGATAGTTTTGTCGATACTGAATCTAGTTGTGATCATGAAATAATGACAATGAATGATAAGGATAAAGTTTACCAAAATACTAATTCCATTCATTCTACTTCTTCCTTTTTAAGCCAACAGGACATAAATGAATTAAGATTGTCTCAAGATGCTCTAGAATTAACTCTTTTATTCAATCAAACTGAATCAATTCAAATTAATGAAGAATCAAGACAAAAAAGAAAATTACTATCAAGTTTTAAAAAATTAAACCAATCGGTCCCTCCTTCTCCTCATGCCGAATCATTTCTGTCATTAGTGAGTAATTCTAACCAATTACCTCAACAACCTCCACCTCCCGTACCAGTTGCATCATTTTCCAATCAAAAATCCCTCAAGTCTACTCGCTCGGTAAACGATTTAAAGTCTCCTAACAACAAGCCTATGCGTTTGTCTTTAAAATCAAGCTCAAATCCTTCATTACCATTAACAACTAAATCTCTTCCTAAAAGTCAACCTCAATCACCTTCTCAGTATACTTCATTTACAAGACCTACTTGGTTACCTCCTAAATCTAGTAAAGACAAAATGAAACATCAACGTGAATCAGAAACACTTTTAAATCATGCTATAGTATCTGAGAATAAACGCCAGATGCAAATTAGTTCTAATCTCAATAAATTGAATAAATTGAAACAAATAGATTTATTCAAATGGGAAAATGAAATATTACCGAATGGTTCAACCATTAAAACGAAAGATTATAGAAATCAAATTAAAACAAAAGCCGTTAAAGATATGTATTGGCGTGGTTTACCCCCATCTTTAAGATCAAGAATTTGGTGGCAGCAAATTGGAAACTCAATAAATTTAACTCCATCAATTGCCAAAAATTATTGGGAAAAATATAACATGTTTAAATCTCAGGTCAATTCATTTAATCAGTTATTAATTGACCATAACTTGGAAGACTCGGATTTATCAACAATTTCGTCCTTACCAAGTGAGATTAATAATTATATCAATTCTAATCCTTCAATTATTGAGTTCACTCAATTGCATCAAAAAGTAGTTAACGATTTATTTGATACCTTCCCAGATGTGAATTTTTTCCAAAATTCTGATGTTATGGAATTACTCGAACAAACAATTGTGAGCTTCGTTATTTATATGAGTGAAACAATTAATAAAGTCAATTTTACCAAAACTAATAAAATTATCACCAATTACTATTTTACCGGTTTGAACAATTTGGCTGCTTTATTATATTATAATTATCGTGATGTATACATGTCATTCACTAGTTTATGTAACATGTTTACTCATAACCAACTAATGAATATCCTCATAACACATCAAATGGAATCAATTGAGTTAAACAAAACCATTCTATGTGATTTGTTTGGAGACTTGTTCATGAATAAATTCGAAGCGGTTTTTCAAAAAAGATTAAATAGATTATCGTGTCATTTCAAAATTATCGGATTATCATCAGTTGAATATTTACCGAATTTATTGGTAAGTTTATTTGCTAATTTATTCAATTTCGAATTGAGCAGTCATATATTTGATGTTTGGGTATTTGAAAGTGATGAATTTTTGATTAAAGTACTTTTAGGATTATTGAGTAAAATTTCTCATAAATTGTTTGGGACTAAACAAGAGATAATTGACTTATTGGGAGAACAGAATAGGAAAATACACAACAAAGATAAAGATGTCTACAAATATATAAATGTTGGTTACGATTATGAATTTATGGACTTAGTTAGAAACTGCTAATTTAATTTAATTTAATTTACTCTATTTTTTTTTTTTTTTTTTTTGAACTTTTGAATTTTGTCAATTTGAAACTAATATTAGTTTATATTAAGTATTATTTAAGACTAAAATACAATTTTGCAACCAATATGCTGTAGACTTCTTTATTAAGAATAACTAGAAAATGCAAATGATGAATTATATTACTTATGAAAGAAATGAAAAACGTTAACATAATGAATGGAGAAATAATATTATTTTAAATATGGTACAATGAATGATTCATGAGTAAATACAATAATGATCTTAAATTATTGTTTGGCGTTATTGATGGCACTTAAGAGGTTTTTACCATCATCTGGAGTTTTGACTTTCATGACAAAAGTTTCGATAGATTTATCATCTGGATTGATGGTAGGAACTCTAACCAATGACCCATTGCCAATGGTGTCATAAATCATATCTTTATTAATTGAAGTATTCAATAAAACCCTTAAACCACCTTCTGCTCTGACTAAAATTCTTGATTTATTGGTTTCTTTGTTTTTCAAAACCTTCAAGTCACCTAAACCTTTAGAAGTGTATGGGTTTGCAGTATTAGATGCATCGAATAACATGAGTTTAGTTTTCTTTTCAAATAAAACTTCTTCATTTTCTTCCCCTGTAGATGGTGTATCAATTTTTTCGTTGGACAAAGACCCAACCGGTTTGAAGTCACCACCGGTTTCTTCTTCAGGGACTAATTCGCTTTCTTGTTTACTTGAGTCTGCATTATTAGTTTGATTGTTAGACGAAGCTCCGAAGTTGAAGCCAGCGCTACCGCCGAATGGTTTGGATGAGGTTGCAGAAGAACCGAAGTTAAAAGCTGGTTTCGATAAACCAGACAAAGGATTCTCAGTACTTGGTTTTGTTCCGAAAGCATCAGACCCTTGAAAAAGCGATTTTGGTTGATCGTCTTTCTTTTCATCGGAGGAGCCAAAGGTGAAAGGTTTCGAGCTAGAATTGAAAGAGAAAGGTTTGCTTGCTTCAGCAGGTTTGGCACCAAAAGAAAAAGCAGGTTTTGATTCATCTTTATTTTCTTCAGCAGGTTTGGCACCAAAGGAGAAAGCAGGCTTTGAATCTCCAGCAGGTTTAGCACCGAATGAAAAAGCAGGTTTTGGTTCTTCTTTCTTTTCTTCAGCAGGTTTAGCACCGAAAGAAAAAGCAGGTTTTGGTTCTTCTTTCTTTTCTTCAGCAGGTTTGGCGCCGAAAGAGAATGGAGGCATTGATTCATCCTTCTTTTCTTCAGCAGGTTTGGCACCGAATGAAAAAGCAGGTTTTGAGTCCCCAGCAGGTTTTGGAGTAAATGAGAAAGCGGGTTTTGATTCATCTTTCTTTTCTTCAGCAGGTTTAGCACCGAATGAAAAGGCAGGTTTTGAATCTCCAGCAGGCTTAGAACCGAATGAAAAAGCAGGTTTTGCTTCTTCTTTCTTTTCTTCAGCAGGTTTGGCGCCGAAAGAGAATGCAGGTTTTGGTTCTTCTTTCTTTTCGCCTTGTTTAAGGAAGCCGAATGGATTTGGTTTTGAATCGTCATCATTATTTGCTTGAGAGCCAAATTTGAAGCTTGGTTTAGTTGAGTTGTTTTCCTTTGGTGTATTATTAAGTTTGAAAACATCGTCTTTGATCTGTTTATTGAACGTGAAGCTAGGACCTTTAATTTCCACTTCGGATTCGGAATCAGAATCGGAAGAGGGCTTTTTAGTTGGTTTGGGACCAAATGTAAAAGGAGATTTTTTCACTGTTGGTTTAGATGCTAAAGTGAATTGAGGTCCTTCAACCTTTACTTCTTCTTCTTCTGATTCGGAGTCAGATTCTTTAGATTGTTGAGTAGTGGATTCGGGGACCTTTGGTTTCACAGGTAAGCTAGGGGTTGAGCCACCAAAACTAAACCCATTAGAAGGTGGAGCTGCTGAACTTGATGTAGAGGGGGCCTGGTGTTGTTTTTTATTAACATGTCCCAAGGATTCTTCTTGAAACTTCTTTTCAATGTCTTCATAATAAGAGACATATTTTTTGGCAATTGCACTGAAGTTGGCAACGGTACCTGGCTTATTTGCTTTGAGTATTTGATCAACAAATTTATCGTTCAATGCTTTGATTTGAGCATGTTTATCGGAAGATGCATTGGCTGTTGAAGAGTTGTTCGATGAAAAAAGCCCCCCGGCGTTTGGTGCAGCATTTGCAAACGCATTACCAAACGCTGATGGTGTGCTAGATGGTTTAGGCTTGAAAGAAAACGTACTAGTAGCGTTTCCTCTACCTCTTGGTTTAAGAATCTTTCTCTTAGCCATCACATCTGCTGACGCAGTAACGACTGGAGTTGGGTCTTCATTATCCAGACTCACGTCGTGATTGTCCTTTGTAATTTGATCAGCTGCTCCTCTTTTAGCCATCTTAGTATACTATCTTTTGAAGCAATATAGAATAAAGTATCGAATTTCAATGGGTTTATGTCCTTTTATTTTATTTTATTTTATTTTTTTTTTTCATCTCAGTCAAAATGCACGGGTGTTTTAGTAAGGGCTTGAACCCCAACGTGCACGTGCAGTAATTTGAATCCACGTGATATATTGAACTTTCTTCTTCAATTACAGATGTACGGGTGTTTAGAGTCGTGTTTCGACGAGTAAATCTTTTTTTTTTTTTTTTTTTTTCTTTTGAGAGGGAAAAACTTTCTCACTGTAGACTTTGGCTGAGGATATTGAAATAAAAATTTTATAAGACCTTTTTCATAATCTTCTTTTGAATCTTTTTAGAAGTTATAAAGAATCGTCAACAACGTATGTTATAAGATAGTCGACAAGTACATAAACAGTGTTAATATTGTCAGAATGGTATCCAGCCAGTAGAGTGTGGGCAGTAAGTGGGCAGTTTGGTGGGAGTGAAAAATTCATCAGGAGTCAAGAATGACTTGGAAAGTGGATGAATAGATATACTAGGGATATTGATCGATAACCTGATGCACAGATTGGGGGTGGTGAAAAGATTAATCAATAGAATAATAATCGATTAATGCATCAGGGAATTCACTGACTATACAATGACTTGAACGGAAGATTCACCTACTAGATTAGGTTCTAAAGAAGAGCTGGAGATATCCTATTCTGCAAGTTGACTCGTTATGTACATATATTTGAAGATTGAAATACTAACATTTTTTTTAGAATGGCTCCAAAGATTCAACAAACTAAAGCTGCTAAAGCTGCCGCAGCTATGGCTGGTGGTAAGAAAGGTAAGAAGAAGTGGAACAAAGGTAAAGTTAAGGATAAGGCTCAACACGTTGTTATCTTAGATCAAGAAAAATACGACAGAATCTTAAAAGATGTTCCAACTTACAAATTTGTTTCTGTTTCCGTCTTGGTTGATAGATTGAAGATTGGTGGTTCTTTAGCTAGAGTTGCTTTAAGACAATTAGAAAAAGATGGTATCATTGTTCCAGTCTTAAAACACTCTAAACAAGCTGTCTACACCCGTGCCAACTAAATTGGTTAACTTGTTAGCTAATTTCCTTTCTATATATAAAATTATAATGAATAATTAACTTTGTATTTTATTTTTTCAAAACTTAAATTGTAGCATTACGAATCTGTTTTAAATAAAAAATTTGAATGGGTTGGATCAAGTAGGGGTATTGGGCCAATCTTGATGGAGTAAAAGCGAAAAAGAAAATTACTGAACACAAGGCACTGTCTTCTTTAACCAACCTAACAAAATCAAGAATTACATAAATGGTATATAGATTCAGGCTATTATCACCACTCAGACAGATGAGTGGTGTTAGCCATGGAATTAGCCGGGTGTTCCAGCGGTCATTTTTCAATATACCATCACCATTTGAAAACCAAAATAAATTGATTGAACATAAAGTTAAAAGTAAGATCAATGCAACTCCGGAGCAAATGTTTGAAATAGTGAGTGATGTATCTAGATATAATGAGTTTGTTCCCTTTGTAGAAGAATCTTTTATAAATAAAAGAGATGCTAACACCAATTTACCTAGTGAAGCAGGTTTGAGGGTTGGATGGAAACAATTTGATGAACGATTTGTTTGTAAATTAACTTGTGATGATAAGATCCCAAAAGTTATTGCTGAATCAATAACGGTATCATTATTTGATAATCTATATACTGAATGGATTTTTAGAAAAATACCAACATTAAACGTTAATCAGGAATCAAATTGTGAAATTGAATTAATTTTAAAGTATAAATTTAAAAATCCATTATATAATACCATAAGTTCAATTTTTCAAGAACAAGTAACTCAAATTATGTTAAAAGCATTTACTAATAGAGCCACTCAATTAAAATTACAAAAAAAATTTAAGGATAGACAAGTTAATTTTAATAAAATTAAGTAATTCATAGACATGTATATAATTTTAATGAATAAATGAAAAAATAAGCAAAATGACCATATTTACATTAACAAGAAAGTAATAAGAAATAGTAAAAATACAGAAAATTTGAAAGAAAATAACGTTAAGAAGATATAGAAGAATGTTTTTTTTTTACTTTTTTTTATATTTATATTGTAGTTGGAATTAAGCCATGAGTACCAACGGTATATTTTTTCAAATAATGATTTGGAATTCTTGATAATGAAGCATCAGGTAAGGAAAAGATATTTTTCTTACGAATTGATGAATTATTGGAAACCAAACTTGCAAGACTGGTATTACTGTTATTAGCATCGGATAAATTAGTCAAAGAATTTGAATTTGATTGATTTGGACAGTATTTAGAATTCTTAAGGTATGATAAATTCAAAGGTGATACGGTTGTTGGTTTAACCAAAGCCCGGGTGACCCAAGGATCTTGAGAATTGAGAGGTTTGATGCACCTTAAGCAATTTCTGTAAAAACGACGTTGCAGAGGAGGTTTATCAGCGGGAGGATGCCATTTATATTCAGAAGAAGAAGAATATGAACAACGGGAGATATAACGACGATGAGAAGCAATGGGGACCAAGTTATCGATATCGTCATCGACATCAATTTCCACTTCTTCATCCTCGTCATCATCTTCATCATCGGAGCGATGAAGATCACTCAAGTTTTGGATATCGTCTTCGTCGTCATCGTGAGAGGTTCTTGTTGATTCATTAGGATCATTTTGTTCATCGTCATCATTGTCATTATCATCGTTATCATCTCCATCACTATTATACCCGGTGATTGAGAAGCTTGGGGTTGTTGGTAAAGTAGCGGCTCTCTTCCTTTCAATTTCAATTTGATTTTGGATTTCCAAATGATTTGTATTGTTATTTTTATATTGCTGAATTGTAATATCAGTCATGAATTTAACATTGGAAAAATTTATATTTGAATTACTTCTTGAGGAAGAGTTTAATTTAGTTTTCAATTTTGATAGTTTATTTTTCAATTTATTTGATTCATTGTATCTATAAGGATCGGATTGGGCTCTTGAACGAGAAACAAAGTCATTGGTTAAGTTAATCAAAGAACTATTTGATGTACCAAAAGCTTCTTGATAAAAAGAAATTTCTTGAGAAGAAGATGGATTATGATTTGATCTTCTACGACGGGGAACGGTACGGTATCTTGGAGCTTCACGATCATTAAGATCAAGAGAAATGTCTTTACCGGTATTTAGAGCCATATTCCAGTAAATTAAATCTCTTGTCGTGGAAAAATTTAAAAGTAATTGTTCACTTTCAATCCGAAGTCTTAGAACATTGGCTCTTTTCTTGTAATCGGTAGCCAAACCAATTCTGGAATGCTGTAAAGAGTAGGATCTTAATAATTTCTTATGATTATGCTTATTTTGTTTGATATAACGATGATGAGATTTTGAAGTGATTGGGGTTGGGTTATTATTATTAACCAACGAATGGTAGAACTCATCATCGTAACCCTGATTATGATTCAAACTGGTCACCGGACAGTTTAATAGACCTAGGCGCTGGCAGAATTTCAAAAATTGCAAATCGTCATCGGAAGTAAGATACGAATTATACTTATCCACTTCTATTGATTCGGATTTATTAAAGTTACGTTCATTATTAAGCGGAGTTGGTCTGAAGGCCAAGATGTGATTTTCCAAATTGGTGGGGATTTGATAAAAGTTAAGTTGAGTTGAGTTTAGTTCCATGATCAAGTATTTCCACAGACGAGATGGCGCCGCTTCGTATGGCGTCAACCATTCAATCTTCCGACTAACCACCCCAATCTTATACACCGAAGGGTCATACTGGGGGAGTTGCTCCTGTTCAACATTGGGGATATTACAATCATTTGGTAACTTGGATAATACTTGATACTTTGGACATCCTCCTGGCGGTAAACTATCATACTCCGGAGGATACACCGGATTTGGCTCCAAAAACTGCAAATACTCATCCTGGGGAGAGCTGATTGGAGGCAACACTTTAGATTCTCCGCTATCGGGCAAACAGCTGGTTATACAGCTGGCTCGAGGACTACCGGTTCCAAAACTACTAGCAGGAGTCACCGGCAGACTTGGGCTAATCGACTCGGATGGACTGGAAGGACGCGACATCGAGTGGCACGACGAAGAAGTATCACTCCCTCCAGCAATAGCACTTCTCTTGATATTTGAATCCAGCACCATCAGCAGCAGCACCATCAGCAGCAGCACCATCAGCAGCAGCACCATCAGCGGCAGCACCAGATAACAAATATCCTGAGATCTAGGTTCGGTTCCACTAACACCCATCTTAGAATCACAACCTGAAGCAGCCAAATCTCTCATAAACATGGCCGTCTCCATATATCTAAGACATCAATATAAAAGAAGTACTTTCAACCAAGTTTTAATTAAAGATAATACCAATTTTACGTCAAAAGAGTGAAAAGAGGCCTTGATGCAGGATCACCTGGTGAAAGTTTTCCTAACAAAACAAAAAAAAAAAAAAAAAAAAAGACCAAAATTTGAAACCTTTCTTTTGTCAAATCTTAATGTCCTTACTCTACTGGAGAATTTCACGGTAGTATTGTGATAATAAGGTATATAAGCTATATAAAGTTATCTAATGAGAGCAAAGCTTTGGTTGCGATAGTGACGTTATGAACCTCTATCAAAACTGCCCCTTTTCTATTGTCGATTTCAGTCTGCTGCTGACTTTGATCAATCGGCTGGGGGAGGCTGGTGCACGGGCGCCGGAGGCTGCTTTTCTTTTTCGGCGGTTAAAAGGGATTTTCTCCTATTTTTTTGCAATCGGAACCGAGGATAAGCGGGGGTACGGGTGTATCAGGGGTACGGGTGGGCATTTTTTTTGTGGTGTACCGGTTTAAGTTGTTGAGGACCACCTTGTTGCCGGAGAAGGGGTGCAGCATATGCTGCAAAAAGGCCACCACCCGGTCGAACTCCAGGCCGTCGCAGTGGCAGGCGATTTCCAAAGTGCTGGAGTGGGAGGAGTGGGAGGAGTGGGAGGAGTGGGAGATCTTGACCTGGGTTCCGGTGCCCTCGATGACCCATTTTCGGCTGGCCATGAGGTTTTCACAAAATTGATAATTGACTAGGTTCTTGTAAGTGTCGTGGCGGAAGATATCGTGTAGGCTGGCTGGAGGGTGCAAGGGAGGAACCAGGCCGCTGGAGACCTGGCGGGACTCGAATTCGTGGTTTGGTTTAGGGCTGGTGGCCGAGGGTTGGGTGATGGAACTCAGGCCCGAAGGAACGCTTTGGTTTGGCTGGTGTTTGTTCTTGAGTAGTTGTAGTACACAGCCAATCAAGTCATTTTTGTATTCGACAAGGTGTTTTTCCAAGAGTGGGTTTAGGTAGTACTGGATTTTTTCATTTGTTTGGAGAAACCGAAGGATGGAATCATCTTTGATGTCGATTTCCGGTTGCATCCAGATCAACATGCTTTCGTAATAGTCGGGGATTGATAAGTGGGTTAGTTCCCGCTGGTTGATGGTTTTGATTAAACGATCATTGCATCTTTTCATTTGCTGCACTCCCAAAACACACTGGTCAAATAGTTGCGTGGGGTATAATTGGCAATTGGAGTCAAGCGTCAATTTGGAGATTGCAACCCGGGGTAAGTATTTTGCAACCTGGGTTTTCCATTCAATTATACCAAAAGCGTTTTTCATGATACTTGACCCTAATCTACTGATTTCAAGGGTTTTGATGGGGAACCATACTATTTGCTCGAGTATAGCGTCCACACACTGGCACTGGGACTGGGTATACTCGTGGATTTCCTCTAGTTTATACTTGGATCCATGCATACACCCACAAGCTATTTTCAAAGTATCCAAGTTCTCACTGAAGAGCTTGTTTAATTTGCAACTGTCCAAACGAATTTCGTATCGCATATCGTACTCCATGTCATTCATGGCGCCATGGCAATGGTTAAACGTGAGCTGTTTCAAATTGGGGAACCGGATCCCATAGCTTTCAAATTGTTTCAAGATAATTAATCCGGCGTTTTGCTTGGAGTTTATCTCCAATTTCTCGAGCCGTTCTGCAACTTGAGCCAACCGTTGGGATCGGGGGAAAAAATGGTGTTTGAAATCAACTATAACAAGTTCTAATTCTGTTATATGGTCACTGGCAAGTTTGGCTAAATCTTCAATCCTACTAACCTGTACGTTGCGTAGCCACTTATTCTTAGTATAAAGTTTCAAAATATCATCATACCCGGTATGGAAATGATTATAGGGAACTCTACCAAACTTGAAATAGCGTAATTTGAATCCGTATTTATTTTGCCAATTATTCAATTTAAATAATATAAATTTGATATCATCACTGACTAATTTCTTCACATACTTCCCCAAAGCTCGATTATCACCAAGACTCCGTTCAAACCGGTGAAGTCCACCAGTCTTTAAATCGTACTGAACAACACTCCATTTACAACTCTTCCCCTTCGTCTCGGTTACATAGATTTGTTTATAAAGATATGGCGTAAAAATTTGATAAAAATCCCGGTTAACTCGATTAAGCCGTATAAGCTCCACTTGGGTCAGCCGCTGCGATATCAACTCGAGTATATCATTAGGCAACTCCTCTAATCTAACCATAATACTTCCATTTGCCTATTACTTAATGGGATGACTATGCGGATAACCTCTATAAGAGTAATAAATACCCTGGTGCACGGGTCCAAAAAAGTAGTGATTGTTGATCGTTACCATTATAATGTAACCCAGTTCCATTATTCTTTATCTATTGAAGATGAAACCTTAAACCCACTGTTTGACAATAGCTGAAGCCGCTCGAGTATGAGTCGAGTCTTATAAATATTTGGGAAATTCCACTCAATTACTGACTTTACTTGAAGTAATAATGAAACTTGCTCTATTAACGGTACTTGCTACCGTGGGTGCTGTTACGGTAAACCCATTACCCCAACCTCAGTCTATTGAATGGTTGAATGAAAATGCAATAGTTTTCAACCCCTGTGCAAATTTGCAGTTAAACATTGATAACGAATTGGTTGAGAAAAACTTGAATAGAGTATTAAATAGTGTTTTGGAAACAAAATACTATCCTCAAGCTATTGAAAAACCAATCTCTAGCTACCAGCCGTTTCCTACGGGCACGGTTAAAAGGGGGAACGGTGCTATTGATTCGATCACCATTACCATTGAAAATAGCTCAATTCCTTTACAATTAGGTGCCGATGAAAGTTACAACTTAACAATTGACAATAACGCAATCAATATCGATTCTGTATCTACTTGGGGGTCAATACAAGCATTGAAAACTTTGCAACAATTGGTGGTTTATGAAAAGGGTCAATTCTTCATTGAAGGCTCAGTTAGAATCGAAGATCATCCAAACTACCCTCATCGGGGAGTTATGCTTGATTCTGCTCGTAATTTCCTTTCTGTTAAGAAAATCAAAGAACAAATCGATATCATGTCTTTGGTAAAACTAAATGTGTTACATTGGCACATCACCGATACTCAACTGTGGCCATTGCAATTAGAATCAATTCCAGGAATGATCGAAGGCGCTTATCTGGAAAGAGAACAGTACTCCAAAAATGATGTCGAAGATATTATCAACTATGCTTACGAACGAGGAATCAGAGTGATTCCTGAAATTGATATGCCAGGCCATTCAAGAGCTGGATACATCAACGTCAATGAAGACGTTTTGGCCTGTCAACATAGCTGGTGGTCGAACGACGATTATAGTCTCCATACGGCAGTAGAACCACCGGCTTCGCAGTTAGATATTCTAAATAATGAAACTTATCTGATGGTTGAGAAAATCTATAACGAAGTGAGTGGTCTTTTCCAAGACGACGTTTTCCATGTTGGTGCCGATGAACTACAAGCAAATTGTTACAACTACTCTCAATTATTTGTTGATTGGATCAAGGCAAACCTGTCAAGAACCTACAGGGACTTAAGTCAATATTGGATTGATCATTCTATTCCAATATTTCGGAAAATCCCCAATCGTAGATTAATGATGTGGGAGGATATCTTGACTACCCCCGAGGCCGCTTTCACCATTCCACAAGATGTCATTTTACAAAGTTGGTCCGATTACTTAAGAGGATCAAATAATATTAAAAAACTCACTTCTAAAGGATTCGACGTGGTTGTATCTCTGAATAACTACTTATACTTGGATTGTGGTTACGGTGGATTCGTAACTAATGATCCAAGATACCTCGATTCCCCACAAAATGATGAATTCAATACCGGCAATGGAGGTTCTTGGTGTAATCCTTACAAAACCTGGCAGAGAATATATGACTTTGATTTCACCACAAACCTTACTGACTCAGAACAAAAACATATCTTGGGTGCTGAAGCTGCCCTCTGGTCTGAACAAGTTGACAATACCGTGTTAACCCAAAAACTTTGGCCCCGTTTAGCTGCGCTAGCTGAAAGCGTTTGGAGTGGCAACCGGGACTCCAACGGTAACTACAGAACAAACTGGCTTTCCCAACGTATCTTCAATTTTAGAGAATGGTTGGTTGCTTTAGGGTACGATGCTCTGCCCTTGGTTCCTAAATATTGCTTGCAAAACCCCCATGCTTGCGATCTTTATTTGAACCAAACGGTGTACAATGATTACACTTAATTTTCAAAATATTGCAACCCATACAAAACTCGACATTACTCCTTTAGTTTAACAACCATTACACAGTTCTAAGACATCTTATGCCGCAAATAACAATACTTGCGAATGCGAATTGTAGCAAAAAGTACTAACAAACAGAAAAAAAAGGGTGAAAAAAAAAAAAAAAAAAGAATTGTGCAGTACTTATTCATGGCCAATTGACCGCAACTATAATACCCTATTGCAACCTTCCCAGAGGAAGGGATCCCAGAGACCTCAGCCCATGGGGCAGTCCTGAGATGGTCAAGAGGATCGTAGAGTAGAGAAGCAGCGTAGAGGTTGGGAGTGTAGTAACAGGACGAGGAGTCAGACAGACTGTGGATAAGACCAAAAGGTCGAAAAGAAGTCCGATTTAAGCATTAAACGATTGTGCTGAGCTTAAATGGCAAACATCCCTTGGATAGCAATCATGATTCGAATTATGCAAAGTTAGTTGATATATAAGAAGGGGATTTCGTAGTTAATTTTTCAGGTTGGGTTAGATTCTATAGCATTTTTTTTCATTATAGAATATCATCATTATGTCTAAAGATCTTGACCAATTAGCCATCAGTACTATCCGTTTATTATCTGTTGACCAAGTTGACGCTGCTCAATCTGGTCATCCAGGTGCACCATTAGGATTGGCTCCAGCTGCTCATGCAGTTTGGAAGAGAATGCGTTTTAATCCAAAAAATACTGATTGGATTAATAGAGACCGTTTCATCTTATCTAATGGTCATGGTTGTGCCTTGTTATATTCGTTATTGTTCTTGTACGGATATGACTTGTCCATTCAGGATTTGAAACAATTTAGACAGTTGGGTTCAAAGACTCCTGGTCACCCAGAAGCCCATGATGTTCCAGGGGTTGAAGTTACCACTGGTCCTTTGGGTCAAGGTATTTCTAATGCTGTTGGTTTGGCTATTGCTCAAAAACAATTTGCGGCAACTTATAACAAGCCAGATTTTACGCTTTCTGATTCTTTTGTCTATGCCTTCTTAGGTGATGGTTGTTTAATGGAAGGTATTTCCTCTGAAGCCTCTTCCTTGGCTGGTCACTTGCAATTGAATAACTTGATTGCCTTTTGGGATGATAACAGAATTTCCATTGATGGTGATACTAACGTTGCTTTCACCGAAGATGTCATTGCTCGTTATAAAGCCTATGGCTGGCACACGATTGAAATTGCCCATGGTGATACCGACTTGGATGCTGTTTCTAAGGCTGTTGACGAAGCCAAGTCTATTCCAGATAAACCAACCTTGATTAGATTAACCACCACCATTGGTTTTGGCTCTTTACAACAAGGTACTCACGGTGTTCATGGTGCTGCTTTGAAAGCTGATGACGTTAGACAATTGAAGGAAAAATTTGGTTTTAACCCAGATGAACACTTTGCTGTTCCTAACGAAGTAAAAGATTATTTCCATGAACATGTTAAAGAAAATCAAAAGATCGAAGCCGAATGGAATAAGACTTTGGCTTCTTATGTTGAGAAATATCCAAAAGAAGGTAAGGAATTACAACGTCGTTTAAGTGGTAAGTTACCTGATGGATGGAAAGATGCCTTGCCATCGTACAAGCCTTCTGATAAAGCTGCTGCCACTCGTAAGTTATCTGAAACTGTTCTTTCTAACTTGTTACCAGTTTTACCAGAACTTATTGGTGGTTCTGCTGATTTGACCGGCTCTAATTTAACTAAAGGTACTGACCAAGCTGAATTCCAACCTCCTGCAAACGGTTTGGGTAAATTTAGTGGTCGTTACATCAGATACGGTGTTAGAGAACATGGTATGGGTGCCATCATGAATGGTATTGCTGCCTTTGGTGCCAACTACAAAAACTACGGTGGTACCTTTTTAAATTTTGTTTCCTATGCTTCTGGTGCAGTCAGATTATCAGCTTTATCCCATTTACCCGTCACTTGGGTTGCTACCCATGATTCTATTGGTTTGGGTGAAGATGGTCCAACCCATCAACCAATTGAAACTTTGGCTCACTTGAGAGCCATTCCAAACTTGTCTGTTTGGAGACCTGCTGATGGTAACGAAGTTTCTGCTGCTTATCAAAGTGCTATCGAATCAACTTCAACTCCTCATGTCATCGCTTTAACCAGACAAGGTGTCCCTCACTTGGAAGGATCTTCTATTGAAAATGCTTCCAAAGGTGGTTACACTTTAATTAAACAAGATAAACCAGATGTTATCATTGTTTCCTCGGGTTCCGAAGTTTCAATTTCTCGTGATGCTATTGCTCAATTAGAAAAAGCCGGTATTAAAGCCGGTTTGGTTTCTTTACCAGACTTCCATACTTTTGATAAACAACCACAATCTTACAGATTATCTGTCTTACCTGATGGTGTTCCAATCTTATCCGTTGAAGTCTTATCAAGATTCGGTTGGTCTAAATACTCTCATGAACAATTTGGTTTAGATCACTTTGGTGCCTCTGGTAAAGCCCCTGATATCTACAAATGGGTTGAATTCACTCCAGAAGGTGTTGCTGACAGAGCTGCTAAGACTGTTCAATTTTACAAAGGTAAACCAATCTTATCTCCTTTGAATACTGCTTTTTAAAATTGATTTTATGACATCTATGAAACTTTATTTGATAATGATTTTTTGATTTTTCTTCCCCATTTTTAAGTTCTTTTATTCACAGTTTTAAAATAAATATTAGACTGATTTTAAATATATTTGTATTTGTAATTACAATTGCAGCCAAACCAAAGGCTATCTGATTTGTACCCTTCGTTTATAAAAGATGTACGGGTGTTGCTGGTTTGATGAGATGAGCTTATACCATCTTCTTTTGCTTAAAGCTGTATCACCTAATCGGCTTCTTTAGAAACCACGAGATGAGTCAGCAAGAGACATTAGATTGTGTCTCTATAACCAAGAGGCTACTAGTTGAGTCTTCATCCAGTGCCAATGAATTTCTCGATCAACTTCATCATTTAAGCTCCATAGTATCTCAATCCAGTCAGGATCCAGACTTCAGACAAGAGATTAGTTCACACCCTGAACTAATTGAACTAGTGGTTGATATAATTACGGAATCTTTTAATATAGATATTGAAAGTGAAACCATCCGGTCTTTGTACATTCGTTTATTTAGAGGAGCCTTAATGCTTACTAGAAATATTGTTGTTATAAAACCTGATGCCATTGATTTACCATTATTCTTGCTCAGCATCCAACATTTCAGCCAAAAAGCTACAAAAGACGATCCTTTTTATTTAAAGACATTGGAGGTTTATATTCAGACTCTAGCAAATATGACCCAAACATTGAGTACGGGTGGTGAACATTTGCTAGACTTGATTAGAACTAGTTTTGATGCTTTTCTGATCCGCATTATAAACGAACATGAAAACTTGAAATTACCCTTCTTGTTCTTCCTTAATAACGTCTTCAGCCTTCAAGAAGTAGTCTATGACTTTTTGACTTTTGAAAAGTTTGATTATTTTTGTGAATTTCTCCTTCAAGAATCGGAAAAAAATATATTAAATGATGAAGGCCAGACCACTCACACTTTACTTTCCTTAATATCTAAGGTAGTCAGTCATGAAAGCTACAACAAGTGGATTTCGCAAAGAGTTGCCTCTAAGGATATGGTTCAAATAGTGAAGATAAATCAATTGGTGATTACAAGTGTTGAATCATGGGATAACTATCAGCTAACTGCAATTTTATCATGGGTTTGGGACTGCTTTAAAGTCTTTTCCGCAAGTTCATCAGAAATGTTACGTAGTAGTGAATGGGATGAAACTGGATTGAACTTTAATCACGCCAACACCATTGGTCTTCTTGATATTATATCTGATTTATGTAAGTTCAATGCAACCAAGGGCTTTTTAAATCACTACAATGGTCTTGAAGAACTAATAGATTTATTAAGGGTCGTTCATGAAAATGTTGAAAGAAAAACCCTCAAGAAGGGTAGTGAACCGAAATCGGTGAATGCTGTCAACAGTAAAAAGCTGTTTCCACAAGTGAAATCCTTAATAATTGAAATCCTAGCTTATTTGACTCACGATTCCGTCGAAATTCAAGACAAAATAAGAGACTTGCATGGACTCGAACTAGTATTATCAAATTGCATGGTTGACGACAATGACCCTTTTATCAAAGAGAGATCCATCGTTTGTTTGAAGTTTTTGTTAGCGGGTAATCAAGCTAATCAAAAATTTGTTGCAGATTTAGAAGCTAAGAAGACATATGATGATCAAGCTTTGAAAGAAGTAGGCTACGAAGTTGAAATCAAAGAAGGTCAAGTTCAATTGAAACAACTGGAGGATCTGAAGAACTTACAAGATAAGATAAGCAGCAAGAAAAATGCTTTTTAAAACGAATGATTATGACGATTAATTACTATGTATAATATACACTTTTTTTTCTCCTTTTTTATTTAATGTTTGACCATCAAAATGTAGCTTATTTGGCTTCCTTAGCTAACTCTTCAATGATGATGGATTTAATTTTTTCCAAAGATGGATCTTCAACCAATAATAATCTCTTTTCTTTTTCAGAGAGGGCCTTTAATTCAGCTGGTAAGACGTCCTTTTCAAAAGAGTAACCATCGACACCATCCAAAGCCTTGTTGACTACTTCGGAGAATTTAGCAGGGTGAGCGGTAGATAATGAGATATAGTTAACGTTTTTGTTACCGGCGGCTTCATCGTCAGCAATGAATTTGTAAGAGGTGAAAACCCCAACGGCGGTGTGAGGATCCAAAACGTACTTACGAGGATGGCTGTGATAGATTTTCTTAATAGTTGCAGAAGTTTCTTCGTCAGTAACACGTTGAGATGAGAAGGTGGCACTAGCAGCTTTAACGACTGATTCTGGAGCAACAACGGAGCCTTCTGATTTCAATTGGTTCATCCATTGGTTTAAGATATCACCAGCGGCTTCATCATTATTTTGAGCAAGGTTGTCTCTGATTAAGTACCACAATAATCTTTCAAAGTTAGAAGAAATTAAAATATCCATAGCAGGAGAGTAAGTAGCTTTAACTTCAGCAGGTTTAGAAGGATCAGCGGTTTTTTCATAACGACCAGATTTCAAAAATCTATCTAAGATATCATTTTCATTAGTAGCGATAACCAATTTATCAGCAGGTAAACCCATTTCTTTAGCGTAGTAACCAGCTAAGATATCACCAAAGTTACCGGATGGGACCACAAATCTAATTTTGGAAGCATCAGCTTTATCACCCAATTTATTTAATAATTGGAAGTAAGAATAAAAATAGTAAGTCATTTGAGCTAAAATACGAGCCCAGTTGATAGAATTAACTGCACCCACATGGTATTTATTGTTGAATTCAACATCACCGAAGATTTGTTTAACATAATCTTGACAGTCATCAAAAGTACCTTTAACAGATAAAGTATGAACGTTGGGATCTTCAACGGTAGCCATTTGTTCTTCTTGAATTGGAGAAATACGGCCAGTTGGATATAAGATGAAAACAGAAACATCCTTTTTACCTCTTAAACCATAGATGGCAGCAGAACCAGTATCACCAGAAGTAGCACCAACAACGGTGATGGTTTCTCTATCTTCAGCTTTGGAAACATTGGCATTACGTTTGGTTAAAAAGTATTCGAATAAGTTACCAACAAATTGTAAGGCAACATCTTTGAAAGCATAGGTTGGACCATGGAACAACTCCAATAAGTGTAAACCTTTTTCTTCGTCAAGGGTTATCGATGGGGTAACTTCATCGGATCTGAAGGTGGAGTATGAACTGTGAATCAATTTTTTCAAATCATCATTAGGAATTTCCAGTTCTTTCACGTATAATCTCATGATGTTGAAAGCCAATTCTTGGAATGGCAAGTTTCTCCATTCACTGACAAAGTCAGCTGGTAATTTAGGGATAACCGATGGGATGAATAAACCACCGTCTTTGGCTAATCCAGTCATTACGACATCTTCAAATGATAATGATTGCTCCTTACTGGAACGAGTTGATCTATAAGTTTGAGAGGACATTTCAAGTAGTGTGTTTGTTAGTGACCCAGTGTCTTTAACTTATACCACAGCGTGTAAGTTTATGTTTCACAGTAAGTAGATATACTTTGACCAATTTTTGTAACAAAAACTATGATTCATAAATTTTCAAATTTCCAATTTTTTTTTTTTTTTTTTTTTTTTTTTTAATGCGGTTCCGGAGATTTTTGTGGTGCACGGGTGGGCATCAGTGGAGATTTCTCCCGAATTTTTCACTGAATAAGCAGGTATGGATTGGATGAGAAGTAAAGCTTGAAGAAGTCATCAGAAACACTTTATTACAGACGAGTGAGTGTCCCCGAACAGGCCGGAAAGATAGAGAATACACAGGGCTATAGAAGAGGAGAATTTCGGCCGATGAGAAGCATTTTTTACGAATAAATAGTAGGGACAGTCAAGTACAAAGAAGAATATAAGAATGAACAATTGTGGTAGCCAAATGGTTAATGGTTTGATAAGACGGCAGTTGGGTTACTGGAGAAGGCACTTATCCAGCAGACGGATTGGAACAGGAGCATACCGAGATGAATATTATAGGACGGTAGTTGCCCAAGGGTATCAAGGAGTGAAGGAAGATATAAAGATTGGCAGAGAAGAGATGACGAATCAGTATATGCATACGAATAACGAAGATAGACTCGAACAACTAATAGATAACTTCAAATCGCCAATTGAGTTTTCGTTTGGGTACGGGCTGGGGGTTTTTGAACAAAGTGGGTACGATATTAAGAAGAAGCCCCAGATTGATATGATACATATTGTGAGGGAACCCAGGCGATTCCATACTAGCAACTTGAGGCAATTTGCGGAGCATTATTCTTTTTTAAAGATGTTTGGGATCAGTTCCATAAGTAAAATAGGAGAATATGGAGCCGGGGTATACTTCAATCCGTATATATCGATGAGAGATCACGATGAGCAAGAGAATATGATCAAGTATGGGGTTATATCAAAAAAGGATGCCTTAACCGATCTAAGTGAATGGAGTTCATTATATTTAGCTGGTAGATTACAAAAACCGGTTAAATATTTGAAAGAAGAAGGAGAAGAACAAATGATTCAAAAATTGAATCAGTATAATTTGAAAAGCGCATTTGGAGTTGCATTATTGATGATGAAGGAAGACCGGATCAATGAAGTGAAACTATATGAAAGAATAGCTCAACTTTCCTATATGGGGGATATTCGTATGCTAATTGGAGGTGAAAATCCAAATAAAGTCAAGAATATTGTGAGTAAACAATATAAGAATTTTCAAACTTTGTATGAACCCATAACACAATATTTTGTTGATCAAGGAGTCATTAGGGTTTTGTCTGAAACCCAACAGACACAAGATTTAGGCGATGAAATACGAGGTTTTAAACTACAATTGACGTCTGACAAAAAAATGAATATCATCAGTCAACTACCATTGCAATTTCGGAAAAAATTATACCAAAGCTACGAGAAAAAATATTCCGCTGAATTGAAAAGGGATTCCGAAGCCCAAAGAGTGTTATACCAACAATCTTACGATTCTGTGAAGCCTGGAATTTATGTAAAGTCAATTGCAAACGATGAATACTTTCGCAAAACTTTAATCAATACCGTAAAATATACGGTGGCTTACCCTGCAGTCTGTCAAACACTAAAAGGCGTTTTCACGGCCGGACTTGTCAAGTCATTTAAGTACGCCTGGGAGAAAAAAGTGAAAAATTTAACTAGTAATTAGTAACTAGTGACTCGACAAGTTGTTGCAACGTCTTTACCCTGACCACGGAATTCAGTTGCTAGATATTTTTAGCATTTGAGACATGAGGGCACCATGGTACACCAGGCCGAGTTGCGTTGGTGGCTGAATCAACTAGGAGTTATAAAATTTCGTGCCTTGGGTAACCAAAAGTAAAGAAAGGAAATGCATGGAAGCCTAAGACGATACTATAGGAATATTCTTATCGTAATTGCATCTCTGGTGAGTCCAAGAGTACGTTATCTAGTTCACATTTACGTTTAAAACACTAAAACAAAGTTTATGACCTAACATAATATCCCATGACTTAATATATAGACTTCTTTATAGTTTAATTATTTTTTAGCTGAGTCTTGAATGTAATCAGTTCATAACCGTTATTTTTGATCAAATAAAGGGTATTCATAATAATTGAAAAAAGAAATAAGCGTTAGTGATCTATTTTTGCATCCACTTAGTTCGTGCTGCTTGCTGTTTCAAGGGTGACATCACTAAAATACTCCATATTCTTCTCTTTTTTTACAGCCAAACAGATCCTTTCAGATGCATTTGTCGTTAGCATTAACCCTTTTCTTATGGTTATACTCTTTGTTGTATGTGAGTTGATGATCAGTTCATTATTGAACTTGTACCGATCAACATTTGCTTACTTGGATTTGCTAGCTTTGCTTCCCAGTTCTCTGGCTTTGTTCTCGAAACGTGAGCTTGTCCATAGCAATACAAAGCCGAACAATAAGACTATTGTTTAATTCAACAGTTGTTGTTTTGTCTCCTGCTTTTTTTTTTTTTGTCCTTTCCAGACATTTTAGCTTTAGCGTTAACAATAGCAGAAAATAGTAAGACAATCACTTGATTGACGTACCTGACTACTTGATTATTGGTCGGAAGGTAGGGTGCCTCGTCTGTTGCTTCCCGTTGGGGTCCGAATCTTAGCCGGGGAGGATATACATTCGGTGATCTTACACTTTTTGTCTGTTGATTTGCACTGCAGGGCTGACACTTTTATAAACCCGACGATGAAAAGACTGCCGGATGTACGGATGTTCTTTTTGGTTGCAATTTTTTGTTACAAATTTAGGAATATATTAATATATGAATAATATAATATAAAAATACATAATAGAAAACATTATAGCGTGAAGACATTGAAAATAGTATTAAAACAAGTGAGATTATAGAACTGAAAGAAACCCAACCGACCCGAATTAGAAGAAGAAAAATTATTTCACCAGAAAAACTTTATTCAAAACATTTAATGCTTTAGAATCATTTGAATTGTAAGTGTTGGTATAATTGGAGTCGGTATTAGTTGGGGAGTAGCTTGGGAAGTAGCTTGTAGTTTGGGACTCCATGGGACTCGATAGAGTTGGGGAGGAAGCGATTTTGTTATTTGAAGAATAATGAGAGTTATAACCCGAAAGGCCCAAAATACCTTTTGGGCCAGCAAGAGTGAATGGGTAAAGTTGATAGTGGGGTTGAGATTGGATTGGAGATTTTGTTTTGGAAATTGATTCATGAATGATTGAAGGAGAAGATAATTTTAATTTTTTATTTGAATTTTGTTCAGTCGGTATTGGCATTGAAGGGATTGAATTATTAATATTTGGATTAAAAATCTTAGCACTTGGAATACAATAAGTATCGTCTTTATTGATGATATCACTTATTTTCAATCTAGCCAGCGAAGGACGGATGATTGATTGATCATAATCGATGGAAGAAGTTCTTGAGTTTGGAACTGATTCTGATTTTTTGATCAAATTTTTTTCCCGATCATAATTAATTAAACGATCTTGATAAATATTTGAATCTAAACTTAATTTATTTAATTTAGAATCGTTGGTTGGCGTGGTGCCTTTAACAACGTTTGGATCAGAAGAAATATAACTAATCAAATGTAATTTTTGATTTTGTTTTGTTATTAATGAAAAACTTTGTTTAACTAATCCATTAATTTTAAAATTTTTATTATTATCTAATTCTCTATAAGTTAAAAATGGCCCGCTTACTTTAGAAGCCGACCAATTCTTCCCATCGGTCCATCTTTTCATCCCACATTCGGTTTCATTCCAAGCAAATACACTATTAGCATTTATATATTTTCTTTCCATAGTATTTAATCTTCTTTTAATATTAGGTAATATGCCCAATCTTGTTCCTTCTAATACAAGCAAGGCATCGTTGAGATCTTCCACCGTACCTTTGTAAGTTTGAACGTTATGATTTCCAGTATTGAATTCAGGTATAATAAACATTTTCGATTTAAAGATGGGGAAAAACTATTTTCTAATTAGAAACGGAAGAATTTCAAAGAGTATTTATATTCCAATTCTTTCCAAAGGAATATCTCAACATGCTGCGCAACCAATGAGTGTCAGTAAGCAGGTAATGCTAATGAAAATGTAAGTATAACTGTTGTATTGATCAACTTTCTATACTTACATACGTACGTTTTTTTTTAGGTGCATCTATTTTATTTTATTTTTTTTCCCTAATGTTAGGCACTTTTTGAAAAAGCAATTAGTAGACTAGCATAGACGTAGAGTGAGTTATTCTCAAACCTTATAAACTGGAAAATAAAAAGAGAGCAGTTGGAAAAACAGAAATTGTCAGTAAAGTCTAGAAATCCGAAACGCAGCAAAAAAAAAAAAAAACATTTAGTAAATCAGACAGCTAACCAAAAAGAAATGGTATTGGGGAAGTTACTAGAGAAAGGCAGCCCAGTTTTCCACTCCGTTTGTATTCAACCCTTTGTTGGCTTACTTCTGGCATGATTGTTGAGTCGGTTCTAGCTCTCACTTGCTTAAACGGTTGGCTAACTAAACTAAATCAGTTTACGAAGTTTCGGAAATATTGTATTAGAATGGGCTGGACTCTTGTCTGTTTCTTTTGTTTTTTTCTCGCAATCTTTGATACGTAAAGCTGTTAGGTATATTCAAGTTGACTTGGTTTAGCTTGGTTACAGTAAAGGCAAATACTAACTAGGAGATACAAAAAACATTACAAAAACAACCCTGTTTTGCCTTACGCTTTTTCCTTATGCCTTTGCATTAGGGTGGTTTTCTGTACTTGGCTTACTTTTCTGTACTTGGTTTACTCTTCTGTACTTGATTCTCTTTTGCTGTGCTGAGTTTTATGAGTTGAACTTGTCAAAAGATGTTTGTTCTTCCCGCGTTTGTGCATGCATTCTGTGCGTTTCTGTAGATCCTTCCCGCCTGCACAGATGGCCCCGATTAGGGCAGAGGGGCATCTAAGTGTCTGTTTTTGGAGTATCTTTTGCTTTTGGCGTACATTTAGTTTGGTTCAGCAGGTTTACTTAGCCAGCAGGAATTATCCTCTTTTGGGAGCCCATTCGGTGTAGAAAATAAACACGTTGGAGAAAACACCCTTACCTCCTGCTTCAAACGACAAAATCGTGGAAGGACATTTCCCTGTCTCCATCGGGTTTCGTGAACAAAGCTTCGGGAGTAACGACTATGTGAATATGTCCAAATAATAGAACTTGAAATGAATAATGGACAGGCTATAACGGCAATGTCTATAAACCGGGATCTTGTGAACTATATTGTTCTAAAACCTAGATTGCAAGGGTTCATAAAAATATTGAAGACTTAGTATTATACCGAAAACAGAAGAATCGACCACCTATTATTATCCCAACACCAATTTTCCGGACGCACCGTCGATGACGACACAGAAAAGTGTCAGATTATCAGGTCATCCCATCGTTCACACGCCTGGCTGACAATACGCCTTCTAGATCGTGCATTGCAGCATTGCATGGGGCGGCAGCGTTACGGCAATGTACCGGTCGATGTCTGGGTTTCCCAAAGCAGCAATATCTAATTCGGAATAAGGAATAACTCTTACTTCCCCATTTTTGGCATTCTCCACTCGATCGATTAACTTGACTAAATCTCGTACTTGGTTCAAGCAGAACTAGTTAAGAATAAGCGCTTGGTTAACTAGGTTCGTATTTGGGATTTGTTTTGTCCTACAAGTGCAGAAAAGAAAGAGATTGATTGTTTTGTTCAAAGGTATGGAAGAACGCAAGGGTGTATCTAGAAAACTTACAAAAAAGAGTGACAAGATGGAAAAAACAAAAGAAAAACCTCAAAAGAAAAACCTCAAAAGAAAAACCGAAGAGGAACAAGAGATTAAGGCGACCATATGCTTCTGCTCACATCGCTTAATGAAAGCTTATCCGAATCCACCATCACATCTCACGCCTCGAAAGAATGCGAAAGCTTGCCATAGTAAAACCGTTCATTTCAAGCACATATCCGTTTTGATTTATTGAAGGTGGGGGGAGGTGGGCAGTGGTGATTGGCACCATTCGAGTATCTGTATCTATTATTAGAGCGTTGGACCGTCCGTAATTCAGAAGCTGGCCCCAAACCCAGGAATTTAATATTATTCAATGATAATTCGTATTTGTGGTCAAAGGTCTGGTAAATAAACAGAACTAAACAGTGCTGGTATCCGGGCTTTAACTAAAAAAGCTGAACCCAATTAATCCAGTTAACGTCTGCTGCTGAGACCTAATGGATAGAATACAAACTTGGTTTCTAGGCATTTGTTGATTAACCGAACACTAAAAGAGGTTTCTTCAGTTTTGTAAGATTAATTATCAACTGATTTTAATCTGGAAATGATCTTTCAGCTCTCTCTTCCAGGTGGAATAAGGTTTCGTAAATATCCTTTCATCTTTCACTTATATGTATTTGACCTTAATTCGTCGTAGATGTGATGGCATATTTTCTAGCATCCCTGGATGCTTGACACGCTTCTGATATCCACGAGTCCGTCTTCGTAAACCGGCTGTGGTCCTACTTGCCGAGTAGGACTACTTCTTCGCCGAAGGGTTCTTGTAGTTGCAATATTGGGTAATTGTGGGTGTATGGGTGTTTATTAAAGAAAGTGTATGGGTGTTTATTAAAGAAAATGTACGGGTGTTCCCTCTGGGGCCAATTTTGAAAAGGAAAGGAAATAAATAAACCGTTGGGAAACAACCTTCTTCTCCAGTGAACAAGATGGCACCAAGAGGACATAAAGAATCTGCCTCAGAGTCGGAGGCCAAGCCTGTGAGTAACTCGCGAAGCTCCAATAAGGCCAGGAACGCCGTTGCCCAAGCAGCTCAACAAGAATTCTTAAGTAGACATATCAATTCGAACGGACCCCATGATAAACCAAAAGTTAAACCATTAGATTTCATGGCTTTTAATGAAGCCACCCTTGACAAATACTCCAAACAGTATAACTTGGATATGCCGGATACCCAAACCCTCAATGAAAATATATTATCATCAGAAATTGGTAAGAAAACTTCAAGCTATAAGAAAAGTCAAATTAATAAAATCAGTAAAATTGAAAAAGCAAATAGCTTGAAAAAACACTTCATGGCATTACCTTCACGAGAAAACGAAATCATTACAAATTTCCTTTATAAAGTCAGAAATCAAGATAAAGATTTTAAATTATCATTTTGAAGTATAATGGTGGGTGCTAGTGGAAGAAACTGGTGCACGGGTTTCTAGTATCCTAGCTGACAGTTCGTAATTAACCCAAAGATAGGGATACTGAAACTTTAATTTAAGTCGGTAGACATTAAATGCCAGTTGATTAAAACTTGCTGAAGGAAGTATTATCCTCATGGAATATCAAGTTTCAAACCCGTTTACAAAAATCTGTTTGCTTTATTGCAATCTGTTAATCTTCGAATATCAAATTCTCTGTACTCTATTGTTCAAATAAGTTATTAAACGGTAGATCATAATTGCTCAATACTCTTATTCCCACTTGGGATTTGTAAGCTTTGAACGCATTTGTATTACATGCTTTATTAGGATCTCGGATTCCTTTTCATGCCAATGCCAACTTCAAACAAGTCAGTTTTCCTTTCGAGTAATTCGTAATTGGACTTAAGTAAGATAAGGAATAATTATTGTTTTCTATTACAAACCCTATCCTTTTCTTATGCACTTTGAAAAGTTCTTTGCTGCATTTTGTATGAACGATCCTACATTTGAATAATTCCGTGGCTTACATTTTGAACTGTTCCCTAGGTGTTTAGATGCTGGATCTTCGGTTAATTTCAACTTTTTCATTCTTATTCACATTTGTCTTACATATCTCTACCTTAACCATCTATACATAATGATCGACATCCCCTAAGATTCATTTGACTTCGCCATCAACGCATTCCTTTGTCCATTTCATCTGCTTTTCTATGTCCTTTTCTATGTCCTTTTCTATGTCCTTTTCTATGTCCTTTTTTATGTCCTTTTTTTTTGTTTGTCCCTTTTTTTGTCCTTTTTTTTGTCCTTTTTTTTGTCCTTTTTTTTCGTGTCTGTCGTTTTGTCTTTTTTCGTCAGACATTTGTTGATGCACGGGTGTTTTGGTGTACGGGTGGTTTTGGAAGGGAAATCGCTCAACCTCCTAAAGAAATTTGGCAAAGTATCAAACGATTAAACCATTCTACCTTACATCTTGCTGACTGGAAGAAGCAAAAGGGGGAAAAGATAGCAAGATAACAAGATAACCAATATGGAACACTCCACAGTCATTTTCGTGCTTACCTTATTAATTGCGTTTGTTTTTCTCAGGTGGTTAATAACGCCCATCCCTCCAAGTTTACCATTTGAAACTACCTCAAATGAATCTACAGCGTCCAGTTCGGGAACTCGTAATCCAGAGAACGGGGGAAGCACGGCTACTAATCGTAGAAATAGAAGAGAAGTGTCTGACTCCATGATTGAAGTTGTTCAGGCGATTGCACCTCAATTAACTCCTCAACAGATTCGTTACGACTTGCAAAGAACTGGTTCAGTGGAAGTGACTATTGAAAATTTCATGGAAACGGGTACTTTACCATTCCCGCCGGGTGAATCTCCAAACGTCCATCTTGATGAGGATTTAGAAGGCCATAATCACGCTCCAACTTCCACTGCTGATCCCAATTTAATTGCCAAATATCATTTAGAAAGTAAGGTGAACGAAGATGTTGAAGATTCGCAAAATAAAGGTAAATGGGCTTCAAGTAAAGAAGAAAGATCTGATATATTATCCAGAAGAAGAGAAGAAATGATCTTGAAAGCAAGAAAACGATTAGCTTCTCAATTACAAAATGAAATTTAATTTATATACATTTTTACTTAATATTATTCAACCAATGTAGGTTCAATCTTTCTCTTCTTTTTCAATTGGTCATCGCCTTTGGTCATCTCGTTGTTTTTCACCAGCTTCTTCTTTTTAACAAAACTGGTTATATCATTAGCTATTTTCTTCTCTTCGGGTTTCTTGGGGGTTGCTATAACTGGTTCGCTTTTAATCAATTCAAATTTGTATTTATTTCCAAATATCCCCTTATTGAAAACAACGACTGAACAAAATCCATCTGCTGAACTTATTATAATACTTTCACCATCTGTATTCCAACATAAATCAGTGATTGTTGAATAATGTAAATTTGAAACCATCCCCAATGGTTCTAGACTTGCCGTATCGTAAATTATCACGGAGTCTTGGGTCGCAACTGCAAAGATCATTTTATACGGTAATTTGAATATACTGGATTTTGATTCGATTTCATATATTATTGGTGAAAATGATATTGCTATGGCTGGTTTCTTCAATCCTGGTATATGACATATCGGGGCTTTATTGAATCCTGATCGTATATATATATATACCGTATTGGTAATATCGTCATTATTTGTATTATTGGTCATGTCATTATCATCATTTTCATTAGTAACTGTAGTATTAGATCCTTGCATTTCATTTTTATGAATCCCCAGTGGTGTTAATAATAAACTCCCATCTGGTGAAAATGCTAATCTCCTGAAAAATGATTGTAATGTCTCTGGATGGTATAAGAATGTATTTTTTCTGGTAATTTTTCTATTTTCTGGTGCTGTAACCATTGGTTTCACCGCTGGTAATGTTTCATTTGATAATCCTCTTTTATGATTGGGAGGACTATTCTGTACCTGATGAACGTAATTGTTAGCCGGTGGATTCATTGGGGTGGCAGGTTTAGAGAATGAATTATCCTCTCCATTAAAGCTCGAACTAGTAGTGGAAGTTTGAACACTACTTGGGCCCTCGCTGCTTGATCTTTCACTACTATCTGTTGACTCCAGCCACGATTTTTCAAAAAGCGATAATTTGGAATTTGGTAATTCGGCTTTGACTATCTTGAAAAATGATGTGGGTACTATTTTTATTTCATTCGTTGCTGATGTTTCCGAATTCTTTAATGAATAAATATGAATTGATCTATCGGCAGACTGAGTCGATAAAAACTCATTTCGTGGGTCCCATGCAACCCCTTGTACATAATGATTATGTTCTGCCAATCGACTCACTTCTTGTCCCGTGGAAACATTATATATTCTAGTAATATTATCCATTGATCCAGTTGCAATGAATTTCGAATCGGGTGACCATGATAAATCATATATCTCCGAAGTTGACGATCTGTAAACATGCTTGGCTATCCAGGTTTCTTTGATATCTTCATCAATCTCCTCTTGCCCAAAATCTTTGCGTATCTCATCGGATAATGTCCATAATATAAGCGTTCCATCATCTCCAGCAGTTGCTAACATTTCTCCTTTAGGATCAAATCGCACAACGTTAACTGCCTGGGTATGTTTGCGTAAAGTAGTTAAATACTCAACCTTTGTCAGCGAAGGACTGCTTTGGCCTTCAGCTTCAATTTCATCGTTATAAACTAATTTCCATATTCTAACGTTATTATCACCCCCACCAGTAGCTAATCTGGGAGACCGTTCTTGACTCGATTGTGGCTGAAAATCCACAGAATAAACTGGCTGATTCTCATCATGCCAGTGAACAGTGATTGTAGAAGAGTCCATCCTTGCTTTAACCTGAGCAAACGGGTAAAATATATGGCAATGGTTCACTCTTTGGTACAAATGTTAGTATCAACTCTTTTTTTTTTTTTTTTTTGGAGACGCGTTTTCAAAAGTTTTGGTGTCCGGATCTTTTGGTGTCGTGTGAATGGTTAATTATTGATAGGACTTAAACCTCGAAAGGCTGGTCAGATAAAGCAGCCTCGAGAGTTATCTCTAGTTCTTTGTTTTATTTTAGACCAATTGGTTTAGTGGAGGACGTAATGAACTTTCTGAAAGACAAGGATTTGAAAGAGTTGCTCAAAACATTCAGTGTGATGGATAAGGAGGGAAATATCTTATCGACGGACGAGGACGAACTACTGACAGAAGAAGAAGTAGAGGAAGAAACTCCGGAAGAAGAAGAACAAGCTGGCCAATGGGCCAAGTCATGCTTTGAATACAGTATCCCCAAGCTTGAAATACCACTTCCACATAACCCAAATGCATATTATGATGGATATTGTGAGCAATACTTAAGATTTACTGACTCAAATCCTACAACTTATCACACGATTGAATTTTTCAAGTCATTATTAGAGAATAACGGATTCACTTATTGGCCAGAGTACAAGAGCTTTGATGAACAAGGTATTTCCAATGGTGGATTGTTTTTCACTATAAGAGGAGGTACTTCACTTATAGCTTTTGTGCTTGGGGGCAAATGGAGTGCTGATAAAGGAGTTGGAGTGGTTGGAAGCCATGTTGATGCGTTAACAGTGAATTTGAAACCTAATAGTATTAAGTCGAATATCGATGGGTATCAGTTACTAGGCGTCGCCAATTATTCAGGGACTTTGAATAAAGCTTGGTTAGATCGTGATTTGGGGATTGCTGGTAGTATAATCATACGAGATGAAGATGGTCAAACAAAACGCAAATTGGTTAACTCATCACCACATCCAGTTGCCAAAATACCATCTTTAGCAGAACATTTCGGTGATATAGCATCCAAGCCGTATAATAAAGAAACTCAAATGGTGCCAATTATAGGACATGGAGAAGAAATAGCTGCAACTGAAGATGAAAGAAATGCCCCATTGTATGGTAAACACTCCATTGCATTATTAAGGTATATAAGTAAGATCTCACAAGTACCGATTGGAAGAATATTAAAAGTTGACTTACAATTATTTGATGTTCAAAAATCTACTAGAGGTGGATTAGATAATGAATTTATATTTGCACCTAGAATCGATGATAGATTATGTTCATTCAGTGCGATTTATGCATTGATCGAATGGCTGAATCAGTTCTATTCCAATCCTAATAGTGATGATAAGTATCCGTTCAAAGATTTTGATGGGTTCAATATTGTTTTATTGGCCGACAATGAGGAAATCGGGTCTGCCACTAGAACTGGTGCTAAGGGGAAATTATTGAATAATATAGTTGATAGAGTTATCTCATTCAAAGATGAATCAAACTCTTCTCTGTTGGTATTTGCTAATCTGTTAATACTTTCAGCTGATGTGACGCATGCATTAAATCCTAATTTCAGTACTGAATATTTGGAAAATCATAAACCCAAACCAAATATCGGTTTAACAGTCAAGTTAGATCCACAAGGTCATGTCATGACTGACCTGATTGGTTGGAGAATTCTACAAGAAATTGCCAATAAGAATCATCAAACATTACAACAATTTCATATCAAAAATGATGCCAGATCGGGAAGTACTATAGGACCTATGTTGGCCACAGATACTGGTGCTCGAGTGGTCGACGTTGGGTTGGCTCAGTTATCCATGCATAGTATTAGGGCAATGGCCGGGTATAAAGAAATTGGATTAGGGGTTAAAATTTTCAAGAGTTTCTTCAAAGACTGGAGAGAAGTATGTGCTGACTTTAAAGATCTCGTCTAGTAGTAAATAGTTAATGTATGTGTATTTGATCTACTAATCTTGTGATGGAATTCTTGATTAGACGAGATTGACCTTTAGTAAAATAAGGGCTCAAAAATTTCAAAATAGTTATACGTACAGCCCATCATCATGCATGCAATAGCTGAACGGGTTTACAAGTAGTTATCTTTGGGGAAGGGGTGTGAGATATATTTCATACACAAGTGAAAGGTAGAATGCAAAAAGAATAGGGTAGTAAAGAAAATGCTAAGGTGGACGTAAAAGAATTAATCATAAGAGCTCACAGAGCTAACAACGGTAATAGAAACAATTAAAAAAGGCACAGTAAAAAAAAAAAAATAAAATAAAAACACTTAACGGAAAGGTACTAGGTTATGAAAATCAATGAATTCGTGAAGATTGAAGAATCATCAGGTTACTCATAAGGTACCCATAAATAAGGAAACGAATAAAAGAGAAGAAACCAACCAAACAGTTTTGGTATTAGCGGATCCAGCATTAACAGCAAAACCGGACGATTTTGCCGAAGCAGAGGCAGAAGCTGCAGCACCACCACTAGAACTACCGGTGTTCAATTTTAAGGTATGTAAAGCAGAGCTTTCGGTGAAAGAGCCAGTAGCTTTAGAGTCACTGGAGTCGGATGCTAATAAAAGGTGATCCGAAGCTGAGCTAGCAGCAGAATTTGCAATCTCGTTCTTGCCGGCTTTAGATAAAGAAGTAACCAATTGTAAGTCACTAAGAGAGCTGGTGGCAGCACCAGCTTGGGAAGTGACGGAAGCAGCGTTGTCAACAAGAAGAGCAGTGACTGAAGAGCCTGGCATTATGAATGAGTGTATAAGTGAACGGAAGGAATGAAAAAGATAAAGAATGATAGTTTTGAAGAAAGAAAAAAAAAAACCAGATCGTTCAGGTTTATATAAACTAAAAAGAAAAAGGAAAATAAAAAAAAAAAAATAGTCCTCGATGCTGCCCGTCAGGGGAACCATGGAGACATAACCAGGGATCTTTTTCGTTTGTTGTCAGTTGAATCTTTATTGGCTTATTTTAGAGTTTTTTTAGTGTAGTTAGTTGTTCCTAACTACTTTTGCCAACTTTATTTACCAACTCGCTCAATTATGAGGTAATTCTTCCCCCCATTTGTTTACTTCCTTACGGTAAACACTCGCTATTTGTTGATGCCATAGTGGTTTGTACTGTTTGTATTGGTGTTTACTGGCATTGTATAAATTTTTCAACTTTATGTTTGTGTCAAAATCATTTTAAACTTTTTCACGATTTCGTTCCTGATTTATTTTTTTGCGTATTTTTTTGCTTTTATTTTGTAGCTCTTTTCATTTTGAGTGTATTTTTTGGGCCTGTGCTGTTTATTTTCCTCAAAGAGCACCAATGTCGCTCAATCGGGGATTTCCATGTTATTTTTTTTTTCGTTTTTCGTTGTTCCCGCTGTTTATGGTGTAAATGTCGTGCGCTCTACTGCGGTGCGACATTGCAGCGTTACGTCACTTTTTTTTTATTTAAAGTTCTAATTGGGAAAGCGCTGTTTCTGTGGTTGCCTAAAGCAGCAACATATTCCGTTTTGAAACTATACGTCAAACGCGTTCATCGAAGTTTCATTATAAAATTCCATTAGTTTGAACCCTTTGGGGCAACTTTGCAACCAGTCAGCCGATTGCATCCAGTCACCGCTATGACGTCTTATGATATCCGCGAAACTTCCCGTAGACTACAATCATTACAATCGAGGTATTTGTATAATTCTAAACTTCCCGTAGACTACAATCATTACAATCGAGGTATTTGTATAATTCTAAACTTCAATTGACTAAGGGGGTTTCTTCATCGATATGTTGGCCTCTTTTCTTGGATTTGAATAAGCCAACACTTATGTGATTGAAAACATTATTCAAAAATCTACTAAATAACAGGGGTTTTTCTAGTTCTGCTAATTTGAATTGGAAGATTTCCTCGAAACTAGGTGGTTCGATTTCGGTTGGAGATACTTCTTGATGAGTAGAAGAGTTATCGAGGACCGAAGAGTCCGATTTCACGGGTTTAATGAATTCTTGAGATTGTTGTCTTGGTAATTGGGGGGGTGGGACCCCAGTAATTATCCCATTTGGTTCTGGTTTCATCAATGTTGGATTTCTTGCTAAAGATGCAGCCAGTTGGCGAAATACATCATTTGTAGATTGATCAACATTACTATTTCTACGGCTAGTATCTGGATCACTTGTAGACCCATAATCAACCGATCTTACTGAAGAAGATGTGGATCCATGAACACCACTTGAATGGAAAGAAAAAATCGAAGAATTATCATCGAAAACTGATCCCATATCTTCCAAGGATAACCCTTTGGTTTCTGGGAATAAATAATGGACACAGAAAAATGAAAGGAAACATGAAAGAGCAGGAATTAAATAAGTTTTCCATTTAATCAAATCTAATAAAATAGGAGTCATTTCACCAACAATAAAATTAAATAACCAATTGGTTGCAGTAGCCATAGCGGCACCCTTTGAACGAACAGAGTTGGGCATAACTTCACTCATCATCCAAGGAATTGGACCCCAACTTGTACCAAATGCAGCATTGAAAATTATAACACAAATCACCACAACTTGAGGAGTCCAAGGATTATCCATAAATAAAGACCAGGATATAGTTAAAAGAGGGATAAACATTAAAACTGCCCCCGATAATAATAATGGTTTACGACCCCAAGAATCAACTAAATACCAAGGAGGAATAGTACTAGCGACATAAACCAAGGCATTTACCCCCGTCATTAAAATAGCATCTCTTCCATGCCAACCAGCACTTTCAAAAATCATTGGAGCATAATAACTAACAATGTTAATACCATTCAATTGAGCAAACATTTGAGAAAAACAAGCAACACTTAATCTTTTTTTAAATCTATTAAACATATATTGATAACTACGTTCACCACCTTCCACTCGAGCAATTAAAACATTCTCTTTAATCTGTCTATATTCATTAATACCATTTTCATCTTCAACATCACCATCGGAATATAAATCGCTAATAACAATCATTCCTTCAATATCATGATCATGATCTAATAACCATCTTGGAGTTTCCACAATTATAAAGCTTCCTAAATATAATAAAAGTCCCATAATACATTGGACATAAAGTGGACAACGCCAACTTAAATTATTTTGTAAGAAAGAAAATCCATAATCAACCCAAATACTGGTTGCATATCCAATAATATTACCCGTAAATTCTAAACATGCATAAAAACCTCGATCATCTGGAGGACTAATTTCTTGCTGATAACAAGGAATAATCGTAGTTAAAGTACCAATTGCTAACCCAGTTATAAATCTACCAACTGATAAATTTAGAATATTAATAGAGGTTGCTTGAAGCAAACCCCCAGTGACAAATATAAATGCTCCCCATCTAATAGTACGACGACGACCAATTTTATCTCCAACTTTCCCTGCAACAAACGATGATCCCAATGCACCAATTTCCAAAATTGCAATCATTGAACCAACCTCAACTGGACTGGGATCATTATAATAATCTTTGAAAAACTCATTGGTTAAAAGGGATGACATTAACCCTTGTTCAAATCCAAAAAGAAACACTCCCAAAGACACGAAAATTGACGTGAAGTTAAGAAGAGCCCTTCCAACCAAGAACGATTCCTTGATTTGAAGATTATGGTGTTGATTTGGATGAGTTTCCATCTTTCTTAACTGCTAAAACAAACTGCTAAAACTTACCAATCTATTACCAATGATCTATTACCAATGATCTATTTTAGGGTTTCTTCCCAATTACTTACCTGATTTGTTCGGCTTCGAACTAAACTACTTGATAAGTCAATTCTCGATATTGGCGAATCGTTGATAGTTTTATAACTACTTTTTCCCCGTTAATGGAAATTTCCAATTGATTCTACTCCTTTATCAGCCTTTTTTTTTTGCGCACAGTTTTTTGCTAGCAAAGTAACCCACTGATAATGAGTCTTTGATGCAACTGGTGATAAGACTGAATGATCAGGTCAATTGTTGAATTGGATCCTGAATCACAAAGAAATCAAGAACATGGGGTAATACAATGGGCTTGACAGTTGTTCTGTTTTGTAATGTTCTTCTTTTGGTTCAATTACATGACCTTTTCAAGTTTGTAACTTGTTGTTACTCGATTGAAGTAAACTACTTGAATAATGTATTATGTATTAAATATTAAGGTACGAATTGAATAAGTATTATGGTTAACGAATACGGTTTAATCTTGTATTATTTAAGTGAACGTTAATATCCAATCTGTCGGCATCGTCTTCGATTTTTCTTAAACGGGTATTTTGAGTATCGACTTCTTGACCCATGACCCCGGCCGAGTTTTTCAATTTCTTAGAATAAGCAGCAATTTGATCCAAGTTACTAGCCAATTCTTTCTCCATTTCATCGTCTTCCAGATCATTTTCAAATTGATATCTTTGAGCTTCTTTTAATGATTTTTCTCCTTGATATTTAGCATGAAGTTCACTATTGGTGGCACTATTTGTAATACCTTCTTTTAATCTTTGTTCACTTTCGTAAACGCCTTTTCTATTAGCTTCTCTCATGTATTTTTCTTGAGTCTTATTGGCTTTAATTTTAGCTTCTTGTTGACGTAAACGAGATTTTTTATTAAATGGATTAATTGAAGTAGCTGGTAAGAAAATTGTTCGGTTATATCTTTCCAATTCTTTAACTTTTTCATCGGCAATTTTAGATTGGGTGTCTGATAAAAGTAAATTTTGTTCTGCATTATATAATCTTTCTGATTGGGATCCCAACATTCCCAAAGTATTGGTACCTGAAGCATCGGCTTCTTGTGCCATACGTAATGTATTACGAGTTGATGCTAGTGATTCTTGTTTATAATATTTAATATCCTGTTTAATTCCTTCCACTTCTTCATCTTCTGAATTGACTTCTTCTTCTTCTGGTAATTCATCATCTAATTCAACATTTAAATCTTCTTCATCTTCAACTTCATTCAAATCGAGCGTTGATTCGTCATCATATCTTGGTTTGCGTACAGCTCTAGGCTTTACTGGTGGTTGGTTGGTGGGAACTTCATTCAAATCAAGTGATTCGGTATCATTAGTATCCATGGTTGTTCGGGTTGATTGACGGGATATACGACTTGAATATGATGGTGGTGCAGTACTATTTGAGGTTCTTATGGATGGTGCTGCATAGGGATTGGATCGAGCACTAGCAGCAGAAGATTGGGTAGCCCCATTCTGTCCATATGCGCTGCTACGGGGTTGTCCGTATGGATTAGATGCTGGCTTATCTTGACTTCTTCCTCCATATGGATTTCCATTTGCCCCGTTTGCATTTCTTTGGCTTCCTCCGTTTGTATTTCTTTGGCTTCCTCCGTATGGATTACTTGATCCCCCGTATGGATTACTTGATCCCCCGTATGGATTACTTGATCCTCCGTATGGATTATTTTCGTTTGCTCCATATGGATTGCCTTCATTTGCTCCGTATGGATTTCCTTCTTCTGATTCTCCTCCGTTGGCATATGGATTCCCATCACCATTCACATTGGCATTAGCATATGGATTCACAGGAGCCATTGCTGGCTTGGCTGCTTTTCTTTCTTGAGCATAAGTTCTGAAAGCACTAAATTGATCGGGTCTCTGGTTATTCGATCTAGTTGAAATCCCCATTCTATTAAGATCCTCCCTGATCTCTTCCTCAGTGGGCTCTTTCTTCTTAAACATCTTTTTGATTCCCATCTTGTATTGATTGTATTATTCGACAGGATGAGCTTATAACACCAATTAAAGGGTTTGACCTTTTCTCCAGCATATCATTTTTCGATTATGAGCTAATCTGAGCCTCGTCTAAAAAAGAAATTATACACCCGTGCATTTTATGTTGGTCACGTGGTCTTTTCTAACATCCGTACATTTTTACAGTTTTGCAGTTTATTCTTTTTCAAAATGCAAAACCGTTATTTTGCAGTCAATTTATCATGAATTAGAATGAAATTCAATAAAAACACGTAAATACAATCAAGAGACTTATTATACAATAAGGATACTAGTATTGCATTTCTATCAGCTGTTGGCTTTTTCGTCTTCGCTATACTACATGTATTCTCAAGATAAATATATTAATACACCATATGTAGATTATTTTGAATCAGGCTTTGTAGGCTCTGTTCCAGCAGTGCTTGGGAATTGCACCTCTGAGAATGGAGCTGATCCAACTGTGGAATACTTATCATCATCGCTTTCTTCGAGCCTGTCGTACTCATAAATATATTTAAGATCATGAATATCGTCAGAATTATCGTATTTGGATTCCCGGTTCTTAGCATGAGAGAAGTCCAAAAATACAATATTGCCATCGGCAACTTTGCAGTTTCTCGTTGCAATATCGTGATGCTGGATTCCAATATCCCCCATCATTTCGAGTTGTCTGCATCCATTTTCAACCATTGACTTGGTGATTTTGGTTTCATCTTCCCCAACATACGATAATAATAAGTAGAATCCCTCGATAGGGCCCAGGTCTTTGACATTCACACGGAATGCTCCATAGTAGTATAGGGTGGGTACGTTGATCTTATCCTTCTCATCATCAGAACTTGAATTGTGTCTTTCAATCAGTTCATAACAAGAAGCTTCTTTGAGAAAAGAGTGNATGCAAGCTTTAACATCCTCCGTATCAGGGATGGGCCACCCCCTGAGTCTCGCAACAACACTGGGGATGAAAAGCTTCATGACCACCAGATCGTCTTGGTTCAAGCCTGTGAGGACTTCCTTGAAATATGGGAAAAATTTGCAAAGTAAGTCCACTTGGAACTTATAGACATGACTCCGGTGTCCTTCTCCTTGTAATACTTCAAACCCAGTCCATGATTCACATTCACCTTCAACATGAGAATTGCTCTTTTGGGGGTTAATATTACTATTAGCATGGATTTCTTTGACGAGTGATTCCTTTATTGCAGCATCAAGTAACTTTCCTTGCTCTTCATACTTCTTTGAGGTGATGTTATCGATTATGTTGAAAACCTTTTTCTGGTATTTTTTAAGAAGCTCTTCTTCATCTGCAGACTCAATGAAAAGCAGATTTAAAACCACAGCTTGAACAGTTAAACCCCGACCTTCCAATGAAAGTAACTTGTAATTGCAAGGAATCTCTACTTCATTGTTATCATCTGTGAGCTCTTCCAATTGACTGAGTCTAGATTCATCAATTTCTATGTAAAGGGTGTGGTGGAAATTAGTGATCATAGCACGAGTAGTTTTGCAGACAACGAAATATCTGCCTACTTGCCTTTTGATTGATTTGAAAGCCTCACTCGATTCATTAATTCCATCTTTGACCAAGTCACTAAAACGGGGGCCCTTGACTTCAACAATCAATAAAGGGACTTCATTCTTCGAGTAAAGCAAGTCCGGTCTTCCCTTAACTTGGTCTGTTGATCTCCCATTGCTACTACGCACCTGACTGCTTTTGTCACTAAGCATTTTATTTTTCTCAAGTTCAATAGCATGGCCTGCAGCAGCAAGAAAACTGGTTGTCGGATATCCAATGTAATGTTTAAAGAGATCAAGACAATCTTCTTCATTCTTTGGAAATGAACAAGAATAATATAATGAATATGCTCCGCTTATTCTAAGCCATTTCTTTTTGTAGGTTCCTTCGCCTGATCTTAAAATCTCCTCCTTTAAACATTGTTGAAAACGTTTTAATTTGTTAAATATTTTGTCGTTCAATTCAGTTTCTAATATCAACTGGAACTTGACCAATTCACTTTTGGAAGTAGAACCATGAACCCTCAGACTTTCAGTAATTTTTCTCAATTCATCAGGTTTCAAAAAGATTGTAAAAAAAGGGATAGCCATGTTAACCAATAGACGGATATCGACCTGGCCTGAGACTGTGTTTACTACCATCCTGACTAAGTCGGACTTAATCTCATACCTTTCCTCAGGAGTCATAAAGGCCAACAATTCAGGTGTGACGCTGTTGATGTATATCAACCGCTCACGATGATACTTCTCTTTCAATAGCTCGTGCGTGGATGCTTCGATAAACTCAATTCTTCCAGAAGAAGTATATCCGGTGATTGGGATAGAGCCGACATACACCAATCTAATATCTGACTGGTTGTTTTCAAACCATTGGTTCCGATACCTTTCTATCATATCTTCAGGAGGGATGTTGTTGACGTAAACAATGTTGTCAGAAGGAAAGATCTCCATCAATTTCTCGGGTGGGATGTTGTTATCATACTCAATAAGCTCGTCACCTTGACTTTTCAAGATCTTAGCATAGTATTTTGAATTCATGTTTTGGCTTGAAACAGCTGTGATTCTGAAAATGATCTAGTTGAATTTGGTATTTAAAGACTCTTGTGATTTGTGGTAAGTTTATGTTTGCAACTAAAATCAAAAAAATACTCTGCTTCGGCTGCGAAAACAAAATGTGTACGGGTGTATTATTACCACTGTTAAATTGAAGCCTTTTGAATAACTTACTAAACATTCTTTCCAGGGAACCAGTGGGAGTCTGTTTCTACTTATGCTAACCTGGGAAGTAGGCAATGTATATCAACTGCCCCTTTCTTGTGTTGCACGTCTGTTTCAAATTAAACAAGCTTTGTATCAGTTGCAGCGATCTGTATAACTTTTCCTAAGTAAAAGGGTGTTTCAGAATCTTACTTTTATCCCTACTTTTGGTCTTTACAATTGATTGGTTCCTTCACTTGTGTAGATTTACATTATTTACTATGAATCACATTGTCTTTTTTTTAATTAGATCGTTTATATATAGTGCTTAATCGTAATGCTGGTGATTTCTTTTGTTGTCCTTCAAGCTATCCTATCCTGTGTTCTTATGCTTCTCGTAACAAATCCCTTTTATTTGGGATTCTTTGAAAGTGGTTTTGCAGCCAAAATCCGAGTATTGCTCAAATTAATCATTGTAATCAGATTCAAATTAATGATCAAGAAGCTCCTAACATAAAAGGTCTGGTCCCCAGTAAAGTACCCAAATGCTCAAGCTCTCACCTCTTATGAACGAATTCTGTTATCTTACCTTAGTTTTTCACCTAATACTCGAGCCACTAATCCAGAGTTCAAAGATCTGTTATTCATTTTAAAAGATCCGTGCCCGTTGTCTTTTCCCCTCGTTTTTTTTTTTTTTTTTTTTATTTTGAGATGCTTGCAAAAACTTCTAATGCCATTGAATATTTCCTTGTTAGAAATTTCACCTTTATTCAAGTTTGTTTTCTTCGCTACAGTTTATTCTGTTTGGTTTCCGTGTTGGTAAGTATTCTCCCCACAGTGATAGCCAGGTGTTGCTAATAATTTGTTTAAGAAGAAACACGGGATACTATTTCGAAAAGGTTGTTACTTGATTCTGCCCCCAATAGGTATATTTACTAACTATTTTAAGAAATAATTCAATAAACAAACTCGTGATTAAGATTGGGTGTTTACTCTCCGTTATTGCTGCTTGTTATTTTGCTTTGGGTGCTTCTGTTTTTATTTTTTTTGCAATCGTATATAAAAAAAGGTTATTTTGATAAAAATGTCATCAACTAGTACTCATAAATTAGAAGAAGCTCCTTTGATAATTCAAGATCAAAAGAGAAGAAAGCTTGATCAACAAATGACGATTCCAATGCCTTCTGAAAGCTTAAAATCCAATTCAAATGGTACTTTAATCGATAACAGTAATGGTACCATGACTCCTATTGCATCAACTAAACCTATGGAAATAGATTCTCAAGAATATATTGAATGTCCCTGTGGTCATATGCATGGTCCTGGTCAAGGAGATCATCATGACATCCATGCGGTTGGTTTGGCCAGTGTTCCATTATTAAGAGGAGATTAAGTAAAACTTATTTGTATCATAAAAATCTTGCATTGTATATATGTATTACTAATAAATATAATTGATAAACATCTATGTACTTAAGATTTACCTCCCTTAATCGAGTGTTGAACATCAGTGATACTGTCCTGGCTTTCAACGTCGCTTGATTGTTCTACCTGTTCGTTCCCATCCTTAACGTTTCCTTGTTTTTGATCTCTAAGAGTTAAGTAAGTAGCTATAATTGTCATTATTAACCCAAATGATGATAAAGTTGCAGTATAACTAAAACCAATATGATATTGAGGAGCATCATTAGTATTCCAAACTAATAAAGGAACCCAAGCGCCAGTGACATAAGCTAAATTATTAGTTATAACAACAACAAAATTACGTTTCATATCATTTTCAAAAAGTAAACGATTGATCCAGGAGAAAATCATCGGTTGACCCCACATTGTGGGAGCACCGACTATAAAGTAACATAACCAATGCCAACCAATTGGAATATTCCAATGAGCTAAACTAGCACAACCAATAATTACTGGGATGAAAAATAATAAAACGAAAACATGATTTTGACGTCCACCAACATAATTATTATAATAAGCAAAAACCAAAGTTAAAATCATTCCAATACCAATTAAAAGAGAAGGATAAGTATTATATCTATAAGAACTTAAATTTAAATCAGTTTTCATCCAAGTAGTGAAAGTTGGTTGAGAATTAGCAGCACAACTATTGTTATAAGCTAAAAATAATAATGGGAAAACATAAATATGCCAGGTATTGAAAAATGATTTAATCTTGGGCCAAGTATACTTTTCTCTTGATCTTAATTGAGCTTTTATTCTTCTTCTTCTTTCTAAACCAACTAATTTATCTTGAGCATTAAAATAAAAAGCATCAGTTGTACTAGGAGTGTTTGGATCAACAAACATAGTATAAATTGCAATTGGGAATGAAATTACTCCATCGAAAACAAATAACCATTTAAAAGGTTCCATTTTACTATCTTTGAAACCACGTAAAATACCTTCTTGTAAAGGACCAGAAATTAAACTTGCAATACCACTAGCAATTGCAAAATAACAAGCTCTAGTACTTAATTCAGGACCAGCATAATTACTTCCTAGTAAATATTCCATTGAAGGGAAATATGCTGCTTCCAATAGACCAATGAAAAACCGAAGTGGATACCAGCCATTAACTGAATTTGGTATAATCATTAAAATCGTTAAAATTGACCAACTTAATTCTAAACCACCTAAAAAATAACGAGCCAGAACTCTATGAAGTAATAAATTTCCCGGAATTTGTCCAAGAATATAACCCACCGTGAATAAAGTAACCATTTTTTGATATTGATTGTTTGGTAAAAGATCAGCCATCCCATTAACATAAGCAGTTGAGATATTTGATTGATTTAAATTCTTAATGAAGTATCCCAACATTGAAGAACTAATCAAGAAAAAATCAAGTTTCATCAAATATGCTTGTTCCTTTGGGTGTTTATCAGCACCATCCCAAAAAAATCTTTTAATTCGGAATAACCTTGACTTTTCCCTTTCTGCAATAACTTCTGGTGGGATAGATAAATCAATATAAGGAGTATCACCTATTTCTATTGGTTCAGTATTAACATTGATCCCGTCAGTTTTTTCATTTTCTTGCACCAGTGACTTACTTGAATCACTATCACTAAGTTGTCTATGAAGCTCCTTTGGATCAATTATTTCATTTGCTACAAGTTCTTTCTTAACTTTTGTCCAAAATCCCATCTTGTTCTTTTGTATTATAATTAAAATCTAGAGATCCTCAAAATAGTTCAGAAATCATCGTATTTATAGCTCAAGGAACAATTTTCCGCTGGTTTGATTGATATGATCTAATTTTTTGCAATTGTTAATTTATTCCGGTTATCATTAAACTGTGGATTGCAGCCATAATTCTGACATATTACGTCAAAAATTAATATTATGGGTGTACGGGCGTGACGTCTAGGGAAGTGTGGCATTTTGCGGACCGCTAAATTTGCAATTAATACATTTTTTGCAATTTTGCAATTTTGACATATACATTTTTGATATGAAGACACCTTTTGCAACTAAACTAATAATACAAAAATAAACAATAATGAGATAAAGGAAAATATTAGTACAAAGAAGAAAAATCCGGGGTTTCAGCAGCCATTGACCAAAGAGTTTTTCGGGTAAGTATATCCAGCATCTTCCCAACTAGTTAAATTAACGTTTGAGTAAGCGTTAATGTGATTTTCAATATAGTCATAAGTAGGGTAATCGGTAGGATCGCAACCAAGGTTTACTTCATCTTCAGGTTGGTATACACGAACGTAGTCGATTCTCATAGTAGCAGGGAAATTAAGAGAAGTCCAATCGATATAAGCCCAATTATTAGAGATACCTAAATTCATAATAATTGACATTGGCTCTTTTGAAATTCTTCTGAACCCAACGTTACCATTCGGAGCCAAAGCATAGGCCTGGACGGTCAAAGTAGGGGTTTCATCACCGACATACCAAGTGATATAACCATCTTCATTATCGTTCAAGTATTCATATCCGTAAACTTGGAAATTGGAACCACCGGGGCCTCGTTCATACCACTCAGTGTTAAGGGTAGTTGTACCACTAACAGCTTGTTGTAAAGGACCACCAGTGTAAGTATTCATGCAGGTGACATCTGGATTATGAATTTCCACGAAATTGTAATCGGGATAATACCAAACATCATAAGGAGCCACTTGATAAGATTGAGAAGCCACTCCGAAATATTTTGTAGTATCGATTTCCCCTTCAATGATATCAATTTCTGGAGCACCACGACCAGTACCACGATTTGGATGATCTTCACCATTACAAGTACAGGAGTTTAATTTTTGTCCTGGTAAATAACTAATACCGTCGGGGGACGATTGATTAGCGGTGATACCTGCATCACAACTGTCATAAGTATACGGCCAAACCCCTTCAGTAGTTGACAAGTAACCGGGTCTACCCAAATTACCCATGGTCCAAATACCGGGCCATAATCCGGAAACCGCTCCCGAGTTTGGTAATCTAGCAGAGGCTAAGATTAAGCCTTGGGTGAAACACATTTTATTCCAAGATTGAACCATACCGGAACGATAGAAAAGATCATGATTTTTAATTGCGTCTAATCTTAAATTAAGAGTACCATTTGCGGTTTGGACCGCGTCGGGATCATACCATTCTAAATCTTTTGTTGCATCATAATGTAAATCGGCTGCTTGGAAAAATTGATCATCACCTTCATAGAATGTTCTTCCATCTGCGTTGAATTCGTCACTAAACACCAATTTCCAAGTTTTACCATCTTTATTTTTATGAGTTAAAGCATCCTGGGGAGTATCAGGGTCAACCAAGGAGGTTCTTATACCTGCAATCAAGGGGTACAGATACTGGGTTAAGATTTCATAAGATTCTGGTTTATAAGGGTTTGTTATACCGGAATAAGTTAAAACTGGTAATAAGATGAAAACCACAATTGCACAAATGATCAAGAATAAGAAACCGAAAAACCCACCAGCCGATTTTTTATCCATTGTTTTCAAATCGTACCAAAAACGATTTTTATCATAATCAGCATCTTTAATTGGATCAGGATTATGTAAATAATCATCAGGTTCCTTTTCATCGATATGTAAGGGGAAACTTGAAGCTGGGTAGCCACCAAAGGGACTGAAATCATGATTTTCATTTAATAACTTGGTAGTTGGTTCCATTTGATTTTGAGAAACCAAAGAAGATGAACTAACCACTCTAGAACCTAATCTAGACAGATACCGATCAAATTCGGGAGCATAAGCAGGAATGGTTTTATTTGCCGGAGGTTGTAATAAGTTAGTAGTGGTATTATTCTGAGAATTATAATAGCCATTAAAATCATCATCTGAATTACCATTGGAGTTAGACAGCTCACTAACGTTTCGATCAGTATATCTAAAATGGGCCAAATCTGAATTGGACAACGATTCCTGGAAAGGGTTCAAGGGTTCATTGGAGTTTGTATCATCATAATCGTCCACAGCAACAGAAGGGCTGTTATAAGTCAAGTCTCGTTGTGCCATATCAACAGAAACATAAACTAATGAAGAAGTAGTAAATTAAATAAACAACCAATAAACAACAAAAAAATTTATCAATATTAAAATATACAGTGAAAATTTAAGGGAGTACCAAAAAATAATAACAATCCTCGCCTTATAAAAGTTCCCACTACCAAAAAGGCTTTTTCTTTGGCTATTCTTGGTATCTACTTTATCTTACCACTAGTGACTAAGTTGTAAGATCGTAATTAGGCCGTTTAACAACCAATAGTAGCCCAGGGGCTGAGGAATGCTCCGAACCATGTACTACGCTTATATCTCCACAATCACTGGAAGGGTGCTCCGTACACCACCCAGGAATCTTGTCCAACTTGGCAAGCTTTGTTTCCTTTTAGGAAACCCCTGACTTTTCTTCGCTATTGTAAACAAGATATCTTAGTATTGGTATTAGTTTATTGCAAATGAACAGGTATTAAAATGTATTTAAATTTACTTAGTAATTTTGTTGATTTTGATGAATTTTGATGTAAAAATGTTATTTTGGCGAAAAAACAACATTTTCAAATCAATTTTCAGGGGAATTTTTCATTTTTTTCATTTTTTCATATTTTCATTTCATTTTCATTTTCATTTTCATTTTCATTTCATTTTCATTTTCATTTCATTTTCATTTTCCTTTTCCTTTTCATTTTCTTGTTTGCAGTATTACAGCTGCTTGTGGTCTTGTGTTACTCTTGTACGCTTGTACTCTTGTGTAGGCTAAGACTTGCTACCAATCTAGGCATCAGTATATTTCGGTATGTTTGATGCCGGGAAAATATCCATTGGGTCTGTAGATGGTTCACCCAGGTCAGTTGCCAGTTGCCAATTATGCCAAATGTCAATTGTCAACCAGATCAGATATTTGCAGCAAACGCACAAGGGTTAAACGATCTAACAATAAACCAGTATATCTACTTACACAAATAAACAAGGAGGCTTGATTCCTTTGATGTGCACTTGGAGCAGATCGACCAGTATCCACTACTGGTGGAGCATGGGGTTGCAAGTCTGAGGATGAATGGTGCTTCTGGTTGGTTCAGTAATTGTCGTGTTTGCTTATGATGCTTCAATCTGCCCTTTATACTGTATTTAAAAGTATAGTCTCAGATATGTATTCTTCACGATATACACGGAATCAGGGAGAAGGGTTCTTTTACAACTTCAATAGAACTACTTGAGTGCAGCACTTTCTAGACTAGAAATCACTAAGGGCCACAGAGTAACTGTCGGAAGTTTTCATGTTAGACGTGTAATTGGCAAAGCAGTTAAACTTTAGTAGGATGTAAGCAAGTTTTATATAGTGCTGACGGTGACTGTAGCAGGCAGTATTAACGTCAAAAGGGACTGATAGAGGCAAGATGGTGTTCAGTATGGTATGCAGATGAATGCAACCAGCTGGAACAAATACAGATATAGACAACGGTGGCTCGATGGTTATCGAATGTCTAACTTTAGGAGCAATTATTACATAGAAACATGCTGGAGACATTACCAGGTTATTTATCTTGCGGAAACCATTAAGCGGTTGAATGAAGCACTAAAACAAATGATCAAACCGAAGTACAGTTAGTTGGAGGAGTTGGTATGACGGGAGAGCAGCTTTGGTTATGTAAAACATTTTTAGACACAATGAGGTCAAGTGGACAATAATCTAGATGCATTAAATAGACTAGGAATCCGTCAGTTGTTCCAGATACCCTTCCAGAAGCTTCTGACGTGCTTCTCTATAATTAAGTATGGTTTTGCTTAAACGTGATGCTAACCGTTTTATCCATTCTATTTGGAATTGTCATGTTATAGCTAACCCCAAGGAAATGAATATGTCAACACAAAACTTTAATTACTTCCTTACAAGGATTATTATCTGGTCGAACGAGCCGTATAAAGAGTAAAATGTTTTCGGTTTTATTGTTTATAAAAAATCAATTTTCATAAAACAAGTACTTACGGTAGTAATAGAGAAGATTTATTTTAGCATCTGAACACTGTTTTTTTATTCAATTCATAGAAATTGAAAAAAATTTAAAAATATCTCTTTTGAAATTGCAAGAATACTATACTTTGAAAACGCTAAAAATCAATTTTTTTTATTAATCCGATGCGGTGGCTCAATTGGTAGAGCTTTGGACTCCAAATCCAAAGGTTGCAGGTTCAAGTCCTGTCCGTGTCATTTTTTTTTGCAATTTGCTTTCTTGTAACGGATTATAATAATCAGCTTCCTTTTGATACTAATCTACATTAAGTTATACTAAATTGTATATTGATGCATCTATTTAACAAGCTTGGATGACCTTATATTACCTTGTTTTCTAACCTCATTATCCATTAACTCTCTAATACGATGACTACCAGCAATACCAATAGCTAAAACTGATTCTAAATAATCTAAAGGCATTTTATCTTCTAATAATAATAGAGCTAATTTTTCACTTTTGCCAATAACCCCGATTGTAATACAACTTATATCATTTTCTTCTAATGTACTTAAATCCAATAATGGTGTTTTATCATATAATCCACAATTTATTGCTGAGACATAATCATACATTGAAATACCAGCATCAATTAAACTCAAGGTAATTGCATTAGTGATTCCTGCTAACAATCCACCGTCTTGTGCTAATACGAATACATTAACTTGTATTATTGTTCTTGGATAATTATAACTCATTATACTTTGTTCAAAAGTTCTTTCTAGCGTGGTCTTCAATTCAATTAATCTTTTTTCATTCTTCATCTTCTTCTTCCTTTCTAATGTTGAAAAATTCGATATCAGTAGATTTATTTCAATGGTTGCCTTCTTGGTATTGATTTGTGATCTATTAAGTGGTTCCATTGGTCCTTTGACCATACTTATTATCTTGGTATTTCCTTGTTCAACGTACGATGATCCATCCGATGAATTTGGGTGGGTGTTAGTACGACACTCGAAACGACGTAACTCATTCCATCTCCTCCCATCTATTCTAAGCCCTTCCGGCGAATATAACTCCAAACGTGACATGTTCTCTTTACTTTAATAACTTAAACGGTTAATGGTATCTTTACTGGTGACTCGAGATGAGTTTTTTTTTTTTTTTTTTAACAACTGAAAAATTTAAAGGTAAGAAATGTACGGATGTTCTGTGTATTACTGCAAAAACTATACAACGTCGTTGGACTTGTGCTTGACGTCCTCGATGAATTCTCCCAAGATATAACAGTTGGAAAGGTAGAAGCCAATGGAAGAGTAGAATAAGCCTCCATTGAAAGTGCTTTCACCTAGGAACTCTAATTTGTAGGCAAAAAACAACCAGCAAGCTTGACTCAAAATCCATAAAGTCAATAACCAAATTCCTTTCAAGTTCATAAGTCTTGTATCCAACAAAAAATTGGGTAAGAAGATTATAAACCAGATGAAATATTGAGAGGTGACCACCTTGTTGAATAGTACAAATGCAAATGTTTGCAAGAAGAAGCAATTTATCAAATTTCTTCTGGCGAAAAATAATGGGAGTAAAACTGATGAAATTAATAACTGGGGGATGAATGCTAGTTTTTCTATATTTCTAATTCCTTCGTGGTAAGTATCCATATACGGTTGTGCCGATTTATAATATAAACAGATATTGTAGATGGAGAAATTGTGTCTGTGGTCAAGTCTAGTTAAATGGTATAAGTATGAATGGTATAAGAATTCATAGCCATATATGTGATACATGGTCCCATTGAAAATACCCAAGGTTACAAGGACAACCAATAAATACTTTAAATTTGTATAGTTGATTAATTTAACCAACGGCAAGTTGACGATCGATGGCCCAGATCCACTCAAGTATAGTAAAATACTAGGTAAATATATTATAGGGTATATTTTAAAATGAATCGAAATACCCAAAAAAATGGCTGAAAGTGCCATCTTCTTCAATGAAAGAAAGTATATACTTAACATGATAAACACAGTTAAAACACTTTCAGAAGACCCTCTGGTACTTATAGTGATAACCATTGGATTGAGTAGCCATATCGATGATAAAATTAGTAATTTCCGTTCAGTCAACTTGGAACTTTTTTGCAATAACTTAACTATTAAAACCCCAGTAATTATATCACTCAAAATAAACAAAAACTTACCGAAACTCGGCCACCATTCATTCGGTACCAAAAACCATGATAACAAAGGAGTATATCTATACGTTTCTCTAGTATATGGCGATAGTCCTTGGTAGACATAATGAGAAGCATCCGAAAAGACAACGTAATCAATATCGGTGTACTTAACATTCATGTACTTATCCTGGTATAATCCAAATAGGAAAAAACCTATTCGAACTAATATCGATGCAACGATTAGATAAATGCTAGAACGTGACATTCTTCAGTGGACTGATGTACTTAATTATCTACAACGGTTTGATTCGTATGCTTTTCTCAACGACTGAAAAAAAAATACACCAAAAGAAAAAAAAACTAAAGCAATTTTTTTGAAGAATGAACGTTGTTTTGACGAAATAAAGACTTAAAGGTAATCAGAATGTCTAATCCTCAAGAAGAAGTGTATATTGACTACTTAAACTACGAATGGGACTCATTCGATGAGTTTCAGCAAGGGTTGAAAGATATACTTGATAATTATTTAGAAAGTATGAAAGAATCAGATCCTTCAGCTACATCAATTCCTGCTTTGGATAAACAACAGCTTATAGATCAGGCCAAGTCCTTTTTTTACTGTTCTCATACCGGAAACATTTTAAACTTGGACGATTTCAATCAATGGAAGTTACATAACGGAGATAAATATGATAAGAATAAGAAAATCGTTGAAATACCGAACGAGGAAGAGGAGGAGCCGCAACTGCTGGAACCACCATATTCTTCCAATTACCAAAACCTTGTTGAGTTGATAGTTTCTGGTAAACCTGTTCCTGGAATCAAACAGATTCCAGATACGGTATTGACTGACCAAAGTTCTAAATCGGATGCTAAGCAGAGAGTGAAGCCTTGGGAAAAGAATAAAGGGACTGAGGAAAACGATATTACAGAACAAATATAGAAGCCAAATGTCTAATGAATAAATTATGATCTAGAAGTGAATATGTAGTCTATATAAAATGTCATTAATGTAAAACTCTCATTACTGCTTCGAAAGCAGCTAAAGCAGCAGCGTTTGCTGGGAATGATCTTAAAATAGAAGGACCAAAACCTCTAGTGAAACCAGCTAAACCTTTTTCCCTATAGATGAATTTAACAGCATCGGAATATTTGGGGAATTTCTTCTCGGATTTAATTGGACTGTCGGTCATAATAACTTGTTTAATAACATCAGATGGATATGCAAATATCCAGAAAACCGTTGCTGATAACCCACCGGACCAGAAGTTAATGGCTGGTTTCAGTAATTTAGTATTATCTTCGAAATATTGGGTGAATAACTCATATGACCCCCACCAAAATATGAAATTGGTTCTGAATATCATGGTTGGTATTAACCCTGCAAACCAAGTGGTTGGTGATATCTTGAATAATTTTTTGGCAACATCGATTGGTCCAGTGTATATCTTTGATTTTGCATCATATTGCACTTGTAATCTTGCCTTGAATTGTTCAATGGGAGCTGCCACAAATGACACAGTCCATCCACTCCCCAATCCTGCCATCACATGGCCCATCAAGGGTAATTTAGTTTCTTCTGGGTAAATGTAATCTTTGACGTATCTTCTATATACATGCAACGATCCCAACATAACGGAATCCATCATAATCCAACCAACCAATGGTGGAGTAAACCCTTTGTAAAAACCTCTGAATCCTTCTGCCTTGAACGTTTGCCAAACACAATCCATCGGTCCTTTGAATCTACCTTCAGACGTTTGCAATCTCACCTTAACCGTATCAAACGGATGTCCAACTGCATTCTTGGTAACACCAGAAAACATCCCGGCAACAAACCCAATGTACTTCGGTGGAGGGGCTTTCTCCTGGACACTTGGTCCGTCTAGGATCTTATCTTCTTTATCTTTAATCACCAATGACATAATTTTCAAAAGCTGATCTGACTCTTCAATGAGTTTTCTTTCAATTTACGTCCCTTTTCACCGCTTGAAAGCAACAATTCGATCTGACCGTCGATTATACCAAATAAACAGTCTGACCGGTGTTTATTTATAAAGAATTACCCTTGAAAGAAAGAAAAACAAGTAGTAGTAGAGCTGAAAAAATTCCGGCAAATTTTTCAACCTCAAGTGCCGGTATCGCTCAAAAAAGATAACGGGAAGATCAAGCAGCAACAAATAATCGTGCAATTGAACAGAACTCCTCTTACACTTACCATCTACTTACATCTATAACGCTAATCCTCGACCATTTCACCGGGTTCTTGGTTTCTTCCAGGTTTGTCCATTTTATGTATGGATTGCAATGTCGCAGGCACCACGACATCAGCGACATTTGCAGTGGCCCGAAAAAGCAAAAAAACCTGAAAAAAAAGTGTATAAACAGTAGGAAAACCTTCTCTTCTGCCATCCAGCCCTATTTCTTCTGACAGATTGATTGACCGGCTTGATCTATCAGGGAAATATTCACTGCTCGACACACCGATACATCAAAACACTTGAAGCATGAGTCAACTGCCTGTGAAAAAGGAACCGACCGTGAAGTCTGAGCCGATTGATGTATTTTCACCTAGTTCATCATTTAATGGTGATGCTACAGGAAGACCATCACCATCTGCTGCTAGTAATGGTAATACACCTAATAGTAATGGTAGCAGGCCACCAGTAGTCAAGAAAGAAGCCAAATGGCAAGATATACCGTTAAAATGTTGTACTAAAGCAGAATTGGACGATATTCGTTATCATATATTACGCTTCCAAACAAAACAGGATGTGGATATAAATAATAATTTCACCAAGCCAGTTAGAATGCATAGAAAAGATCCTAGAAATATACAATTTCAACTCACAAGAGAAGAAATTGACCGACGTAAAAGAGATCAGGAAGCAAGAAAACTGGAAACAGATCGAGCTCAAGAAGACGAAGCTGATTCTCAAGCAGCTGATGAAGTAGATGCTGCAAGTGATGCAGCGAAAAGAAACCAAGCAGATATGTCACAAGTGGCTCCCGATGGTGGTGCTCGTAAGCCTAAAAAGAATGTTTTTAAACGTAAAACAAAACAAATAAATTTAATGGCTGAAGAGAAAAGAAAATTAAGATACGAAGAATATTATCCATGGGTCTTAGAAGATTATTCCGGTAAAAATGTCTTTGTAGGTAATTATGAGGCTGGTTCTTCAGATACTCAACATGTATTATTCGTCTTTGATAAAGATGGTTTTAAAATGGTTCCTGCTGAAAAAGTTTATAAATTTACTCCTAGAAATAAATACGCTACTTTAACTTTAGAAGAAGCTGAAGCTAAAATGGAAAAAAATGCCACTACTCCAAGATGGTTAATGAAACATATGCATGATAATTCTTCTTCTGAAGGCGCTACTCCTGATATGAGATTTAGACATGCATCTACAAATGGTAATGCTGCAGTTGGGGGGTCTTCTAGTCGTGGTAGAAGAATGAGAACCGTCACTGGTGGAGAAACAAATGATCGTGATTCTGATCATGATGATATTGATTTCGATGAGGAATTTGCCGATGACGAAGAAGCTCCAATTATGGATGGTGATGAAGAAGAAAACAAATTATCGGAGAAAAAAATAAAAAGGGAAATGATGAAGGCTGCACATTTTGATGGTCAATCTGATGCAGATATGGAAGATGATGATGATTTGAATGATTTATTTGAAACTGAAAAATCAAGAAAAGTCGATAAAGAAGGTAAAAAATTACGTAAAGTTTTAAATAAAACAGAAGGTGGAGTTTACGATAGTGACGATAACGAGGAAACTAATCCTCCTTATGTTTCTCAATCAGATTTGGAAAGTGGTAATGACAGTGAGGATGATGAAACAAAAGTAAAAGAAGAACCAAATGATTCCTTATCAAATGAAGTTCAAAATGTAAGAGCTTTCACCGCTAGAAATGTTGGTGATGGGTTTGTGGTCATAAAAGCTCCAAAAGATTTCCTTAATGGTTTCCCTAAAGGAGAATGGAATCCAAATGTCAAGAAGAGACAAATTGAGACCAATAAATCTCCTAAAAAGAAGGCAAAACTTGAACGTGATTCTACTCCTTCACAAACTACCTCGCCCCAAGTTAAAAAGGAAAAACAAAGCGTTTCACCTTCTCCAACTCCTGCTGCTACCAATCTTGCTAATGTTGACTTGAACTCAGGCGGCCCTAATAATGAATACGTCACTGTTAAAGAGGTCTTGGATATCGTCAGTAATAATCCTTTAACAACTAAAGAATTGTTAGTCCGTTTGAGAAATAGGGTCAACGCACACAAGGACAATAAGCAGCGGATCATCACGATTGTCAAGCAAACTCTCAAATTAGTTGATGGTAAGTTGGTGCTTAAAGACGAAAATCGATAATTTATTTAATTACGATTTTTTTTTTTTTTTTTTTTCGCTGCAAAAAAAAAAAAATATGTATTTATTTCTCTATATGTTTAACTAATTTACAAGACTTCAACTACTGCGTCATCATCGCTATCGTCTTCCATTTCTTCATCGGCTTGCTCTATTGGGGCTTCATCTCTCATTAACATTTGAACTAATCTATCGACTAAATCAGTAATATTTTCAGTCTCATTGGCTTTATGTAATTCTCTAATTAAAGGATAAACAGCTTTTTCTCTTAAGTATTCTCTTACTTCTCTACTGGTACATAATAATAATAAAGATTCTAAATGTGTGCAGATGATTGCTTCGACAGGATCTCTTTTCTTATCTGAAGGTAATAATTGTAATTCATCTGGTAAGTTGAACATGTCTTCTTCGTCTACTTCTTCTGGACCAGCAATTGGTAATAATATATATGGTAAAAGATTGATTTTTTCATTGGTGATTAACTCCATGTGTGCTTTCGTATCAAATAAAGCATTCTTAATAGTGGATGCAACCCCTTCTCTTCTAATTTTAGAATCATAATATTCAGTGAAAACTAATAATTTAGAAATTGGAACAATGCCATCGTATTCTTGTTCTGTTATAAAATAGCTTCTACCTTGTTGGAAACGAGAAATATCGGCGAAAAAATAAGATAAATAATCGAAATCAGCATACTTATTTAAGGAACGATCACTACCTTTAACAAAACAATCCATTAAGCAGTCAATTGCCTTATTTGATGTAAAAATTTTCTTTTGATCTTCACTTTCGTGCTTGATGGTGAAATTGAATATTTTGTTGATAGAGTCATTCTTGGCCAAGTTAGTTAATAAAATACACATCAAGTCAGCATTAGTATTCTTCAAATTTATAATGGATTGCACTAAGAACTTGAGGTATTCTTCATCTTCTACAATCAAGTTTCTCATGGTGATGTCATCACATAAATTGGCCAAAATAGTAACAGATTGAGTCACCAAGGTTTGCCCCGTTTCCTTGGACAACTTCTTCAAGTCTTTAATTGCTTCATAATTATCATAGGCGAAAACTTGTTGTTGAGTACCTTGAGAGTAACCAACCAAATTATCTAAAGCGATTTGGACCACTGCTGGTTGGGGAGAGTGCAAAAAAGTAACAAGTTCTTCTAATTCACTAGGCATTATTCCAAACTATTATACAAAAAGCCTATTCTTGAGTAATTTTAAACAGTTTATTCAACAACTGCTTAGTAAAGTAGTAATTTTTCAACTCGGTATATGAAAAAAAAATTTTGTGATGAAGAAGTGCACCGACCAAATTTGCAGCCTTATAAAAATTGCAAAAAACTTAAAATGTACATTTAATTTTTAGTTATTGAAGAGAAACTCTATATATAAAGCTATTTTGGTGCCTCTTTGAGCTTGTCTATCACTTGTAAGTAGTAGTAATAGAAGGCAATTACATGGAAGTGACCGTCGAAAGTCATTTTTTCATCAACAGAATGAATATTACTGTTTGGAGTAGGGAGTCCTGGTTCGTATCTAAAGATGTTTCTGGTCAAATCCCAATATGAATGGGTGTCGGTGTTACCAGTTGAAAGGAAAGGGGCAAAGACAAAAGTATCGTTGTCATCAGGGAAGACCAAATCCTCATATAAATAACGCAAAGAACCACCAAAAAGGTTCCAAATTTGGCCGTCATTAGGAGTTACCGGGGCCGGTTCTAAAGATCCTCTTAAAGTATAGTTGAAATAACCTTTTGGTGTTGGAGGTACAACTTCCTTGCCCTGGAAGATGACTCCCAAATTGTATTTAGCAGCAAAGTCTTCAATTTGGTGTAATACTTTTTCGGCCGTCGAGGAAACCAGTTCTTCAATGGCAACACGGTGATTGAGAAGAACTGAAGCACTTTCAGGAAGTGCATTCAGTTTTACCCCTCCGTTTATAATATCAAAGGCTTGAGAGGTGGTGATAATATACTTTGAAGCTAAGTCTTGGGATAAATACTCAATGACTTTTTTATTTGCGTTAATATCGAGATGAGATTTCAAAATATCACGCTTCAAAGATTTATCAATGGAAGTAGAATGCTCAGCGACACATTGAAGCTGATTGAGAACAGGATTGGCATTTGTTAAAAGACTGGGGAATTGTTCATCTTCAATATTACTAATTAATTTGGAAAGAAGACCAATTGCAGTATGATCAGGAGGGATACTCAGATGACCACCAGGAGTAAATAAGGAAATGATTGAATCAACGTGACCCTTTTCACCAGTAGCAGGTAAGATGAATTTAGTACCTTCGATGGTTTCAAACCCATTAGTTCCTTCATCCACAAGTTGAAGGAAAGAATCAGGACCATATTTTTCCAAGAGGAATTTTGAGATTTCAAAAGCACCTTGTCCATTGGATTCTTCGTCGTAGCCAAATGCCAAAACGATTGTTCTTTCAGGAGTGAATTTCTTTTCACTCAAGAGAAGTTCAACTGTTTCTAATAACCCAACTAATAAGTTTTTACAATCGCTAACCCCTCTACCATATAAATATTTACCATCAAATCCACCTTCAAATGGAGGGAAAGTCCATTTGTCGAGAGTATCGGGTTGAATTGGCACTACGTCATAGTGGGCAGTCAATAAAATTGGCTTTTTCAGTTTATCAGTACCTTCCCAAGTATAAACAAGACCAAGCTTGTTAACTTTATCGAATCTTAAGTTTTCGTGAACCAAGGGGAAAGTTTCCTCCAAGTATTTGTGAAAGTCAGCAAAAGGCGACCATCTGGGTTCACGTTTGAATAAGTCGTCCAATGAGTCAGCTTCTCTTGGGTCAATCAAGTCATCATAACCTTGAGTTGGGACCCTTACGGCATTTAATAATCGTTCTCTTGATTCATTATGATATTTAGCATCATGTAAGATTTTTTGTAAAGTACCTGGCGAGTACAAATACTCGGAAGGGTCTACTTTATCAACAAGAGGACATAAATGGTCTGGATGATGAGGGTCACTAGGATCAGACCAAATTGTCAAATTTAATTGATGGTAAAAGAGTCCAACAACGGAAAATGAAACAACTGCCAACTTGATAGCAAACCATTTGTAATTGAATTGCGAACGAGAAGTTGAATTATACAAGGGAATCCCACCCTTTTCTGAGTCCAAAGAAATAGCCATTGGGTTAATTGAGCTTTAATAGAAGAAAGAAACGGTTTAGGCAGATAAGGGAGACTCCAACCTTTTTATACGTTTAAATTGCGCAACCAAAATTCCGCTTTCTACAAGCCATATAATATTGGGCCATGATCTCTATAAGGAATTGAATTCTCTATTTAGTAATCTCTACTTATTAGTCTAGTTAAATTGGGCAAACCAGAGAAGTTGATCACTTAAGGTTTTTTCTTTGGCGTATTTGACAATTGGGTCAGAAATATCACCTTTGACTGAAAAACCATGGCTGACCCCTTGGAATAAATCCATTTGGTATCTAGCCTTAATATCAGTCAAGATCTCTTCAGTTTTCCATCTCAAGTCACGGGTGAAAAGAGGATCGACTTCAGCTGCAGAAATGATAATTGGTTTGGCGATGGCTTTAATTTCGTCAACTTCAACAAAACTTGGATGAGCACCAGCAGCAGCATCCAAAAACCCATCTTTAGAAATATTTTGAATAGCGTATTTAGCACCGTAACAGTAACCGATACCACCAACAAACTTAGGAGACCATTCTTTACGTAATTGTTGTAAAAAGCCATTGACAATTGGAGCAGTGATATCACTAGTATGATTAGTAAGCCATCCACTTAAATCACCATGTTCAAGAGGAACTGCATCACCTTTTAAGATATCTGGAATAACAACATGGTATTTACAGCTTCTAGCAATTTCATCAGCAATCAATAAAACGTTGTTGAATCTATTACCAAAGATATCGGTCAAAATAACAATAACCCGATCATTACCATGTTCAGCACCAACTTGGTAGGTATCAAGACCGAAAATTTGTTTATGTTCACCTTGAGCTTGTCCTTCGTGGAATGAAGCTTGAGTACAGCATGCAGCTGGAGCGTGGGAAGCCATTTTGGAGTTGTTTGACGTAAAACCAACGGAGGATCTAGTGAAAATTTGACTGCTTTATATACTCCTTCTCCGACTGAGACATTTTGGTGAGGCCCTCATTTTTGTCCCTTCGGTTAGTAATCAGTTGGTGAAAGCATACACGACTGGCCCTCGAGCAAGCGATGACCCAGTGTGTGTCTATTGTATCTTGTATGCTGCTCTATACCTGGGTATACCTGAATGTCCCGATACCTGAGTATCTGGATACTTGGTGCATATTGATACTTGGTGCATATTGACGGGTTTGTTTTTTACTGTTCTTCTTGCTGCGTTCGTATAGTGTTGAAGTCGTATAGTGATCTTCTTGCTGCATTCGTATAGCATACTCCTTACCACATTCAGTGTACTGTCTATATTTTAAGCTAAATAGTATTTAAGAACTGCTAGCAAGTCCAAGAAATGTCTAGACTTGTTGAGTCAGCAATTTTACAGCCATTTTTTTTTTCAATGAGATTACTGCAAAACCATGTATTGACAGCTATAAATTATTTAAATTGAGAAAACCAAGCGAGTTGGTCGGTTAAGGTCTTTTCTTTGGCATATTTAACTGAAGGATTGGTAATGTCACCTCTGACGGCGTATCCATGGGATACTCCTTGGAACAAATCCATTTGGTATCTAACCTTAATTTCAGTCAAGGCTTCTTCGGTTTCCCATCTCAACTCACGAGTGAAAATGGGATCAGTTTCAGCTGCTGAAATAAGAATTGGCTTGGTGAGTGCCTTCACTTGATCAATGCTCACCTGGGAAGGATGGGCAATGGCAATTGCATCAAAGTTTCCATCTTTCGAAGCTTGTTCAATGGCAAACTTAGCTCCATAACAATGTCCAATACCACCCAAGAACTTAGGTGTGGTCTCCTTATACAAGGTTGTCAAGTATTCTTTCACGATTCTGGTTGTTGTTTCATTGGGGTGTTTTTCAAACCAAGCTGGTAAGAATTCCAAACTAGCCGGTGGATCCCCACCTTCAGCAAGATCAGGAACCAAAACCTTGTATTTACCAAGTCTAGCAACCTCATCAGCAATTAACATATTATTCTTAAACTTATAACCGTATATATCAGGTAATATTACAATGATGTTATCGTTACCATTTTCAGCACCAGCAACGTAGGAATCAACACCAGCAACGATTTGATGTTGACCTTTTGGCTCTCCTTCATGGAGAGTAGCATGTACACAACAAGCACCCGGGTTTTTAGAAGCCATTCTTTGATTTCCTTGTCGATAGTAGACTTGGGTAGGCGGTTTTGGCAGCTAACTTATATACTTGATTTTGTAGGAACTTAGGTCCGAGTTCCGACCACGGTTACCACCGAGACTCAACTGCTAACGAAAAATTTTACCACCGAGTGTCGGCTGCAAACTTTGAAAATTGCAGCCTAAGATGATTTACAAACACGAGAATCAAATAGATATACAAGGAATGAATGTATTAAAGAATACTAATGCACATGGGAAAGAAAGATAAAAACTATTTATACAAGGGGCGGAGGAAGAGATTAATCAATAACCAAAGATTCGTTATCACTATCTAGTTTTTCATGACTATAATTTTGCTGGGTTGGATTCCCATTAGGTTGTTGGGGTGCTGTTGCTGGAGTTTGTCTTGGTGGTAAAGATAATTTTGTAGATTGTTTTTCATTCATTGTAGTCATACTTATATTGTGTTTATTCCAATATTCATTCAATACTGCGTTATTATCATTATGAAAAGGCATTTTACTATAATAAGTGCTAACCAATGGTAATAATCCATGATTATAATTTTTCAACATGATACATTCAATTGTAACAGTTAAAAGTAATAATATTAAAGTTATAATACCAAAAGTAACCAAGGATTTACGACCTGGGAAGTAGGAACCTGGAGTAACCCCAATATTATAAGCAGATGAGTACTTGGTATAAAGTCTTATAATTTTAAATAAGACGTATGCACAACTCATTAAAAATAATGAAATGGTACAAATGGTTAACAGTTTAATTTCACGAGTAGTAGCAAAATCACTGGCAAATAAAACAAGAATGGTTAAAGGTAAAACACAAACTGTTAAAATAAATTCAAGGGATTTTTTATTTGCAATCATAATGACAATAAATTGAACGGTAAACCCAATGAAAAAGAAAAAATCAAAAATAAGTAACGCCCGATGAATTTGGAAAATTGTATACATCTTTTTAATATGTAAATCACCACCAATTTTTTTATAACGAAACCATTTAACATTTTTACGAAGAACTCCAAATATCATATAAACTTGACTTACTAAAGTAAGAGCAATAACAACAATTGTTGCTATATTAGTACCACGGGTTGATTGTTGCCAAGATGGTGATAATCCATTACTAATGGAAAATCCAACTTCTTCAAATTGAATACCAGTATAAATTAACATACAACCATAAAATATACAAAGCATTGCTAATAACAACATATTTTTGGTTTTTAAACCAATGATAGTAAGAAGAACTTGATAAAATGCTGCAAAAATGAAAAGTGATAAATAAATCAGAATTTCTGCATATCTTTCTTTAGAATTGAATTTTTTTTTATGGATGTTAATAACAGCATAAATATAACATTCAAAAACTAAAATTAAAAGAGCAGAAAAGACAGAAGTTGCAAGAAATAGATGAGATGCTCTACGGTATCTATTATCCAATTCTTTACTATGTGGATCTGCTGTAACTGGAGTATCAGGAACTTGATTTTCTGAATAAAAATTACTAATTGGTGGTTGATAACTTATTGATGTAACTGATACTTGATCAGCATTATCATTTATTATTGGAGCATTTGATGCAGTCGAAGCTGTTCTATATAATGCAGGAGGTGGTGAAGGTAAACTACTTGGAGATGCAACGGCATTTTTCATATTAGCAAATTTATAAAAATCATCTTTTGAATCTTCAGTTCCTTCTTGTCTTTGAAGCTTTCTAGGGGGTAATTGAAGAGTTTGTTGTCGAATATTAGATGCTGAAGAAAGGGTAGATAACCGATCAACAGCGGCTGGATACATGATCAAATGAGTAAAACTTCAATGTATTTTTCCAAGACTAGTTAAAGGGTATTAAATATTATCGGGAGGAAACGAAACCAAAGCAAAAAAACGAAAAAAAGGCAAAATCAAACTACCAGGTGTAATCACAAACAGGATTATTGACAGTATTTAAGCGATTCTTTTAAAAAATGATAAGATACGAATTAATAATTTAAGCCCGAATATTCGAAATCACGAAATGTAAATGAAAACAAAAATATTTAGATTGTAAAAGCCTTGGACTTAGCAATGGGCATATTTTCAGAGGGTCTTCTATTTCGTGGAATCATCGTGTATATATATATCTAGGTTCCAAGTCTCGAATTGGTGCATGTACGGATAATTTTGAATGCATGGCATCATGAACTAAAAAGACGTTTCTGAGACTCTGCCCAAACTGTACAGTTAATTAACTGGGGTGGTGGCATTGTTATTGTTCAATTATCCAGTTTTGCAATTGTGATCTTTTCTTTACTTTTTCAATGGCTAAATTGTTTGTACGCGGTCCGATTCCAAAATTAAATTTGGATGGTCGAAAAAACACCGTGAAAAATTTTGATTTGAACTAGAATTGTATATTTTGATGACTAGACAACTATTAGTAGGAAGCAGGGGTATTCAACATACTGGTATGGAAGCCATATGATAGAGGGAAATGAATTCATGTATGCAGCTGTTTAGGCACAGTTAGTAAGTTAATGTGACCTTACCAAAAACAAAAAAAAAAAAAAAAAAAAGAAAATAAAAGCATAACAAAAAGCATGAGGCAGTAGACGGTAGTCTATAGTTAACAGCCTCGTCAGTGAAAATCTTGTTGTGGAATGATAGATAAAGAAAAGAACATAGGCAAGTTAGGGAATTGATCATGCAGATAAGTCCTTATAGTCAGCTGGATTTTCTTCTAAGATACCTTCGGCTTCTTCATGGAGATTCAACCAAGAGACATTTGAGAATCTCGAGTCAGACATTGTTTGATTGAGGATTTGGTCGACTTTGCTTTCCACAACGAGTAAACTTATGGCGTCAAACCCACCGGCACCAGGAACAACACCGCCAAAACAACCTGGTAACGTAAAACAGGCATCAAGTAGAATAGTTTGCAGTTCTGGTTCAATATCAGCCCCAGTCAAATTGGTAAGTTTTTTCAAATATTGACGAATGTCATGTAATGAATTGACTAAAGATTGTAAATTTGAAGAAATAATCGAATTTGTACTAAACTTATTTAAGTTATCCCGATAGTTTGATTCGTTTTCTTCGTATTCTTTATGTAATTGATCTAATGCATTAACCAAGGACATATTAGCGGAATTCAAATTTTCGTATAATAATTTACTAGTATTAGGGTCCTCATTTTTCCATTTTAATACTTTTGATACTAATTTTGGAGTCTCTGAACCTCCACTAATATCTCCCATCAATAATTTAATACCTGGAGGTAATGCACATCTAACATGTTTGAAATCCCATTGATTGTTAACAATTTCTTGTAACTTTTCTTGTTTTGGATTTTGAAAATATTCATCAATAACACTAGCATGAAATCTTCTATAGATAATTGATCCATAAATGGCAGCAGCAACATCAAATCCCGACCCAACCTTTTTCTGAGCATAACAGTGACTTATTTGTGCTAAATTATGTATCTTATCTTTGATTTCGTCTAATGAACTTTTCTTAAATACACTCAATAATGATCCAGTGATAACCGAAACCAATCCTGCTGAACTCCCCAACCCGGTCTTGGCTACTTGGCCAATGGGCTCCAGATGATACAAGAACTGTTTGGCCCCATTCCCGCTTTTGACCGCCCTAGTATCTTGCTGAGTATGGTATCCGGCATCACTATAAATGGTGATATGGTAATTGAATGATTCTCTTGGTTCAACATACTTCAATATCGTTTCCACAGCAGCCCCAACAAACGGATTCAGGTCTCCTTCGACCTGTTCAACTCGAAACTCCTCGTCTTTCATCTCGTACACCCAATGGCCCTTTCCAAACTGCGGTGAATCAATTGTAATCTTGGATTTAGCGGCTACTTCTCGTGATTCAATCACCGCGTGCATTCGACATGATAGCGCAGTAACATAGGCATTGTAAGCTGGATCCAACACCAAGTATCCTCCTGCAATAAGAGCTTTCCCCGGAGCACTGAAGGCCCTGACTGTACTCATCCTAAGGCTCTGGTAAGTTAACGCTTATGTTGTTGAAGGTGTTAAGTTGATGAAAAAAAAATTGGAGCGCTCGACAACTGAAAAAGTTGATTTTATTGAAAAAAAAAAAAATAAGAACGAACAAGTAAGAGTCACCATTGAAACTGGCATTACGATAGGAGAATCCAGGATGTCTGACGAAAGTAGAGTGGTTCTGGCCAGGGGAATTGGCCATTCCATCGAGGAATTGCAAAAAACAAAGATCATTGGGATAATTGGATTGGGAGATATGGGTTATTTGTATGCTAGAAGGTTTACAGAAGCAGGATGGAGAGTTGTTGGGTGTGATCGAGAAGATAAGTATGAGGAGACTGTTGGCAAGTTTGCCAACGACTCATTTGAGATCTTGAGGAATGGCCATGAGGTATCTCGTATATCCGATTATATTATTTATAGTGTTGAAGCAGAGAATATTGATAAGATAGTAGCTGCTTATGGACCATCCACAAAATATGGAGCAATAGTTGGGGGACAGACTTCGTGCAAAGCACCGGAGATCAAGGCGTTGGAGAAGACGTTACCTGCTGACGTAGATATAATATCACTTCATTCATTGCACGGACCCAATGTCAATACCACGGGCCAACCATTAGTGATTGTTAATCATCGATCCTCGGAAGGAAGTGTTGAATTCATAAATCACTTGGTATCGTGTTTGAACTCTAAAGTGGTGAGACTACTGGCAGCAGAGCACGATAAGATCACTGCAGATACCCAAGCCGTGACCCATGCAGCATTTTTATCGATGGGGATGGCGTGGAAAGAAGTAAATCAGTATCCCTGGGAATCGTCTCGATGGATTGGAGGAATTGAAAATGCAAAGATTAATATAAGTTTAAGAATCTACCTGAATAAATGGCATGTTTATGCTGGACTTGCTATTACAAACCCGCTGGCTCATGAACAAATTTTACAATACTCTAATTCAGTATCTGATTTATTTACCTTGATGATTCAAGGTAAAAAGGAAGAATTGAGACAAAGATTACATGTTGCCAAACAATTTGTGTTTCATGAAATACATGAATTATTATTAGTTGATGATATTTTAGAAAACTTTTCGTTAAGTAACGTTCCTCCGGGCGGTAGACAACCAAACTCCCATTTATCGTTATTGGCAATAGTTGATAGTTGGCATAAATTAGGTATTATTCCTTACGAGCACATCATCTGTTCCACTCCGCTCTTTCGTATATTTTTGGGGGTCACCGAATACCTTTTCTGTACTCCCGGGTTATTGGATGAATGCATTGACGTGGCGGTAAACGATACTTCTTTCAGACAAGATGATTTGGAGTTCACCATAGCTGCAGAGAAATGGTCTTCCATAATATCGTTTGGCAACTTTGACTTGTATCAGAAAACTTTTGAAGATACCCAAAAGTTTTTTGAACACAAATTCCAAGAGGCTAACGTCATTGGTAATGAAATGATTAAAACGATCTTACTGAGAGTTAAAGAAAGAGAACTGAGATCCTAAGTATTTACGTATACCTTGTAATATATTTATCTATAAAAAGCAAAAAAAAAAAAAAAAAAAAAAAAAAAAAAAAAAAAGAATTCAAAAATCTGTACCATAATATATTGACATAAAAACTAAAAACTATTTTACAATTGTTCATCCTTGATGACGTCCATCAACCAGTCCAACCCTTCGGTCAACCCTTCACCCTTGATGGCACTAGAGGCCACGATACTCCAACTTCTATCTTTCAAATCAGTCAAATTAAGGGCCTGGGAGACTTCGGCTGCAGTCATAGCCCCTGGCTGATCTTGTTTATTAGCAAATACCAAAAGAGCACTATCTAGCAATTCTTCTTCTCTTAACATCATATGTAATTCTTTACAAGCAACGTCAATACGGTCTTTATCGGTTGAATCAACCACAAATATCACGGCTGCAGTATTATTATAATAACATCTCCAATATGGTCTAATAGATGTTTGTCCACCCAAATCCCATATATTAAGAGTCAAGTTCTTATATTTCAATGTTTCAACATTAAACCCAATCGTTGGTTTAGTAGTAACAACTTCTCCCATTTGTAATCGATATAAAATGGTTGTTTTACCGGCACCATCTAATCCTAGAATAAGAATTCTAATCTCCTTGTTCATCCCCCATAACTTCCCAAAAATATTAGTAAAACTAAACACTTGTCCCATGGTATATGCAATCACTCTTTATGAATATGTTTCGGTGTTTCTAGTGATTTGTCAGACTGAAAATTTATAAATGAAGCAAAAAATAAAAAAATACCGCCAGATTCAATGATTTCTACTCAATTTTCTCGGATCAAAACCAACTTTTCTGGGTCCAAGGTTCTTCTGCTACTACTCAATCGTTCTCCAACCAGTCTTAGCGATCAAATACCGTTTTGATAGCTGTTTTTTATTATCAATTTATCGAAAACGAAAAGAAAAAAAAAAACACTGAAACGAAAAGTAGAAAAAAACACCAAAAGCAAAATCTGAGCGGAAACAGAATTCGCCCTCGGGACACGACCCGATATAAAGGCAATTTCTATGATCATGGAACTTTTGCTCTATGAATTGAACTAGAGTTTCCTTTTTCATAGTAATAGTGGGTATAAATTACCATTGGAATTTCGTTCAAGACATAGGCTACTGCTAGAGTTAAGTAAGATGTCCGAAGATAATCATCAACCCAGAGGAATATTGAGAAATAGAGGCGAAGGATCACCTAATGAACGTCAAGAAATCCTTGATCAGTTAGATCGTCAAGAAGTGATTAAAAACACCCGACTCAATGCTCAATTGGCATCTGATTCATCGAAGGGAGACCAGATCCGAGCCAAGATTGCTGAACGTAAAGCACAACAAGGATTAGATCCAGGTAGTGATGAATTTGTTAATACTCATTCACCACCTCCAGAACATTTAAAGTGGGATGAAGTGAATTTATACAAGACTGAACAGGAAAAGAGTGCTACTATGAAGATCGATGAGCCCAAGACTCCGTACGAAGGAGGATTCAACCCAGAAGGTGAATACTATAAGGAGGATGAAGAAGAGATTCCTGATTTCCAATTAGGGGAAGGAGAGGCTAGTCACGAAAATAATCTTCAATCACTTAATGGAGGACAAGTTATAGAAGATCCAAGTTATAGAAATGAAGAAGAAGGAGAAGAGGAGGAAAAACCCCTTTCAGCTGAAGAAAGACATAAAAAATTTGAAGAAATGAGAAAAGAACATTATCATATGAAAGGAAATGCTTTAAAACAAAAAATTGATGTATCTGATGAAGAAGATGAATAAAAATAAGTAATTTTTTTCTTACGATTTGAACGATTGTTATTCTAAATAATATAATGTATTAAGTTATTTAAGCAGAGAAGTATTTTAAAGTAGATGCACTTAATTTACCAGCGCCAATCAATTCAGAAGCAGCAGATTGAATGGCGGCTTTAGCAGCAGAAGCGTCAGCAACTTTACCAGCAACATCAACCAATTGAGCATCAGAGAAAGATTCAATTAATAAATCAATATCAGCATCAATATCGGCAGCTTTAGCAGAATCACCAAAGTAATCATTATCTTTAGCAGCACCTCTAATGGCTCTCTTATTCTTCTTTTTAGCAGCTTTAGCAGCTTCTTTAGCTTTCTTAGAGTTAGCTTTGGTAGAAGCAGCTTCTTCAGCAGCTTTCTTAGCAGCAGCTTCTTCTTCAGCCTTTTTACGAGCAGCTTCTTCAGCAGCTTGTCTTGAACCAGCTTCTCTTTCCCATTTCTTTCTTTCCTTTTCCTTTTTAGCAGCTTCTTTAAATAATTTAATTCTTGGATCTTCATTATGAGCTCTTTCAACCAAGTCAATAACACGTTTATTATCTTCTTGTTTCAACTTCTTTCTATTAGAAATATTTTTACGTTCAATATAACGTTTATGATCTCTGTTGGCAGTATCATCAGGAACATCTTCATCTTTAAATTCAAAAGTTTTCCAAGAATCAAATTTCCCCCAGAATTGATAAAATTTATCAACATCAGCTTGTGAACTTTCCAAAGTACCTAAAGAAGGAACTGGTTGTTTTTTAGAAAATCTACCTTCACTTTCGAAAACAGGACCCCAAGCTTCAAAGAAATCATATTGAGTTTTTGGAGCTGGAGGAAGAATGTTAGCATTTTCATCAACTGAATCATATTGTTGTCTTTTAACTGAATCAGTCATAATTTCTAAAGATTTTTGAATGATTTTAAAGAAACCATCTTGGTCTAAACCACCAGATGCAGATTTTTTATCAGGATGATGTTTTAAAACTTGTTTTCTATGGGCTCTTCTAATTTGATCTTCAGTAGCTCTCCATCTTAAATTTGATAATCCTAAAACGGCATATAAATCAGCAGTTTTCCATTCTCTTGGATCATGTGCTAACAACTCTTCACTTTGTTCTTCATCACCGAGATCTTCATCTTCGTTAGTTTCAATTTGTTTGACATTTCTTTCAGCTTCAAGTTTTTCATATTCTGACCAAGTATGTCCTCTTAAAGTTCTGGAAGCATGGGCTAAGAAATGACGACCAACCGGTTCGATTGGACGACGGTTTGGACTGGAGTATTTCCCGTGGGCTTTGAATGAGTCAGTTTTACCGGATGGTAAGGCTGGTAAAGTTATAGACATGTTTGCAATGGTTAAACTTGGTGATAGGAATACTGAAAAAAAAAAAAAAAAAAAAATTTTTTTAATAGACATAGATTATGATGCGCACTCAGATTTACGCGGAGCAGACTCAGATTAACTCGCTGTTAAACTAGATATATATATATATATACTTACTCTTTAATAGCAGCCATATCCAAGACCTCAATTGAACCTTCACCCTTTTTGACTTTGGCGTTTTCTCCTTGTAACAAGTCCACCAAGACCCTGTAGTTGGTTGGATCAATGATTGCAATTGTTTCGAAAGTTTTAGTGTCTTGAGTTTCATCTTCAATCTTATCAAGAAATGACTTGAAATGATCTTCGTAAATAGATTTAGGGACTTTATTTAAGAAGATCAATTTAATCTTCATTTGAGCTCTTGAAATTGGGAAAACTTGTTTTGCAATTAAAAGTTTAATTGCTTCCAAGGCTTGTAACTTCGTTGGTTTATTTGGATTTAAATGAAATTTAACCTCAATCAAAGCTTTTTGAATCATGGAAGGGGGATATCTTTTCTTTGATTTTGGATTTATACATTTAGTCGATATTATATTCAAAAACTCATTATTCTTCTGTTGTAAATTAGCACTTCTTTCCTTTTCATTTAATTGAATTTCTCCCTTATCTAAGATTTGCAAGATGATTTCATCATGATTTGTTTTCCCAAAACTGGCTAGCAAGTCTTCATTGTTTGCCACCTGTCCCTTGGACACATTAGTAAACACCTGGGGAATCTGTAAGACTTCGTCCAAATCCTTTTCTACTTTCAGTCTCCAATCTTGGACTTTATTTTGGTAGCAGGCTATTTCAAATCTTTTTCTACCCTTCTTCATTCTCACCAACGACACGTTGGTGAGTTTGATTTGGTTTGATGGTTGGTTAATCACTGCCATGGTCAAACAGTGGTGAATATTGGAGGTGTCGAATATTCCAATAACGAAGGAGTTGAATATTTCAATAACTAAATGAATTGATACTTAAAAAGCGAAGAGGTCACGTGCGCAACCCAAGATTTTCAATCGTTTTTTTTTTTTTTTTTGTTCTGTTAGCACTACATCGAATTACAAGTCAAATATAAGGGTAATAACATATAATTATTAAGAAAACATGCAAAATTAAATCCAATTAAAAGAATAGACTAAATGTCTAATAGAAAAAACATTTGAAGTGTTTAACTTCAAATAAAACTTTTTTTTTTCCTTTAAAAAAAAAAAAAAACCAAAATGCGAAAACCGTGAGAAAACAATTAGAAATTGCAAAAAATTAAACTGAAAATTAAAAAGAACATTTATTTTTCAAAAATAAACCATATAAAGAATAGAAAAAGGGGTTCAAGCTTAAGCTAATAAAGCACCGGCAACGGCAGCAACACCAGCAACGTAGTATGGAACACCGTTGGCACCAGCACCGGCAGCAGAAGAGACTTCTGGGGTACCGGAAGAAGCAGCAGAAGTAGATTCAGCAGCTAAGGTAGTTGGGGTAGAAGAAGCACCACCGGTGGCTGGGGTAGATTCAGCAGCGGTAGATTCTGGAGCAGCTGGAGTAGATTCAGCAGCGGTGGTTGGAGCAGTAGATTCTGGAGCAGCTGGAGTGGATTCAGCAGCAGTGGTACCTGGAACAGAAGCTGGAGCAGAAGCTGGAGCAGAAGCTGGAGCAGAAGGTTTTGGAGCTGGAGATTCTTCAGATAATGGACAGTAGGTGGTGTAAGAGGTGGTTTCATCGGTGACGGTGGTGATACCAGTAGCGTGAGTAGAGGTATGACAAGCGTCGTGAGAACAAGAAGTGATGGTAACCAAGGTAGATTCGAGGTTGGTAACGGTGGCAGTACCGTTAGAAGGAGCTTCAACGGCAGAAGAAACTGGAGCAGTACCGTTGGTGTAAGCAGCTAAAGCTGGAGAAGCGATTAAAGATAATAAGATAGCAGAAGAGAATTGCATTTTTGAAGCGAATGAATAGATGATGATTAAAAAACCCAAACCAGAGAATTAGAAGAGAAATAATAATCTTTAAATACAATTTCGATTCGAAGTTCGAAGAAGATTTACTACTACTAGCTACTTGGAAAAAGAAAGAAAGCAAACAATACAAAAGACATGAAATGTAAATATATCTTCCAGCAATATTTATCATAATTCTACTTTTTTAGGATACAATTTGTCCTCAAGCCAACCTTAGATCATAACGGGTAAACATAACCTCATTTCATATGTGTCAGGGATCTTAATATGACCCTGGTAACTCTACTGAAAAGGGGATAATTCTTTTTCAACAAGGTATCCAGGATTTTTGCACCTGGTAAATGCTCCAAACACCTTATAGGTGTGTGTTTACCCTTTATTTTGTTTTGTTACTTTAAAGGTACTCAGTATAGCCTACACCAATGCTTTGGCCAATAACCAAACAAACCAGGCAATTCAAACCCGCCCAAACAACAAGGCCCCGTTAGTAGCATTCTCCGCCAGGAAGATTCACCAACAAGGGCTCATCTTCCAACAAAGATTCACTGAAGGCCCCAAACGCTCTTCCAAAAAGGGTTTGGGCAAAAATAGACGTAATTTTGTTTTTCGAGTTTTAACAAAAACAGAGAAAATTTCGCAATTGGTAGTGCAGTTCCGAGGGCGCCTAACCCGGGTGGGCCTTTGTTTGCCGTACTAGGAGTGACCTGACCGGTGGGAAGGTCAACGCCATTCCGGGCAACAACCACCACCACCTCCAATTTCCGGCATCTGAAAGGAGAAAAATAACTAAAAAAAATATAACAATTGACTAAAAAATATTTACTGTTAACTTAAAAAATAATAACCAAATAATAGTGAAATAATGCCGGTGCTGGAAAAAATAACATGAAAGAAAAACAAAACAAAAAAAAGTTAGAAGCAAAACGGTCCATGTCGGTTATACTCTGCCTCCGTACATCCAGCCTGTTCAGCACTGTGCTAGGGGAATCTTCTGGGCGGCGATCTTAAGCTCTGTTACCAATTCGCCCAGTGATACTAAGTCGACGGATGGGCCTCTAAAAATAGGATATTATAAATTAAGCAATTATATTAGTAATTAATAATTATTGAATGATGTTGCAATACTGCCATTGTTCTTTGACACAAACAAGAAAAAAGATTGCAATTTCGAAAACCGGGGTGTTTTTTTTTTTTGATGTATCACGTGATGCCACCGGTAGACGCACTCCAACCTCAAAGTAAATTGCAGGTTGCGTTTCCATTCTGCAGGTTGTGTTTTGTATGGGTAAATCTGAGAATGGCACCCCAATCAATTTGCAACAATTAAGTAAATTTATAAGTAACGTATAAGTAAGGTATAACTGATAATTGTACATTCGGAGTAGCTACAGGGTGCTGACACAGAACTATACATTTTTGTTGATGGCAGAGTCGATGAATCTAATGGCATCAACCAATTCTTCTTCACTGGCAGAATGGCCAACCCCGTTATATTTTTTGAATTGGTAATTGGAAAACCCTAAACTCTTATAGAAGTCACTAGTTTTCTCTCCGTATTCGCATAAAACCAAGTCGTCTTGGATTCCGTGTCCTTGGAAAATTGGGGTTTCATGATTGATGTCATTTCTATGTAATTCTTTGATTTTATCTTTTATAGTAACAAATCCCGATAACGCAACAACCCCACCGATCTTGATGTCTAATAGCGCCAAGGTGGCCAATGATATGGCTGCTCCTTGGGAAAATCCTCCAATTATAATCTTCTCACTTGGTACATTATGAACCTCAATTTGCTCTTTAATTGCTTGTTTCAATACTTCAATACTTTTCAAGAACCCTTCGGTATCTTGTTGACTGTCAGGAGTAAAGCCAAACATGTCAAACCATGAAGTCATGCTCATTCCAAAATTAACACTAACTGGCATGGTTGGTGCGTTGGGGTAGACATAATTAATTGTTTCGTGATTCTTGACCAATTTGCTTTGATTGATTAATTGGTTGAAAAATGACCATCCACTCCCAGTGTCTCCTAATCCATGACAGAATATAATGGCTGCCTTCGCTGGGCTCTTCAATGCCGGGGTTCTAACTGCGTTAATCATTGAAGTATTGCTTATGGAGTAGTTGCTTCTAGTTTTTTCATTTTTTTTTTTTTTTTTCAATGAGATTTATTATACACTAAATTACACTATATACACTAAAGAGCCATTTTTTTATTTGAGCTGCTAACTTCTTCAAGTCTTCTCTTGTTATCTTTGATATCGTCTTTATCTTTAATATCTTCTTTGGCTTCTTTATCTTTAATGTCTTTGTCTTTGATATCTTTATCAGTATCCTTTGTAGCAGCAACTTTAAGAGTTCTGGTATTTTGTTTCTCTCCATTCACTGTTCGGAAATATGGCTGACACCTCCAATACGGGATCTCTTTATAAAATCCACCCCATGATTGTATTGGGCCGTCTCTAATAACATCGACTTCTTTAATATCTGGTCTTTCATATATTTCTTCCACTATTCTTTCAACTTTCTGCACTACTTCATCCCACTTTTCAAATGATTCATGTACACTGGTTTGACCAATGATTGGTCTTAACTCAGGATGCTTAACTAAAAATGCATGTAAGATCTTAAAGAAATGGGCTTTCATGGCAGTTCTAGACGCATGGCTCTCACATTCTTTCACAATCTCAAAATACTCTCTCAACATCTTATCTACTCTTGCAAATTGCTTATCTATATTATCATCTTTAGTCCAAAAAACTCCAGGATTATATAAGTTTCCTTCTGCTGACATAACAGCATCACAGCCAATCAATTCAGAACACCTTTTCAAATCATTAGCATACAAGATATTCCCATTTGCAAAAAAAACTTGATCTTCACCTAAATTCTCTCTTAAATATTTTAAAATTTCCCAATTAGCTAATCCTGTAGCTTGTCCCTTCATATCTCTTGTTCTCCCATGTATCGTAATGAATTGTGCTCCAGCGTCTAGTACCATCTTGGCGTATTCCAAGGATTTTTCCCATTCATCATAAACCCTGATTTTAGCAGTAACCGGAATCTTTAAGTTTTCATGCAAATTCAGAATCAATTTATGCACTAATTCCCAATCGTCCATTAAAAATGCTCCATATTTCCCCTTCTTTGCAATACCTTGAGGACAACCCAAGTTCAAGTCAACCGCATCACATTTATCTTCCACTAGTTGTGCTGCTTTCAACAAATACTCCGGATCATTGGCACAAAATTGTACAATTAAGGGTCTATCGACTTTCTCATCCCCGTCCAATGAGCTCCACATCCTCTTGCGGTACTTTTCGTCAGTGGCGAACAACCTGGCATGGTACATTGGCGTGTAACATAATTCGGCCCCGTATCTTCTGGATAATATTCTCCAGGCGAGTTCACTCTGATCCACCATTGGGGCTACTATAGTCTTCGGTCTACCAATAGACTCATAGAGTTCCCGTCCGTTGTACTTGGTTATAGTCATCTTGCTCTTTCCAAATATTCTCAGAATGAATCTGAAAGGTTTAAATCCCGTGAAAGTGATCTTGAATAGTTGTTTTGCTCAATAGCTTATGGAGAATCGATGAGATGGAGTTTTTTTTTTCAGTTACTTTTTTTTTTTCTTTTTATTGCGATACAACTACATCTACAACTATAATAGAAAACATCATAATAATGTAATTCGAAACTATATAACCTAGTACGATTTCCTATAATACAAGAACTGAAGTAATAAATAAGGTGATTTTTCTTTTTTTTTTTTTTTTCTTTTTGGTAGTATTTTTTTTTTATTTTGATTATTTTGATTTTAGTCTTAGGAACTAATATAAGTAGCCCTGTTTTTCAAGGCTTCGGCGAATCCCATAGCCAATGGCCAGACTGGAGCATCAGCCAAGATTCTAACCCCCATGTATAAAGATCTGGTGGCCAATCTATAATTTTTCATAGCGGTGACTATAGCTTTTGAGCTTGCAGTGTTTGACTCGATAAGAGTCTTGATCATCTTAGCCGATTCTTTGAATGATTCACTGCTGATCGAATCAAATACTCCGTTTGATTGACGGCGTAAGAAATCACTGTAAGAATTGGATTCGTTGATAGGACTCAAATTAGTTTCAATTTTATAAAAAATTTCATCGCAATTCAGCCAGTAAACTTTATCAAATATGGTTAAATCTTTATCGGTATTTTCAATTGAGTCCAAATACTTTGAAATGATTAATATTGAAACGAATACGCAAGTAACGAAAAACACTGGAGTTCTCAAAGAGGTTTCTCTTGAATCATTAATGACTGAGATATTATGAATCCAAATATTAATGATTTCAACTGCATATCCAATACTTTCTTTTAATCCTTCTTCATCATTATCTAATTTTTTCAATTCATCATTCATACCGTTCCAATCTTTATATAAGACTCTATCCATCAATGGGTTAATATTAATGCAAAGTCTTATTTTGGCGAATAAAAGAAGGGGTAAAATCAATTTGAATTCATTATGAAGATTTAATAAATGTTCATTATAATCGTTGACAATTAAAAAGCCTCCATTTTTAATGAAAAAGGATTCCCAGGATTTTATCAATTTTTTCAATTTTGGCCTTGCTTCTAATCTCCAATTTAATAAATTGGTTTGATTATTTGCATCTTTATGATTTGAATATTCAATCGATATTTGTTCATGAATATACATTAATAATGATAAGCAATTATTAAAAGACATTGGTTTTGAATCATAAAAATAATGATTTTCTAATAATGCAATTAATGTATTCATTGATTGATTATTACTAATATCAATCAATGCTTGATTTTGACCATGAACTTTTAATTCATTAATCCATTTACCAGCATCTTCACAACGCCATAAGTTTTCATTTGAACAATGAGTACCACAATTAATAGAATTCAGTAATAAAGGAACTTGTAAACCAGTTAAAGTAGTTCTAAAAACTTGTAACATATAAAAACAATGAATAGTTCTAATTCTTGATTGTGACATGATAAAATAATCAAAATTATTTTGAATCATATTCATATCATTTGAATCAACTAAAGTTGATGGAGGTACAATGAATTGTTCCAAAGGTTTATTGAAATTAGTTGATCTTATCAAACCAACCATTGATTTTAATTGTCTAGCAGTAATGTCAACCATATTTGGCTCATTCAAAAACATGGAAATAAAAATATGAAGAACAAGACATTGATGAGCCATTAAAGGAACCTTTTTAAATTGTAAATTATCCATAGTAATTTCTTTTTCGAAAAAATGTTGTATGTGATATTTTGATAAATTGAATAATAGTAAAGTATTTGAATCATGATAAGAATACAAAGCACCGATGGCAGCCATTGATAATAATAACGGGATACTTTCAAGATTTTCAACCATTGGATTTTTTAAAGAAGGTAAATGGATAAAGGGGAAAAATTTATTAAATTCCTTTTCATATAATGTCATATAAGCATCCAAATCCGACAAGGGAGGGAATTGAGAATCATTCAAGTTTGAATCTTTAATAATTTTATTTCTTAAATCATCATTGAAAAAACTTTTTGAAATGTCTTTTAATTTCGAATCATTTATATCAATTTTTGGTTGAACTTCATTTTTAATTGGTTGAACCATTGATAAATCCAAATTTGGCATGATTGGATTCATTTGTTTAACCAAATCAATTTGTCTTGATCTAAAAAGTGACAGGATTTCATCAATTTGTTTTGGAGAAGTATCACTTAAGGGGCTTTCAGTAAATCCAATATGATGAGATGCGTTTGGAAACTTTGCTTCATATGGAGTATTAATAATTTCTTGTAACCAATCAACATCTTGTTGATTAGTTATTTGATCATTATTTTGTTGATCAGATAATTTTGCCTTTTTCAATAAAGATTTTGATTTCTTTTGTCTAGCCAATAAAGCATTATGATTCAACTCAAAAGCGTCGTTTGATAAATCGTCATAACCAGTTCCACCAGAACCGCCAGTACCACCAGTACCCATTTGTAAAATTTGTTGAACCAAAGATAAATCATTGGTTGGAGGGTTTAATCCCAAGTCAAAAGGAGTCGTACCACGGATATGATGAGGATGATTAGGATTTGAAAATTGATGAGAAGCCATAACATTTTGATCAAAGTATTGATTTTTAGAATGATTCGGATCCGAATTGATTGCAGGAGTGTTCAAATCCAAAGATTCGATATTATTCCAATCTATACCCAAATTAGTCAAGTCAACACCACTTAATAAGCCTCTTGCACTTAAGTCTGCCGCCAGGAGTTGAGGAGTAGCAAATTCAACTTGTAAAGGAGCTTCCAGAAGATTATTATTTTGTTGAATGCTCAAGGCGTCTCTAATATTGGTATAGGAGATTGCAGAGGCAGCAGAAAACGAAGCATGACGATGATGATGATGATCCTCTTCATCATGTTGTTTTTGTTGTTTTTGTTGCTGTTGCTGCTGCTGCTGCTGTTTCTGTTGCTGCTGCTGTTGATACTGATGAACCGGCTGTTTAAAGTCACTTTGACGCAAGTGAAGAGGAATAGACATGGGTTGAGATTGCGAAACAGAGCGAGGGGGATTAGAGGAGACTGAAGGATGGCTCAGTTGAGATCTTGATCGATTAGAACCCCGACGAGGAGAACCAGAATGAGATTGCAGCAGTTGGTTAGCCAAAGTAGGAGGAGTGTTAAGCGAAGAAGTGGTTTGAATGGGCAGAGGAATCGAGCCCACGGCATGGTTACTCAATTTTCTTTTTCTTTGATTTGGAGGAGACTGGTCAGGTAAAGCAGGAGAAGCAGCATAATTAAATAACCCAGTTTTGAATTGCGGAGGTATTTCATTAGTACCACTTGCACTAGAGCTATCATTTGGAGAAAACAATTGGGTTTCGGTGGGGGAACTAACATTTGATAAAGATTCATTTTTAATTTTGGATAAATTTGAATTATCCGGTAACGGAGCATTGGCATTAGTATTATTATGTAAAATAATGATATGTTCATTATTTGAATTAGTATCCAAATCCTTGACTGAATTGGATCTCATCAAAGTAGCATGAAGTTTCTGTTGGTGTCGTAACACCAAATCTCTTCTAGCAAAACAACGACCACAACTGGCACATTGGAAAGGTTTTTCATTAGTATGAGACCGTTCATGACGTTTCAAATGCTCCAACCGGGCAAAAGCACGAGTGCACACCGTGCACGAGTGAGGACGGGGTTTATCTGTCTTGATCTGCTGGGATTTCTTGGGTATTGGTTGAGTTGGTTGGGACTTCGTTGCATTCAGACTATTTTCTGGGGATGTCGAGGACATCGATGCTTCAGTTGAAATCGAATTTGGCGGCGTCGTCGACGATGGAACACTGTTGCCTCCAACACCGGGGGTCGACCTGGGCATAACACTAGTATCTAAGTTCATTAGAGTCTCTGGTTTACCATGGTCTTGTAGACTGGGGTTAGCATGAATCATGCGTTTATAACGAAAAAAAAAATTTACTACTCCGAAATATTCAGATAAGTCCGCAGCAGAATTCCGATACTTCAACTATTAGTACTATACCAGACTGCCTGACTGCCAGAGTAATCGCTAATACCACAATGAATACCTCACTATCAAAAGGAATACTCTTGTCCCGGTCAACAGGTTAAAGTAACTCCACAAGTTTTTCTGCTTACTTAAATTTTAAATTTTAAATTTTAAATTTTTTTCGTTTTTTTTTTTTCGTTTTTTGGGCAGTTTTTTTTTGTTTTGTTAGTGGAAAAGAAAAAAAATTCTCTTGTTACGTGAGTTCAAGCCTTTGGTTGGGAAAGGCAAGGGTTGGGCCAGGAAAGACTGCTAGATATCCGGAAATGATCCGAGATTGTCTGGAAATACAATATAATATTTTCTTATTGGGCTTATTGTTTTGGGTGAATTTCAGCATTTCAACCAATAATATTTTGTTTTCGGAGGGTGCGTGTGCACGGGTGTAATTTACGAAGGTTGCTTATGCTGATTGGGTTATATACTGATTATATAATTGATACATTGATTGTATTGATTGGGTTGGGGTTATTGGGGGTACTGATTGTATTGATAATTCGCGAAATAGGATATTCGGTATGTGTTTAGATCTTTTTTGCAGCTTCGAGTACGTCGTTCCTAAAAATATACTTAAGATCATGAATATCGTCAGAGTTGTCGTACTTGGGCTCCTGGTTCCTAGCATGAGAGAAGTCCAAGAATACAATATTGCCATCGGCAACTTTGCAGTTTCTCGTTGCAATATCGTGATGCTGGATCCCAATATCCCCCATCATTTCGAGTTGTCTGCATCCATTTTCAACCATTGACTTGGTGATATTACTGTCATCTTCCCTGATGTACGATAGTAATAAGTAGAATCCCTCAATAGGGTCCAGGTCCTGGACATTCATGCGGAATGCTCCATAGTAATAAAGAGTAGGAGTGTGGATTTTCTCTTCGGCAGTTGCATTGTGTTTTGCAATCAGTTCGTAACAGGATGCTTCTTTGAGGAAATCTTGAATGCAAATATTGATCTCCTTCATGGTTGGCCAAATCCAACCATCGAGTCTAGCAACAACATCCGGAATGAAAAGCTTCATGACCACCAGATCGTCTTGGTTCAAACCTGTGAGGACTTCATTGAAATATGGGAAAAATTTGCAAAGTAAGTCCACCCGGAACTTATAGACATGTCTCCGGTGTCCTTGTCCTTGTAATACTTCAAAGCCAGTCCACGATTCACATTCACCTTCGACATGAGAATTGCTCTTCTGGGGGTTAATATTACTATTAGCACGGATTTCTCTGGCAAGTGATTTCCAGATTCTAACACTATGTGACTTATTGTCAATATCCTTTCTCACAGCTTTTATAAAAGCACTGACAGTTTGCTTTTGTCTTTCTGCATGAAGCTTTTCTTCTTCGGCGGATTCAAAGAAGAGCCATGTTAAGAACGCTGCTTGCACCGTTATATCCAGACTGCTCAATGTTAATAATCTGTAACGGACCGGAATCTCTACTTCAGCCAGATTATCTGTAGATTCTTTTAATTGACTTAGTTTGGCTTCGTCAATTTCTATGAAAAGGGAGTGATGGAAATTAGTTATTATCACACGAGTAGTATTACAGTCGATGAAGCACCTGCCTACTTGCATTATGACTGACTTAAAAGCCATACTTGATTCATCAATTCCATTTTCGACCAAGTCACTAAAACCAGGACCCTTGAATTCAACAGCTACTAAAGGGACATCGTTCTTGTAATAAAGCAAGTCCGGTATACCGCTGATGTCTGACAGTCCAGCACTGTCACTTAACAGGCTGTGAGTAGTCTGATGTGTACGGGGTATGATATGATGACCTGCAACAGAAAGAAAGTCGGTGGTTGGATCGCCAATATACTTTCGAAAAAGAAAGAAACAATCGATTTCATTTACTGGTAGACAGCAAGAGGGCTTTAATGAAAGGGTCAGGTGAATCTTCCTCCACTCTTCTTGACAGTTCCTTTCATCTAAATTCAAAACGGCGGCTCTAAAACACCGCTGGAAAGATTTTAATTTGTTCAAACTTGGATCACTTAATTCAGTTCCAACAAAGTTAGATAACCTGCTGTTAGATCCAGAACCATGGACACTCAGAAATTTATTTATCCCAATGCTTTTGAACACAAGCGCCAATTGAATAGTAAAAAATGGGAATGCCGTATTGGCAAGAAGTGGTAAATCAATCTGACCTGAATGCTTTATCTCCAGCACCAAATCACCTTTTATGTCATACCTTTCCTCGGGAGTCATCATTTCCAACAATTTAGGTGTGACGCTGTTGATGTATACCAACCGCTTACGAAGATACTTCTCTTTCAATAACTTGTGCGTTGATGCTTTGATAAACTCAATTCTTCCAGAAGAAGTATATCCGGTGATTGGGACAGAGCCGACATACACCAATCTAATATCTGACTGGTTGTTTTCAAACCATTGGTTCCGATACCTTTCTATCATA